GAATAAACGTGGTATTGCTTTAACTGATTCTTCAATTAAACCGTATCCTGGTGTAATGCATTTATCCTCTAAAACTTCCATCTTTGTGCATGAAATAATAACGTCATCAACTGTTGCGTCAGCAGATGTAGCGGCTAAGCTTGTAATTAATTTGGCAGGAAGTCCGATTTGTTGGAATTTGCGATCATATTTATAAACATGATTCATAATCTTTTCATAATTTTCATCAGTTATCTTTTCATAAACGTAATTTTGTAAATCAGCAACTCTTAACGGGTCAACCTGACAAAATACTAAAGTATCCCTGAAAACATAATATTTAAGAATGATTCACCAAATGATTTAGGATAATCATCGAACGCCTGAAATGCTAACAAATCATTTACCGGAATAATCATATCAAAAGTGACATCAACTTCTTCATTTGCTTCTTGAAAACTTCTGAAGGGTCAATATATTTACCACATACTGAGTTATCATATTTTTGAACATTATTATATAACGAATGAACAAACTTTTTAACTTTCCTTTCTGATTTTGGTTTATATGTTGCAAATGCGAAAGATTCACGGGCGCAATCCATCTGAAGATAACCGGCATCACCTCTTTCGGTTTCTACTTCTAATTGTTTAAAGCTTTGATTTGATGATTTGTAACCAACGAATAAACGCATGCATTTAAAAGCGGCATCACATGTGAAAGCTTTATTTGAAACTAGAGTTGCTTTAACTTTGCGTTTAATATATGTGTCACCTAATTGGTTCACATCATGAGCCGGATTTGTAATTCTTAAATGAGTTTGTTTATCATCAAAATATGGAGCATCAGAGTCATAGCATGAACTTTCAAGTTCTCTATAATATCTTCTACCGTCATTCTTTGCGAATATTTCATTTATCTTTTCGAATGAATGAAACACATTTCCATTAATCGGTTTAGTGTTTGGCACCAAATAGTTAGTCGTCATTTATTAATAAATAAAAAATCAAAATTAAAAGATGAAAATGAATTTTTAATTTTAATGAAATAATCAACTATGGCTGCAGGTATATTTAAGAAACTGTGGGATAAAGTAAAAAGAGGAGCGCATAAAGTTTGGGAAACAATGAAGAAGGAGCAAATTGGATATTTAAGAATAAAGAAGCAATTAGTGACGTTGCTGAATCAATAACACCAAAAGCCGCCCCAATAAGAGAAATATTAAATAAAGGAGAAAAAGTTTATCAAAGACTTCAACCGATACTAAGATAAAAATAATATTTATTTATTTTTCCACTATCTACCTCCTATTTTATTAAGTATTCCTTCAGCAATTCCACCAATTGCGTTACCTGCTTGTGCTCCCATTGCCGGATTACCTGCTTTAGTACCTAATACTCCACCTATGATAGTTCCTGCCGTTTTCGCTACTGGTGCCAAAAAGTTTGCAACGGGTTTAATAATCTTTTTATAACCCAACCCGCAGCTTTCTTAATTCCATCCCATAATTTTTTAAAGAATCCTGCCGCCATTTCTGATTTAATATTAATTAAAAAATATATTTCATCACTTATATTCTAATTTTTATTTAATGATAAATGAAACCGATTTTAAAAATAAATGAAACAGGGGAGGAAGAAATAAATGAAAGTGAAAATGTTCAACAAAAAATAAACGTTGTTAAACCAATTACTGAAATAAAAATTTTTTCATCTGTTGAAGAATTTAATGACTATTATGCTAATAATAAAAAATTATTTGAAGAATTGACAACGTGTAAATTGAATAAAATGTTTAAAGTTAATGGATTCAAAATTTCAAAAATAAAAGGAGTGGTTAGTTTGAAATCTATTCCTCAATCAAGAATCACCGCATTAATGAAAATAGATGATTTAACAAAAAGAATAGAAGAGATTGAAGAAAGAATAAATCAAATAATTGATATCATAAATTCAAATAATCATTAATTTTTTAAGGATACCCTTACGTGTCAGATTTTTTGCGCATACAAAGAAGTCATGCTAGACATGAGCTATAAACCTGAAATTTTAGCAACATATTTAAAACTTTTTAAACTACAATACACTTTAATATTCAAGAACAAAAATATTCTTTTTAGAAATTACATAATTATTTTATGTGAAATCTATATAAAAACATATTTTGCGAGCGTAACTTTTTTCTTTATAAGCACCTTATATGACTGATAAACTGTGAAGGCACATAATTGTTAATTCATAGAGTTGATATGTTTCCAAAATTGAGAGGAAATTTGAAAATTGAATACCCTTTCAATTCAATTTTCAAAAGATATCAGCTCCTTCAATAATTGAAGGACGATTTTGATCATTTGCTCTTAAAACAAGTATGCCATGGAGAAAAAAGTTACGCTCGCAAATCTGAAATATAACTATCATATAAAAAAATTAAATTTCTAATTTTTTACTCTATAGATATTATTGGCCACTTGTGTAATGCATAAAAGTTTATGTCATATGCATACATTTGGAAGTATGGGAGACGAGGGAAATTACTTCTATGAGGCACTAGGATTTTTAAAAATTTCTCTATCGGACTCACCATTCAATTTCTCGAAAATTAAAAAAAATCAATAATAGCTAAAATGTATTATGCATAACAAATTTTAATGTTACACAGTATTTTTTGAACTTCATGACATGAATTTTCTTTATATTATTTTTTTTTTGGATTTTCTATGATTTATGCGATAGGCTGGAACAACATTGTAAGTGCAATGATATCATTTATAGAGAAATCTAAAACTTCAGCATTCAGAACTCGCAACCACAAAAATATTCATTTGCTAAGTAAGTAAAGTTGATTAAGTTCGACACTTAGCTTTTATACGTAAAACCAAGTGTGTATTGTTATTTCTTGTTAAATTATTGAGAAAAAATAAATTGTAAGAGAAACGATACTGATTATTGAAATAATATTGAGGGTAGCTGCAGATTTCTTCATTAACATGCCGGAAATTTGTTAATCTTGGTTTTCTATCATAAATCTGTCGAAGAATCTAAAAACGGAGATATAAAATAGAGATCATGTAAATCTAGAGTATCCTGTCAGAAAAATAGACTAAGCATGTAACCCTTTTTTGGTCATAAACACTTTTTACCACTTAGTCATACAGATGATCATTAAATTTAAACGAGCACTTTTTGTCAGAATTTATTCTTTTACAAAGACAGAAGATTTTAGTATTATTTAATATTAGTGCTGTAGCAAAATTCAAAAAACGGTGAAAATTCAGTGAATTTGTGAATTCACATTTTTTTCGACATTTTTCTTGATATATCCATGCACATTAAGAACACAGCTTTGATACGCTTAAAAAAGCATATTTCATATGAAATTGTTAAAGAAATAAACAATTTATATAAAAATTGCACTTATGGGCAGTTTAGATATATAATTTATATATAACATATATACAAATCCATAGACAAAGTGCAATAACTACAATGTTGTAGAAAATTACAGCAGAAATACTGACTTTTTGAAGGATAATAAGAATTCTTCTAAATGTTGTATTTTTATAATTTGATTGATTTTTTTACTATTTCATTAATCTTTTATGAATAATAATTATTTTTAATATATGTGCTATTAAAATTTCAAATTTTGACTAATATATCTAAGTTATCTGAACGAAACATTTAGAAAATATCATACTTACATTGAAATAGCAAGTAGAGCATATTAATAGCAAGTTTCTTGGCTTTATATCTATCATCTATTGTTGTTTGATCAAACAAAATTCACTCTATTATATGGTGTCAATTAATTAAAACAATTTTTAATAGTTATTTATTTAGTGCGAATAAGTGCAAACTCATAAATGAATAACTTAATAGTAGAAATGAATTATCTGATATAAATCTCACATTTTGTCCATCAGAAATACTTTAATTGCATACGCATAACTATTAGTAATACGTCTGGAGTGTCAATTAATAACAATCCCACAACAAGTAAAATTCAGATTTTTATTAAACTTATTTTTTCCTAAAAGTTTTCTCAAATTACTATATATACATATGTGGATAAAATAATAGTAATATTGTAAAAAATTAGATAATTTTTTTTATTTGAGAACCTCTCAAAAGTTCATTCAATTTATCAATTGTTTCAGTTTGATGTATATTCATTTCTGGAGCCTAAAACTTTAGCAATCATGACAATATCATATTCTCTTTCTAACTACGCAATGTAAGGGTATCCTTAAAGTTCAATGTTGAACTCATCAAATTCTTCTTCATCATTACCATTACTCTTTCAACTCTATCTTTTGATAGTCTTGCGTTTAATTTTTCGTAAGAAGTTTATTTTTTAAATTTTTTTTATTTTTTTATTTTTTATTTCATTATGGTAGTGAATCTTTCATTCATGAAAATAATTATTTCTAATTTCTTTTACTCTCTCGTATATGAGGTCTTTGATTATGACTCCATTGATTCCATTCAGGATTTAAACAATGTTTAATTAATCGCGGAATATCTGACATCATCTATATATAGCTTCTTTTATAAAAGATAAAAAATAAATTATTTTAAAATTAATGTTAATTTTTTAATGATTTATAAATAAATATATTTTAATGCATCGTCTATATATAGATGTAACAAAAAAATTCACACAACCCTTCCTATCCTACTACTATAGACTTTATTTTCACAATTGATTTATTCCTTCAGTTCGTATAATAACTTGAAATAACAATCTAAAATGTGCATTTTATTTCGATCATTATAAATGATTAATTATTTTATGTTCATTGTTGAATAATCTTGAATAGTCCTTTGCGATACGGATTTTATCATTAAACATATGCTATTGTTCATGAAATTTCTTACTATTATGGCTAAATATTTTAACAAAATTTGATTCATTTATTACATACAATACAATTGAACAATATAACAAAACATAATACAACCAATAATATTATTCCCAAATAAGACTTTAATTCGTTAATTAAAAATATAAAATCATCTTTTTCATTCATTAAGAAGAATTAGATCACCGTAAATTTCAAATCTCGATAATTCTAATGCCATACTACCATTGTTGTTTACACTTGTCTGCCTCAATCTGATAATTCTGTATTCTTTGTTATCTGGATTGTTTAACTGGTAAACTTTTGTTGTATACTTTGGTTTGAAGTCCAAACATGACTCATGTTCATCCAAAATATCAAAGTTAATTCCATCATTTGATCCTTCGATAACCCATGACTTTAATGAGTATCCGCTCTTTCCATTCCTTATTTCAACACTTCTTGGAACAACTAGCATCTTCAGGAAGTCGACTGAGAAGTAAGAATTCTTTTCATTTGTTGAATACCAATAATTATCCCAAGAAAGGTCTATAACACTTTGTTGATGGACACCATTGTAAGTTGACGAAACTCCAATAAATATTAAACCGGCGTTATGTGGGTTTTCGTTATTCTTTCTCCATAAATACTGAATAATGCCGTTCCATTCTTTTTTATCATCATAATACAATCTTTCCATAGTTCTCTTTACTTCATTTTCTTTGACAGATGAGTAAATATGTCTGGTTTCAGATTTCCAATCAGGAAAAACTTTCATTTCAAGTCTTTTCGAAATAGAGGCCCACAAACGACCGGTTATTTCATTTGGATCTGCAATTGATATAAATTTCTTCATGTTTTCTGTAGAAACAAACTCAAATAAAATTGATTCGAATAATCTGAATAATTTAGAACCATGATCTGTGACAAGTTTGTAAGCAAGCTCAAATAAGTAATCTTCACTTACAGTTCTTAACTTCTCGAGTGAAAATAAGTAAAATAATGCGTCTGGTGAAGCTTTTTCTAAATTCTTGTATTCTATTTCTGGAAAATGTTGTCTGGCGAATTCTATTGTCTCTTGATGTGTAATTTTACAGCTGACCATCTCAGTTAAACGATCCATTACATTTTCTAAAGTAATTGGCGATATAGAGAACTTGTATTGCAATGATTTCTCAACAATTTCGAAGTTCTCTAAAAGCATTCCTATTTCTTTTAAGTATTCAACGTTATTTTCCGAAATATCTAAAGTTTTTCCATTCATAAGGTCGACAATGCTCTTGAATTGATAATCACTATCGTCGACGTTTATTGTTAGAGAATTTGTTGTAGTATCGCTTACATGTTCTCTACATACTCGAGGTGATATAAAACAAGCAAGAGGTAAGTTTGTCGGATAAGTATGATCTCCTACAATGAAAGCAAAGTCATTCGGAATATTTGCTATTTGAATATTTTGCAAACCATTTGTGGTCAGATGGAACTGATTTTGTGACATTAAGAAATAATAAATTTCAATTTGTTGTTCAGGCTAGACATGAAAAGTAGAAATACATGTTTTATATCACCAGACCTAAGAAATGTAAAATTTTTATTTGACGTCCATACAAAAGCATATAGAATCATAGACAAGTGATTCTTAATCTTGATTTACTCATTTCATTCTTATCGGAATTTCAGTTAAAGATACTGATGACGTTGCAATTTCGCAATGGTTCCACGATTGTCAAAAAGATAGTTTTCTTATAGTACAATCCTCAACATTTCGCAGAATATGCAGCTATTCAAACAGAGCAGCAAAGACTAAAACAACAAGTTGCATTTATACTGAATCTCCTAACGTTGAAATAACTGACACATGTTTCAATGAAATATTCTCAGGATCATACACTGCTCTATCAGCAAAAAACTGAAATATAGGGATAAATTCTACAATATTTTCAAATATCGAATCTGACACTATTTGTGATATTTTAAAGTCACAAATATTCAATATTAATGAAACTAAACTGCTCGTGAGCTGTATTGCGTTTAGTGGGCTAAATAATGAAGATGAAGTCTTTAAAAACGTCTGAATGATCAAATTCGAAAGGTCTGATCTTAAAATTGCTAAAGGATCATACTTCTCATTTACTAACGGTACAATTGATGACTTTTGTTTGTTATCGTTAGAAAATTCGGTATTTTTAAGTACAACGATCGATCACATTATCGGATTGCGTGATATATTACCATCATTAACCGAAAACATGTATTCTAATAGTCAATATGAACCAGATTTTTTGATTTACGCCGAAAGCTCATTTTATCATACATCAGCACCAAATCCAGTCATTTATGATCCAAATTTACGCGATCTTGCATTTAATTTCGGTGAAGTTTAATGCCATATTCCAAAAATAAATGATTTTTCATTAAAAATTAAAAAAAAAATCATGATATATCCTAGTGTTGACATTATTGACTGCAATTTCTTATTCCTGAACAAAGATTCAACATCTCCTGCTATTATCAATTGAAAGGTGTTCATTCATCGATTTCACTTCTTCAGTGTGGTTCTATTACTACGGTGAAGCTTCATTTCTCACCGATCATGCTAAAAACACACCAATGTCGAGATGCTGCTTCTAACACTGCCAAGGAGTTAAAATCGGATATCTTAGGTATAGTTTTGCATATTTATTTAGAGAAACATCATTTTTTGACTCATTTGTTTAAAGTTTTTTTTATGATTTTGAATGCATTGATACAAAACAGGTTGAAATTCATTGTACAAATAACAAAGCATTGATACATTTCATGTGGTTTACCTCTATTAAGTCAAATTCCATCATCAGCCATATTTAGAGTTGTAATTTTGTAAATATCAACTGTTCAGACGCATCTTTTATATACGAGACAGGCAAAAGAAGCAATTTGTTAGTTTCGAAACAATGCTTATACGAATTCCACATAAATCTCAACACTTATTTGATGTGAGCTTCGATAGTACTCCTCTTCTTGTTTCTCAATGTTATTTCCATCAAACAGAGATAAATTCAACGAAATATAACGAAAAACTTATAAATATCACCGAAACAGTTCAAGATCTCAAAGGGAGTGTCTAATCTTTCAAGATTTTCAACGCATGTCATATTAAGAAAGATAAACACTTCGGGAAACGCCACGTTGTCGCAATTTGCATTCATGTTGAAATTTCAATCGGCGGAGTCGAGTTTTGGTACAATTTTCATTTCTGACTTATATAAAGGATATTGAGAAAAGTTAATATGAGCAAAGTTGAAGAGGACCGAAAGGTACATATACTCATCTATGAAGTTTATGAATAAAAGTTAATTTTTAAATATTCAATCTTCATTTCATACAAAAGCAAAAAATCATAAGTTATTTATTATTTATGTAAGATATTATAACATTTCTATTGAAATTCACTATAAATTTTTTTTGGATACAGATAAATTCATTACAAATTTTCGAAATAGCGTCAAATGAGTGTTCCATAATCATTCTAATTTTGAACCAATCTCCTTTTGCAAAAAAAGTAACAAAAACCCCAGCATATACTACTTATTTTACAAGTTTATCGGAATTTTTTTCGGAAAAGCAGGAAATATAACATTGGTTAAATATTTGTGATTTATGAATATAGATGTCAAAAATAAATTTTATATTTTTCTGAGATACTTTCAAAAGCTATATAAAATTTTATTCAACTTTTGAATTTTGAGAGAAATTTAAATAAAAAATATGGATATATTTAGTCCGATATTAACGAATTTACAATTTATTTGGGTGATAGAAACTTTTTGTAATGAGTATTATTCCATGGTTGATCAAATTACCTAGTAGTGCTTTTTAATGTGGTTGTCCGACCCGCATTAATTGATAGGAAATTTATCGGAAAGTTTTAAAACTCTTTTTTTTGTATTTTCATACTTATATGAAACAACGTTCTATAAAGCAACGAATAATCTAAAAATTTCGCCTGACCAGTTTTGTGATAACAAATTTTCAATAAAAACTCGAATAGTTGAAAAATTATATATTCTAGTATTCCTATCCAGAAAAATCAAATTGATTATTCCATTCAATTTCGAATTTTAATATCTATATGCTATTCTAATGGTTAATATAAATATTTACACTTCCACTATCTACTTTACACGATACAAAACTGGATCGATAGATATTTATATTCTTTCAAAAAGTTTACAGGGCTATCCATCATTATTTTATTACTTTGATAATAATTAAGCTTTTTATCATATTTTGATCAATATTATTATTCTCATAATTCAAATGTTTCACATAAATATAATCGTTTCTGAATTTTTGAAGGAATAAAAACTTCTCATTTTTTCTCGAATAAAATTTGAAAATGAATGATGACGAACAGCCTTGTCATGTTGGATGGGCCACAAAATGTGGCGGATTCATCAAAACGTGGCATAGAAGGTGGTTTGTTTTAACACCAAAGTATATCAATTATTACAAAAAACCAGGTGGTCGACAAAAAGGTAAAATCCCACTTTCAAATGTAACAGAAGTTGCACCACATCCAGAATGTTCACGAAAATACGCATTCAGGGTTGTAGTTCCCAATGTACGTACATATCAAGTTTCTTGTGACTCAGATGAAGAAATGAAAGAATGGGTTCGCGAGATAAATAAATTAATCTCCGGTGCAAATGAAGCCGTTAAGATCGAAGACTTCGACATTCTCAAAGTTCTCGGCAAAGGAACCTACGGCAAAGTTCAACTTGTCAAGAACAAGAAGACTAGTCAGATCTATGCTATGAAATCAATTTCTAAACGTCTTCTCGCTGAATATGATCTCGTTGAAAGGACCTTAACCGAACGTGATGTTCTTTTAAAGGCTAATCACCCATTCATTGTGTCAGCTAAGTATTGCTTCCAAACAGAGACAAAGATCTTCCTAGTTCTCGATTATGTCGCCGGCGGCGAATTATTCGCCAGACTGAGGGAAGAACACAAATTCACTATAGATAGAGCCAGATATTATATTGCAGAGCTTGTGCTTGCGATTGGTTATCTTCATTCAATTGGTGTCGTTCATCGTGATCTTAAACCAGAAAACATCCTTTTCGACAAGGATGGCTACATCAAGTTAACAGATTTCGGCTTAGTCAAAGAAAAAATGACCAAACAATCAAAGACATCCACGTTTTGCGGCACTCCTGAGTATCTTGCTCCAGAAATCATTGAAGGTAACGAGTATGGCATGGCAGTTGACTGGTGGGCTCTTGGAACTCTCGCTTATGAAATGCTCTATGGATATCCACCTTTCTACGATACAAATACCAATCAAATGTATCGTTATATTCTCCGCGACGATGTTACGTTCCCAGATGACGCAACTCCTGATGCTATAGACCTCCTCTCCAAACTCCTCGATAAGAATCCTGATACACGCCTCGGTTCGGGCCCATCAGATATGGAGGAGATCAAAGCTCATCCATTCTTCGGAAATTTGAACTGGAAGAGCCTTTTCCAGAAGACTATCCCTATGGAATGGAAGCCTCAGATCAAGAGCGTAACCGACGTTTCTCAATTCGACAGGCAGTTCACATGCGAAGCACCTAAGCTCACATACGAAGATCCTTCACTCGTTGGAGCAGGAGTTCAGCAACAGTTGCAAGGATTCACATATATAAATGAAGGTTAAGAATACTATTCAATCTTTTTACATATTGTTTATTAAAATATTTATTTCTTGAGTAATTAAATTTGTTTTAATTGAGTGAAAATCGAAATTTGAAAAATTATTTTTTGGAATTAAGAAATATGATTTATTTTGATACGAGCACTTTAGTCGATTATACATACTAAATTCATATATACTAATTAAATAGTACAAAATGATCAATTAAATTTGATTATCAATTTCTCCAAAATATAAATCATGATTGGGATTGATGAACGCAAAAAATGCATGGCTGTGAGGCAATAATTAATAGTAGATCCCATGATTTATCATATAATAAGGTTAGATATTTTTCCGACTTAAATTACTTTCAAAATTGAGTTATTCTCAAATTTTCAATATGGACATTTTTTTCTATAATGTTTTTCCTTTAAAATATATCATTTCCGGAAAAGAATACCATGATTTTCCCTCTTATTGGGTGATGGGAAAACTAATTAAATCCATTAAATGCATATCAATTTCAAATTCATTCAATTGTTTTGAAGTTTTGAATGCGGTCATTTGACAGAATACTATAATCGAAAAATAATTTCCATAAATCTATTCACAGCACGACAATTGCTTATTTGAGCATAGATTGAATTACCTGACAAAATTCTTTGGAATTCAAAATTCAATTTTCCAAATGTTCAAGGGGAATCTTATGTTTTTGACTCTAATGAGTCAGAAAGTCTTCATCAATACTGAACCTGTTGTTCAAGGCAAGACTATAACAATAAATAACGTTGAAGATTACACTAATGCTGATAAAATTTATCAAATCATGATTGAAAAGAATGCAAATTCTATTATTATTGATATAAATGGCGGGAATGATTCTACCAATGGAACATTAAAATCACAAAGATACTATTTCTTAGCAGAAAAAATCGAAATAAAAGGCAATCATTTCAAGAAGATTGGATATAGATGCTTTGCAAATACAAATATGTTACTTACAGAAGTTGTCGTTTCCAATTCTGTTACAGAAATTGAGGAAAGCGCTTTTAAAAATTCTCGGATAGAAAAGTTTCAATCAGATAGTATTACTAATGCTGAAGAAAGCGCATTTGAGAATTGCTTTTATATAAAGTCAATTTCAATGAATGGTTTGACTAAGATTCCATATAGCTTTGCTTACAATTGCTTCCAGCTGGAAAGTGTAATAATGAGAAGTGCAACTGAAATAGAATCATATGCGTTTTATGAATGTTTATCATTATCACAATTTGAATTCGGAAAAGTTATTTCATTCGGTGTTTCATGCTTCCAAAGAACATCACTGAGAAAAATAACGATTCCAAGAGAATGCACTATGATCAAGGCTTCAGCATTTCAATTTTCATTACTTGAATCAATTAATTTTGAAGTAGTAGATAGTAACATTACATTAAGTCCAAATGCATTTTCCAATACACAATTGAAAAGTGTTGAAATTCCAGAAAAAGCTATTATTCAAAATATATTCCAAGAATGTTTTCTATTGAAAAATATTAAACTTCCTAGCTCAATTACAAATATCCCAACTTATTTTGCAGCCAATTGCTATAGTCTGGAGACAGTTACTGCTCCAGGAGTTACAACAATAGAAAAACAAGCCTTTTATTTTTGCAAAAATCTGAAATCAGTAACTTTTGGAACTGTTACATATTTTGGAATAAATTCATTTGCGTATTGTAAAGAATTAGAATATGAAATTACTTCTACAACTAAAGATTCAGAAACACCAATGACAATTGAAGAAAAGGCATTTTTCTATTGCAAAAAAGTTAAAGCATCGAGTATTTATTGTCAGAGATTAGATCATTATTGTTTTGCAGGATGCCAAGGTATTACAAGTTTATCTATTTATACACAAGGAATTGGAACTTCTGCTTTTCATTATTGTTCCAACCTGAAAAACATAAAGATTTATCCTATTACAGATAATATTATTATTGAAGATAATAATAGCTCAATTGCTAATTCAACTGAAGATATGGATAATCCAGGTAACGAAACTGAAGGAGATAATCCGAGTGAAAGCGATGAGAAGCCAATATCTTATTTTGTAATATATCCAAATGCGTTTTGTAATTGCACGAATTTGGAAGATATTCAATTCATAAGACTAGATGATTTACCAATTGAACACAAAATATTTGAATATGCATTTGCATATACAGGAGAAATCAAAGAGCTTGATTTATCATTATTTATGCAGGTATCTCATCACGCATTTCAATCTTCGAAGATCAAAAAAGTTATCATAGGTGATGTTGATGAGTTTTGCTTTGCAAATTGCACATATTTAACAAAAATTGTAGTACGTAATTCATCAACAAAATTCGATGCAAGAGCATTCTCTGATTGTGTAAATGCAAAATTTGAGTTTCCTCTTCTAAGAAGCAATATTTATATTGAAAATGGTTTTATCATTAACGATGAAAGAATAATTTTATCTTTGTCATCTTTTATAAAAGATGAGAAAATTACAATCCCAGCTCAATATTCAAATATTTCCCAAAATGCTTTTCTTTTTGCTAAAAATTTGAAAGAAATTGTAATAGAAAACATTACATTTTATATTACAGATTCATTATCAAATATTCCAAGTTTGAAGAAAATATCATTTCCATCAAAAATGCTTTTGAATTCCATAGATTATGGATCTTTCCAAAACGATTGCTTGTTAGAAGAAATCGAAATTCCTTCAAGTATAATATCGATAGAAGATCAAGTGTTCTACAATTGTACTTCCCTTAAGAAGATATCAATACCAAATAAAGTTAACTTTATTGGCAAATATGCATTTTATAATTGCATAAGCCTGAAATCAATTGTTTTACCTCCTAGCGTCAAATTTATTGGATCTAATGCCTTTGAAAGATGCATTTCATTGAAAGAAATCGATTTATCAATGATAAGCGAGCTATCAAAATCAATTTTAAGTCAATGCACAAATCTTTATTCGATCAAATTATCAACAAGTCTAATATCAATAAATGGATACGCTTTCCAAGAAACAAGTATAAAATCTTTTAATATCCCTGATTCAGTTAGATCGATTGGAGAAAATATTTTCTATAACTGCTCATACCTTAAAGCGGTAACAATTGGAAAGGGAATAACAACTCTAAACAACTTGTTCAAACTGTCCTCGATTAAGGAATTTCATATTCCATCACACATAACTCAGATAAATGGAAAGTGTTTTGAAGCAGTTCCAAATATACGTGTGACAATTGATAAAGATCATCCAGTGTTTTATATCAAAGAAAACTTCATTATCAGAAAAGTTGACAATGCAATAATATGCACATTCGGCGAATTGCCAAAAACAATTAAAATCCCAGATGAAATAGAACAGATTAATTCGATCACATTAAATCGTAACTGGGAAAAAACAAATGATGGCTTTGGAGGTGAGTTTTATGAGGACTATAGTAAACTTCCAAATACTGTGATTCTTCCTGAATCATTTATGAATGGTATTCCAAATGAAATACTTGGAATTAAACTAGTTTGTTATAAAGGAGCATATCTTCTCGGACAAGATGATGGTGAAATATCATCAAGTACTGAGATTTGGACAGAGTATGATGCAACTGACAAATATACATCAAATAAAATTTTTGATAAGGAAATTTTAGGACAGAATTGTAATTCAAAGAATATTATTTTAAATTCAAAATGGAGGCATATAAATGGCCTATCAACATTAGAAATAGCATTAATTGTGATCTCAGTACTTCTTTTCATCGTACTAATTGGATTAATCATTATGTTTTTTGGTTCATTAAGAAAGAATAAGAGAAATGACAGCGATTCAGGATTTAACCAAAATCAAATCTGATGAAATCCAATGAGTAAGTAGATTTTTCATAACGATTAATATACACCTATTCTTCATTTCTTTTTAATATTCAGTTCGTTTTATAGTAAAACATATTGAATACCATATCTGACATTTCTTTTTTAATATTCATTTATCATACTTGCATTTCTTGATATTATCTCTTTTTGATATGAATATGCTAAGCTCTGATCAGATAAACCACCGCCTTTTTGAATAATGTCAAATTTGAATTCAATAAAAACCTTATTTTTTTAATGATCAATTTCCTTCTTTGTCTCTCAACTAGCCTTGAAATATTGTATCATGAGGAGCTAGCATTTATCGATCTCATGCGCGAAACAGGCAATTTCTATGTTGGCGATGAATTTCATTTTAGATTTGGAATTTTTCTTGCAAATAAACGTTTTGTCCAAGAACAAAATTCTATAAATAGAAATTATAGGCTTTCCCTAAATCAATTTTCATTTTTAACAAATTCGGAATACAAATCCCTCTTGGGAGGTAAAGTATCCTCTAAAAATAACGATGACAGCCATTTGTTTTCTCCACAATCTAAAAAGTCATCAGAAGTAACCTTTGATTGGAGAACAAAAGGTATAATTAATCCAATTCGCAACCAAGGACAATGCGGCTTATGTTGGGCCTTCTCCACAATATGCTGTGTCGAAGCACGTTGGGCACAAGCGTACAATACACTCCTTCAGCTCTCGGAGCAGATGCTTGTTGATTGTGTCGATACTTGTTACGGATGCATGGGCGGATACGCTGATGACGCTGCTGCTTTCGTTATAGAAAACTACGAAGGAAAGTTCATGACAGCTGCTGACTACCCGTACATTGCAAGAGCCTCTATTTGCAAGTTTGATAAAACTAAATCAGTAGCAAAAACTACAGGATTTGAGAGAGTAAAACCAGGATCATCGGATGCTTTAATTGAAGCCGTACAAACATCAGTCTGTTCTCTTCTTATTGATGCATCCATTAACTCATTCATGCAATACAAGTCTGGTATTTATGATGACACGAAATGCGATCCAACACAGTTAGATCACTACGTAAATCTTGTTGGATATGGTTCTGAATCCGGAATTAATTACTGGATAATTAGGAATTCTTGGGGTGAAGCATGGGGTGAATCAGGCTACATTCGCATCATCAACAATGCTGCTAATGTTTGCGGTGTTCTTTCCCATCCAATTGTTCCAAAGGAACTCTAATCATTTTTATGCATATTGTATTTTCATGTAGTAAAATACCATTTGTATTATCGGCATTTCTAAGATTTTTTATATGATTTCAAACATAAAGTTGATTATTTTAAACTTCTGTAGTTATCAACACAATTATTAATTTTCATACCCAATAATCATTAAATTTTATTAAAAAATTTCAAATTACAGAGATGTTTTATTCTATTTAAACTGTTTGAGTCAAGAGGGACTCAGTGAGTGTTTCCTTCCTGCGGAATCCAGCAGCCTTCATTACGCAGACGGCGATGATGACAGTGACGACAATTAAAACGATTGCGCCGGATGCTGCAATCAGTCCTATTTGCCATCCCTTCAATCCGTTCTTTTGCGAGTCTGCAGGAGTAGGCGTTTCACTGGGCGGAACTACGCATCCTTCTGCATTCGAAGTAGTGATTCCAGCAAACAAAGAGTTGCTGTAGTAACTGCCGACGTAGACGTGGAAGCCCTTGTTGTGTCTCACTGATTCGAGGAATGGTGTCTCGATGTGAACTGTTCCGCAGTAAGTGACGTTCTTCAAATTGGTCAAGTTGCCTGAAAATGCGTCTTCAGAAATCTGGAAGATGTTGTTGAGGAAATCGACTTCAACAAGGCTGGAGCAGTCCTCAAATGCAGATTCGAGCATCTCCTGAACTGGACCACGAATTGTAACCTTGACTAATTTAGTGCATCCGGAGAAGATCTGGCTTTGGAACTCCTTGACTGTCGCTGGAATGTCCATTGATTCCAATGAAGTGCAGTTTGCAAAGCAGCTTGGACCGAGACTGACTAATCCTTTTGGAAGTGCAATCTGCTTCAAATTCACGCAGAAACTGAATGCCTGCTTGTAGATGTACTGGACACCAGGGCCGAGAATTACTTCGTTGATGTTGTAGCAGTTGTGGAACGCCTTGGATTGGACAAACTTCAGAGATTGCAAGTTTGCGAATTTGAGTGCTTTGCAGTCTTCAAATGCCGATGGCATTATCTCCTTCACCTTGTCGAACTTGATGCCTGTCAGCAACTGGCAGCCTTTGAAGCAGCAAGTTCCGATGTGGGTGACTGTCTCTGGCATGTTGAAGTCCTGCAACGAGTAGCAGCCCTCGAAGCAGTGCTCGTTGATGCTAGTGAGTTTGGATCCGTCCTGGAATTTGAGAGTCTTCAGCTTCTTGCAGCTGTTGAACGTATACGACTCAATCTTCTCAAATCTCGCTGGGAAGACAATGGAAGTTATAGATGAGTTCTGAAAACAACCCTTGCCAATTTGAGTGACTGTATCTGGAATTTCGACAGTGTCAATTTCAGTGCAGCCTCTAAAAGCGGAGTCCATGAAAACTGTGACTGACGGTGGAAGTTTTGGGATGGGGTTGTTGGCAGCTGTTGGATACACGACGAGTTTCTTCAGCTCCTTGTCATAGATGGCTCCATCAGGACCGAGTGCGTAGTTGGGATTATTTTCGTTGACTGTGAAGTTGTGGATCGAATTGCACTCAGAGAAAACCAAAGGAGAGATATTCTTCAAGTTCTCTGTGACGTGGAATGTCTCCAGGCTGCGGCATCCCAGGAAAGCGCCCTCGTGAACGTTCTTCAGGTAGTTGTTGAAGCGGACAACAATGATCTGCTCGCAGTACGCGAATGCAAACTTGTAGATGTCTGTGATACCTTCTGTTTCAAGGTCTACAAATGCAACATTCGACAGTTTCTTGCAGCGGGAAAAAGCGTACTCGCCAATAGTCCTGACGGTGCTGAGGATGATGACAGACTCAATGCAGGAGTTCATAAGAACGTAAGGACTGACTCTGTGGCAGTTGTATGGGAATGCAAACGAGAGCAAGTTATAAGTGTATGCGAAAGAGCCATTTCCGATGTAGCTGATGCCGGCAGGAATGTTTGTAGTGAAATCTTCCAGTGTTTCGCAGTTTTTGAAAGCCCAGTCGCCGATGTAGACACAATCATCGCCAATGTTGAGTTTCTGGATGGATGTGCAATAGGAGAAGGCGTTGGCGCCAATTCTCTTGATGCTGGAGAGGTTGAGATTTCCAAGGGAAGAACAGCCGTCGAAGGAATAATTTCCTAGATGGCGAATTGTCGTTGGGAATGTAGAGGAATTAAGGGATCTGCAAAAACGGAATGCAGAATCTGAGATGTTGACAACATTAGTAGGGAAATCGAAGAACTTCAAACTAGTACAGTTTGCAAACGCTGAAGGACGAATTGTTGATTCGAAATCAGCTGAGAGGGGAGTGCTGGTAGAGTATTTTGTGACATTTTCGAGATTTTCGCATTTGAAGAAAGATTTATAATTGAATATTGCTAAAACATCGGGATATTCGAAAGTTGTGAGGCTCTGGCAGTTGTAGAATGCGAAGGCACCAATAGTTTTGACAGTTGCTGGAGCTTTAAATGTTAAAAGCTTCACACAATTTTCATGAAGATTATTTGGAATGGAAGTAATTTGAGCATTGATATGCGAGTATACTAGTTTCGAATAATTTGAAAAAGCGCCGCTTTGAATAGATGTAATTCCGTCACCAACATCGATTTGGTATAAATCAGAGTTTTGAACAGCATTTTCGACATCTTTTCTGGTTACCTCGCCGGATCCACTAATAGTAAGGACACCAGACTTTAATGTATATGCTGGTGCAGAAAAGACATCCGAAAAAAGAGCAAAAAGCATTTAGAAATTAGAAAAAAGTGTCAATCTGACGTCAAATTCTGTTACACTTCATCGTTTTAGTTAACCAGAATTGTGCATTGATGCAACAATACAATTAGATGTAGTTTTGTATATTCAATTTAATAATGAGGACATTTTTGCTAGCATTTGAACAAATTCATCAATTGTCGAACGAGTTACAGTATTCGGAAAAAGAATACAAGCAGCAAAATCAATTTTAAATATAGTTCCACATTTTAAAAAGAAAAATATCAAATTTATAAAATAAAAGTGGAATTCTAAAGTAAGTAATATAAGGGAGCAAAGATGGGAAAACAATACACTTGAGCTAGTAATAATTTTTGCAGCTTCAATTTTAAAAACAAACTGAATATTTATAAATATCGAAAAATAGAAATAAATCGTCATTCCGTATGGCAAATAGGCCAAATTCACGGTGCTAAAGTTATATAATTGCCGTTGTCCTTTTTTGAAATTCTTTTCGGAACTCACTTTAAAAAATATGAAACTGAGGAAATCATTAAACAACAAATTCATTCCTACTAAAATTAAAATCGGGAATAGCAGAATTTCAGATTTCTGTTGACGAGATAAGAATATAATTTCGATATTAATTGATGTGATTGTAGAAAAGCTTTCATTTCATAACAATCGATATTGGCTCTACATAGTGATGATAGTTATTACACTTTTGTTCGGTTCATATTAGTGTTATGGATGATTGCATTTTGGATGTCAAAAAATTGAAGATCATGATCAAATTTAACAATATTAATCCGCTAGTTTAAATATATTGCTTCCTGTAAAAACGCTAAAACTGTCAGTACTTCGATAATCAATTCTGAAGAATTGACGAAACTGAATTTTAAATGCAGAAATACATGTACCAATTAATTGGAATGCTAATTCCAAAATAATTCGATGTTCAGAATTGAATGGAAAAATGAACTTATTGAAAATCGGATGGGCAAAAAAATTCAGTTAAAATTCGAATCTATATCTTATGTACAGTTTGGATGAAGTGAAGTAATTTTTAATTGAATCAACGCTATGCAATCCACCCTCAAAAATTGAGAGCTAGGCCAATATTTGAGAGATCACTGGTCACCGCTGACAACAATTTATTGATTTATCTCATCGATCGGAATCATTTCATTTCAGATTAAAGATGCTCACATCTTCAGTCTCTGTTCCAGTCCGCAACATCTGCAGGGCTAAGGTCCCAACCCTCAAGACAGGCATGACACTCCTTCAGGATGGTGATCTTTCCAAGGGTTCTGCCTTCACAAAGGAGGAACGTGACCGCCTTAACCTCCGCGGCCTTCTCCCATACAAGGTCTTCACAAAGGATGAACAAGCTGCTCGTATCCGCCGCCAGTTCGAATTAATGCCAACACCACTCCTCAAGTACATCTTCCTCGCTAACGAGCGTGAGAAAAACTCACAGTCCTTCTGGAGATTCCTCTTCACACACCCACCAGAGGAGACAATGCCAGTTCTCTACACACCAACAGTTGGTGAAGCCTGCCAGAAGTGGGCTACACACCGCCAGTCATACCGTGGCATCTACATCACACCAGAAGACTCTGGCAAGATCAAGGACATCCTCCGCAACTACCCACGCCAGGACATCCGCTGCATCGTCGTTACAGATGCTGGCCGTATTCTCGGTCTCGGTGATCTCGGTGCTTCCGGCCTTGGTATCCCAGTCGGCAAGCTTATGCTCTACACACTCATCGGTCAGGTTAACCCAGACCAGACACTCCCAGTCCAGTTAGATATGGGTACAGACCGCAAGGAAATCCTTGCCGACCCACTCTACCACGGCTGGCGCCATCCAAGAATACGTGGCCCAGAACACACAAAGTTCGTTGCCGAGTTCGTTGACGCTGTCAAGGAAGTCTTTGGCGAGACATGCCTTGTCCAGTTCGAAGACTTCGAAATGGAAACAGCTTTCACACTCCTCGACCACTTCCGCTGGCGCTGCAACTGCTTCAACGATGATATCGAAGGCACAGCTGCCGTCGCTGCTGCTACACTCGCTTCCGCTACACACATGGAAGGCGTTCCAGATCTCAAGAACCAGAAGATCATCTTCATTGGCGCTGGCTCTGCTGCTACAGGCATTGCTAACCTCATCGTTGATATGGCTGTTTCCCGCGGTGGCATCACAAAGGAACAGGCTTACAAGAACATCATCATGTTCGATCACAAGGGTATGGTCCATGCTGGCCGTAAGGATCTCTACGACTTCAACAAGCCATACATGCACAACATGGAAGTCTACGGCTCCGTCCTTGAGGGTGTCAAGAAGTTCAAGGCTACATGCGTCATCGGCGTTTCTGGTGTTCCAGGACTCATCACAAAGGAAATCGTCCAGGCTACATGCGCTAACTGCGAGCGCCCAGTCATCATGCCACTTTCCAACCCAACAGTCAAGGCTGAACGATGTCTACCAGTGGTCCAATGGCAAGGCCCTCTGCGCTACAGGCTCTCCATTCCCAGTTGAGACAGTCAACGGAAAGAAGACAATCACAGCCCAGGCTAACAACTCCTGGATCTTCCCAGCTGTCGGCTACGCCCTCGTTACAACACGCGCTCGCCACTGCCCAGGCAAGGTCTTCGAAGTTGCTGCTGAATCCCTTGCTTCCCTTGTTAAGAAGGAAGACCACGATATGGGCAACCTTCTCCCACCACTCAACAAGATCCGTGACTACTCATTCGGCATCGCCCTCGATGTTGCCAAGTTCCTCATCAAGAACGAGCTTGCTACAGCCGTCCCACCAAAGGGCACAGAGCTCAAGGACTGGCTCAAGGCTCAGCTCTTCGATCCACAGGCTGAATACGAGCAACTCTATTAAATCTATTAAAGTTTCTGGTTGATTATTTATGAAAAATTGAAAAAAGTTTTTACTTGAGATTCCTTTGAATATGGAAAATTTGATAACCTCACTTAATGAATTATTGAATATTAAATATGATCATTCATTTATTAATTGTTTTGATTATATTTTTGTAAATTTCAGCCAAATTTTTTTATTATCGTGTCAAACATTCGTTTCTTATGCTTTTTCATTTAGGGAAGCCAATTGAAGAAGTTGTCGCCCTAAATGTCAATCAGAATTCATCTGTTGATCAAGCAAAGAGACAGATATCGAAAATTGTCTTAATTCCAGCAAATTGTATTCAAATCAGCTTCCAAGATAAAATTCTTCCCGATGATTTTGTATTGAAAAACATTTCTTCGCAAGGAAGTACTCCTCTTGATTGCCAATTTCTTGATGTTGCTCGTGATCAAAATCGAATTGCTGTTGAACCGCCACCAGATATCCTAACAAGGGTTCAATATCTGGTTAATATGGGATTTCCAATCAGAAACGTATACGCGGCTCTCATGGAATCCAATTATGAAACTGAAAAAGCTATTCGACTTTTACTCCAAGGAATGACAAATATGCAGACTAATTCTCAAGGTGCAATAAGTAATGCTAGCTCATGGAATAGTACAAATCAGCAAGGAAACGGAATAAAATTACCCCAGATTTCAGCTCAAAGCCCAGGAATAAACTTCCGTCAATTAAAGCCACAATCAGAACTTTATTCTTCATTATCGTTATCTCCTCAAATTGTTTATCTTTTAGAAAACGGAATTTCAGAAGATATGAACTATATCACGTTTATAGAGCAACTTAATTCAAATCTTCCGCGTACTACCTTAGATTGCAAACTTCTCGTGCAAGAATATAAAGATAAAAAAGGAAATATTGATGAAGTCGTAAAACTATTTCCCGGTTATACGAAAGGCTATCTTGTCTGGATACTAAATACCATTTGCCGAATGATGTCCGGTCGAAATCAACTCGGAACAAAATGGACTTATCATGAAGAAAGGTTTTTGTCAGAAATGTACCACCTTGGAATCATTGGCCAAAAGGTTGATATTATACTCAAGAAAAGTAACGAATCTTCCACAAAATGGAAAAATGTGAAAAGATTTTTGAAATCTTCTCCACAACTCGAGTCTTTTCTTAACAAGTCCCCTTCTTGTGCCATGTTCGATCCAGGCTATGATAAAATTGGCCTCCCAATTTACTTAAATAACTTAATCAGAATTATTAAAAATGTCGGAGGAATTTCGCTTGAAGATGCCCTTAAATACAAACAATTCATTCAAAGCCCGCAAGAAATCGAAAATTTCTCGATCTTTTCCAAAATCGCAGCAAAGAACCAACAACAAGCTCAAAATACCCAGCAGCCACTCAACACCGCAGTCTCTACAGCTCAAATCAATGCAGCGAGTAACCAAACGACAGCTTCTTACCAGAAACAGAGAGAGGCTTATCTGATACAGCAGATAAATCAGAACAACGCTCAACAGAATATATCTATGCAAAAGCCTGTCAATTCTCAGGTTTCGAATAATCAAAATCAAAAAACTCAAAATACACCACAGCCGCCAAGCAACAAACAACCGAATACACCTATACAACAGATTTCGAATCAAATAAATACAAATACGAGCGTTTCAACTCAAAATCCAAGTTTTAATCTTGGATTCAAACAAAAATCTACACAACTAAGCAGTACAAGTAATGGATTAGCTAATGAAACACAGAGTGCATTGAAAGAAGCCCAGAATTCCGAAAATTCAGATAATTCTGTGAAAGATACTAAAAATTCTGCCAGTAATACAAGTTTATCCGACCAAAAACCAAAAGAATCAATTCAACCTTCGCAATTTTACAAGGATTTGGCGAATTCAAAAGAAGCCATCGGCCAGGCCATTAATGATCCAAATATCAGTCCTGGGGCCAAACTGTTATTGGCTCGTTTGTCTCAGAATCTTCCAAAACAGCAAAATTCCCCAAGTTCTGCACTTCAAATCCAAAAAGTTGAAGAAACTCCAAAAGAAAGCACAGATGACACAAGCAAAGATGATGAAGAAGCAGATGATGGCGAGCCGATTCTTATTTCAGAGGATATAAAGAAATCTGAAGATAAAAAGAGCGATGACATGATAGATACTGACAATTTGTTATCTCTGCAGATCAAATCAGGAGAATCCGATGGTATTGATTCGAATTTGATTAATTTGGCAAGTGAAGATTCAGAAATTTCGGCAAAACCTGAAGAGAAAGAGCCAGTAAAGAAAGAAGAAGAGGAAGAAGACATTTCCGATCCGGTTTTGATATCAACAGAATTTCCAGAAACAGAAGAAAAGCAAAAACCGAAAAATAATAATTCATCTCTCATCGAAACCCCAACAAAACCAATAGCAACTGTATCTCAGTACATACAGACACCACTTCCTCCAAAAGCAAAACCAAAGAACCCTCTCAAAGCCGATTTTGAAACCAAATACGGAAAAGCCCCACAGCCTCCCATTGATTTCGAGTATCTTAAGCAGAAGATGGCCTTACAAAGTAATTCACAGCCTCCAGCATCAAAAAGTGTAAAAGATTCAGATTCTGAGACTCAAAAAACTAACAAAAGCTCAACAAATCCACCGAATACGCCAAGAAAACCAGTTGTTCCTGAATGGGCTCATCAGGATACCACTCACACTCCTCAGCCGAGAAAGGCCAAAATGCCAATTCCGCCGCCACCTCTGAAACCTCCTAGTTTAACTCAGCAGCTATTAATGCGCCATGCCCAGATCAACATGCTCGATTACAACCAAGTCCAACAGCTTTTGATGCAAAATGCGAAAATGAGTGACGGAAAACCACTGACAAAGGAACAGGAAATCATCAACTCACTGCTGACACTTCGTCTGTTGCAGCTGAAGCAGATAAATCCAGCTCCACCACCTCCTTCTTTGGCCCAAGAATGCAAGGCGAAAGGAGTTCACATGCAGTGGACTGTTGAAGAGGAAAAAGTCATAATCCAGCAGCTGATTTTCAACAAGATGTCGAAGTACAAGTGGAAGAAGATCGCTGATGTGCTGCCAGGAAGGAATCCTAAAGGTGTTGCAAGGCATGTGCTGAGGATGATAAAGGATTACGTCGATGGAAAGAAACCAGAGCTGTTCATTCCACAGGACATAATTGATGAGTACAAGGAACAAGTAATTAAAGAATACCCGTCAAAGGCGGAAATGTTCTCAAAGAAATACAATGAAAGAACTGGAGCTAATGATGGTGAGGATGGATCAGATGAGAGTGAGAATGACGAGGAAAATGTTGAAAAGGATGATGAAAATGAGGAAGAAAAATAATTTTTTATTTTTAATTTTGTTTAATGTATAAATATTATTTATTTTATTATAAAGTATTAGGATTTAAACTTGTAGATACCTTTTTCAAGGATCTTTATATATAAGGCTTCGTTATTCAGCCGAAATAAGATGGATATTAACGACTTAGCAATAGGAAATCGAAGTATAGTAATTTATTGTTGTCTGTAGTTTATAGCTATATGCGTAAGAAAAAATAAGGAAAATTAAGATTACAAAATTTAAAGAAACAATAGTATAACGTCAAATTACATTAATAAAAGCTCTTTGAGTTGTATAAGAGCTGCAGGAGGGAGTAAGTTCATATCTATTGGTCCGGTTTCGATCATTTCTGGGCAATGTTTGGAGATAATTGTTTTAATATCTTCTCTGACTTTTGGTCTCGTTTCTTTAATTATTGCATCTCTCAATTTATCTAGTTCTTCAATTGGCATTGATTTCATCAAGAATCTATGAACTTCTGGCTGTGTATCTACATCTTTAGTCTGAAGTTTTGGATTAGCAAATGATAAATCTGATTCTCCTTGTTCACGTGATATCCAAGTAAGAGCATGATTTTTATAATCGCGTTTAATTTCTAAAAGTGTAGAATACCAAGTCATAATTGGGCCATCAGCTATAGAACGTGATAACTCTTTAAAAATTTTTGATATTTCTGTGGCAACTGCTCCAATATAACTTTTCTTTCCGTTGTATTGAATAGCATTTGTACAAATAAGATTCACATCATCCTTCCACTCCTGCACATTTTTGTAGGTTCGTGAATTTAGCTTGTTTTGTACAGTCCCTAAGTCCATTGGTTTTTTAATTTGTTTGAAATAGTCTGGTGCGCCATCTCTTTCCGGATCTACTGGTTCAAGAAACATCTCAGAGATAGGATGTGATCGAATTTTAGTCATAACTTCGTTGCATTTGTTCAATGTGAAATCATCCATTCAAGAAAAGTGCCTTTTTTTTGAAATTTTGTCCATTTTCAGCATCAAAAAAGATGCTTTTTTTAAGATCTGAAATTTAACATGCACAGTAATGAAAAATAAGCTATTAATGATGTAATTCTACAATGAGTGCAGTATATAAACTTCGAAACTCATTGATTCATTTTGGGTCTTTTGGAATCAGCCATTTCTATAAATGTACAATCTAGATTTTTTTAATGTACATAGATACAGAGTATCTGTGTTGATGAAAATAAGAACTTTGATAGATAAATAGATTAAAACAAACATTTTACTTATTCTGTTGCCATGAGACAATAGTTCTATGAAGCATCTGCAATAAAAGAATTGAATCCATATATTGTTCGTCATGCAAGGAGTCAACAGAAGCAATACCTTCGTTGTAAGCTTTCTGTGCAATTTTAAGTGCCTCATCAGGTTCTGAATATATTTCAAATCTAAATATAGCCATGTTCAACATGAGAGAAAGCCTGATAGCAGCAGCTGGTCCGCAGCAGGCAACAATCAAATCTTCTGCTTCTTGATAAGCGGCATTGGCTTTGCTGGTGGATTCTCTACGCTCGTATCCTCTTTGGATTTCTGCTAAGTATCTCCAGTAATCGCCAATCATTCTGTACAATAATCCGCGGATTGAAGTATCTGTTGTTCGATTAATAAGCGATTTTTGTATCATATCAATAATCTCCTTTGAGAAGTTAGAAATATTGCTTTCAATTGATTTTCTGTAATCTAGAAGTGGGGTTGAACGATCATCACGACCTTTACCACGCTCTTTTTGCTCTGTTAAGTAGATACTCTTCCATGCTTTTCTGTATTCGTCCATTTTTCCTTTGCAAATTCTACTGATTGCGTTAACATCTTCGATAGTAAGCTCATTATCATTTTCGCAAAGTCTCATTAAACAATTTCTTGCATATTCAAAAAGATTTGCATCACATAAGTCAAATGCAAACTTGCGAACATCGATTATTTCTGCTTTTGCTAAAAAATCTGAGAACATTTTTGCCACTTTTTGTCCGTTTTTTTGAAGGATTATTATTTTCGTCTGGAAAAGTGACAATATTATCATTTTCGTCTGACGAAAATGATAATTTTTTATTTTCAGGGTCATGCTAAAAAGATAAATTTATGAGATTGCAATGCAATGATACCTACTTGAATTGCAATGCATCTATTAGAAAATTTTGGTGAAAATAAATTGAATAGCTTGAGTTTATGATTTTGACTTCGCTAAAAAAATTTGACTCGAAATTCATAAAAAATGAAACAATTTGAAGTTGGAACAAGAATGATAACATGCACAAGGAGCTATTAAATAAAGTTGTGTATGGGTGGATTGCGCTTAAATTAATAGAAATAGAGTTGTAGTTCAATAATTCAGATGTCAGACGAAAATGATAATTTTGTCACTTTTTTCAGACGAAAATGATAATGCCCCGTTTTTTTTTTATTTTATTTATTTATTTATTTATTTTGTAACTTCAGAAGCTGAATTAGCGCCCAATCAATATTAATTCATTTTGGCTGACATGTTAATGATTATATATTGTAAAAAATATATTGTAAAAAAAATATTTTTATTCTACTTTGTAATGCTCAACAGTACCAAATAAAATTTCATAGAAAACCCAACACATTGGAATAAAGACGAAAACAACTGCAATAACCATAGCAATAATTGGTCCTTTGTTTTCTATTCGAGACCAGACTTTGTAAGCTCTCTTAGCTTCCCAAACCACTCTGTTTAATACACCTGGTTCTGGCGGAATCTCCAAATCTTTGTCAATATCGATCCAATTGTAAGAAATTTTCATCTTTTTGATTTGGAGTCTTTGTCTTTGGGCGAAATCTTCCAAATTCCATCTCTTGACAATTGTTTCGTTGTATCCCACAAAAAGATTTGTAACAAGAACGTCATGGAAATACGACCAAATATTAAATGTAAAACCAGTAATTCCAGGCAAGGAATAGTTATATTCATAAGTAAACTTAGGATTAGGAATTTGTTTCGGTGTCCAGACTTTGATAAACTTTGGATTTTTAATTAAAGGCGGAGTCCACTTTCCTTTGTACTTTTTGTTCTTAATCATTGGTGGCTTGTAAGGGCCACATCCAACTCTGCATTTCGGATTCTTAATCTTCCTTCTCTTGTAAGTTCCGTAAAGATATTCATTCCATTCGTCTGGAACTGTGTCTTTTGGATCAGGAATCATTTCAGGTTCGTCTTCTTCCCATCCGTATGGCTTTTTAAGCAGTCTTGGATTGAGAATAAACTCAGGTTCGCTCTCATTCCAATCATCTGGCTTCACAGCGTTGGGATCTGGTATAAACTCGTCGTCAACCCAATCAGATGGTTTTTTGTCTGTTGGATCGTCTATGTATTTTGGTTGAACTACTGGTTCTTTGAATGAATCTGTAAATGTACCATTTAAAAATGACATTCCGTCAATCATGTACTCGAATGTGTTGTTCGGTCTAATGATTAGTGTGTAAAGGTGCGCAATTTCATCGTAAGGGATTTTAATATCCTTTTCAATTTTATGAGCAATTAAACTGCCATTTTTATCTTCTGTATAAAAGTTAAGGATTGCCTTAGTCTTTTTATTGTTGTGAACTGGACCGAATTCGATAGTACCATGTGTTTTGTTAGTTTGATGAAATGGATCAAAAGATTTCGTATGTATTCTCAGTAATGACTTAAAACAGCTATAAACTAACTGAGCGCGAACTTCATATTGTATAACAATTGTTTCATTCAGTGTAAATATCGGTGCTGGAAGAATTTGAGAAATAAGTGATGATTTTTCTTTGTCTGTAATAACCAATCCTTTCTCACCACGTCTCCCTTGAAGTGGGTAAGATAACTCATTTACCCATTTGCCATTGAAAGAAGCATTTCGAGATTGGATCCACCTTTTCATCACAAATGGGTCTGTGAAGTTATCGTAGAATAGTGGAATGGTAGCCGGAAGAATTGGCCGTCCATTTTCATCATATATTCGTGATATTGACACAGAAAAAGAAAGAAGAAAAACAAACATCGATAAAATTTTTTGACATAATTTTACAGTGCTCTATTTTTATCGATCATTTAAGTTATTATTGAATTAGCATACATGTTTTCTGGGTGTTTTAAAAAAATTAGTCAAAATGGGAAAGACTCATCATTTGCAAGTGAGAATTTCACCAGAAAGGTTCATTCAAGTTGATATTGCTGAACCTCCCGGTGATTGGTTTACAGATGGACATCTTCAAGAAATATTAGTTGCAATTGGAGATCAATTTTATGATTTATACAATCTAGAAAATCCAAAAGTTTTTAGAACTCCTAGATGCTCATTTAGTGTCTTTACACAACCAAAATCATTTAAATCATACATATTTACTCCATCTCAAGAAGAATCAGGTTATTATGGTTTATCAAGCATCCCCAAAATACTTTGTATCAGAGTTCTAGGAAGAGCAGATGTAGCTGAAAAACTTCAGCGGCAAACTACCCTTGATTCGGCTTTGAGAATTGTTCGAACTTAAATATTGTTTGTATTATCTTGCACATGATTCCAATTTCAATTATGCTAATATTGTACTAACTTCGATATGCAATAATCTCAACTCTTTAAAATTTCAATGATGGAAGAGAATACTGAAGTTGGAAACTAAATAAATATCTATCTTAGTGTGTATATTTAGATAATTAATCTAATGCATTGCAGCATTTTTAATTATATACGTATTTATTGAAATTGAAGCTTTTTTTTGTCTATTATACAATTACAAATGATACTTGTAAAGGGAAAATTCGAATATTCTCCAGTTATTGAGCATATATGGTTATAATTGATGTGAATAACAGAAAATATCCAAATAGAGAAAGAGCTTGAGGACTTGCAGATTAAGACAGAATATACATATCTAAGACTTGATCATACATTACTGCTTTATTACAAAGTTACCAAAAGATCTATGATTAAGTTTATTATCTCAAAACATAAAAAAATAGACTATGATAATATTTTTATACTTGGCTATTGAAGCAAATTTTTAAATAATAATCATATTTAACTGTTAAATATTTATATAAAAAATATTGAAAATACAAATAGGATATAAAGATATGAAATTACTGCTTTTTTGTCATCTTGGAGCGAATTGGATCGAAAAACTTATGTTCGAGAGCCTCTGCAGCTGTGATTCTTTCTTCATGATCGACAGTGAGGAGCTTTTGGAGTAAATCGAGTGCATCATGGTCGTTCTTTGCTTGGTTGAATGAAGGGTTCTGTGTTAGTTTGTTGAATTGAGGTGTCTGAGTATTTGATAAATTCTTCTGCATCTCAGGAGTCAATTGGAGGCCGTATTTGTTGACGTATGCTGTAATTGCGTTTGTTCCGCATACTGAAGATACGTCGCCAACCATTTCGTCAATATCTCTTCCTTCGAAAAATGGAAAACGAACAAGCATTTCAGCAAGAACGCAGCCAGCGCCCCAGACATCAATTCCGTAGTCGTAGTATTGATAGTTGAGGAGCAACTCTGGTGCTTTATATCTTAATGTAGAAACACGTGGGGAATAAGCTTCTTTAGCTAGGTAAAAATCACCCAGACCCCAGTCAATAAGCTTCATTGACTTTCGATTCTGGCCAAAAAGGATATTGCCTGGTTTGACATCTCGATGCATTATGCCACGCTTATGGCTTTCATTTAAGCAAGTTAAAAGTTGCCACATTAAAATTCGTATATTTTCTAATGTTAATTTTGGAAATAGAGTTCTTGGAGACTCAGATTTTAAGTAGTCTGTAATTATTGAAAAAGTATCTGTTAATGGGTCAACAACGACGCCATATAATTGAACTGTATTTGGAATATCCTTGATTTTAGTTAATAAACAAATTTCCTTTTGAATTTTGAAATGGGGAACATTTTTAAGTGTTTTAATAGCACATTTCTTCTTGCCATCCATTCTGCCTAAGAAAACTGTAGAATATTTTCCTGTACCAACAGGAGAAATTACTTGAAAGCGTTCTATATCTGTTAATTCAATTGGGAAGTCTACAACAATAGATTCGAGTTCGTGAGCATCTTTGATAATATCGTTATAGACGCGAGAGACGGAAATTTTATTGTAGACTGGTGTCTTAAGTTGATTTGTCATTGAAAAAAAAATTTGTTTTTGTCAAGAAAAAGTTGTTTTTTTCTTGTTTATTGTCAAAAACATACAAAAAAGCAAAATCTCCTTATTTAGTGGGATATTTCGTATGAATGTTATAGCATCCCTCGGAATGGAAATTTTGGCAGTGATATTCTCGCTATACATTCTGCAATTTCACTAATATTTTGTTCCAAAATTAAAATAAGTAGCATTGTTATTTAAGCATATGACTATTTCTAATTGGAAATTTTGTTGTATAACCACTCTTCCTGAAATGGGAATTCAATGTATCCGCCGAATTTAATCTCCAAATTTAATTTTATCGCATCGTATATATGAACATTTTACGGCTAAATGTACTTATTAGCAAAGGTAGTCTAGTTACATGGGTCCATTTTATCAAATTCGAGAATTATAAAATTTCATTTTTTATAATGAATTATTAGAATGAATATTAACAAAATCGAGTATTTTATGTTTCTGCTTCCATATTTTATCAAAATATATAAGATTTATAAATAAAATAATACAAACATTTATAAAACAATAAATAATAATCATATAGTAATCGTTAACTCTGTTTGAGTTGGTTTCAAAGCAACTTCAACAGATCTTCCGATTAATCTTCTCGGAATTTTCTTTGGCCCTTGTCTGAGCCTACTTGGAACAGGTGCAGGGGGCATTTCGTTCTCTATCAAGTCATTTCCATCCATAGACTGCGGTGTCGTGGCCCTGAAACCGCCAGTTTTTGCCAGTGGCCGGGTTCCTCCCAAAGCTGACTTTGGCCTCTCTGTGTGCAAAACTGCCGATACAAGTTCCTTCTTGTCGATGCTCTTCTCGTTCCACTTGTCGCTGTCCTTGTCGTACGTGAACTGGTTCTTGACTCTCTCCACTTCGCTTGGCGGGATGAAGTTGTCCACTATCTGCTGTAGCAAGTCCAACTGCTGGGCCAGTGACTCCTGGTGCTCGGCCAACTGAACTCTGTCTCCGTTAATTGTTTTCTGGACTTCAGGGAGCATCACTTTCAAGTTTTTGTATCTGTCGACTAAGTCTTGGAACTGTGACACGACGTTTTCTACGTTCTGTGCCAGACTTGAAACTTCTCTCTCTTTCTCTTCCTGCTGTCTTCTTCTCGCTTCCATTTCTTCCTGCATTTTTCTGGATTTCTCTTCTCTCATTGCGAGTTTCTTCCTCGCTTCTTCGATCTGCTTCTCGTTCTGTGTTGTTCTCTGCATCAGCTGTGACTTGTTTGATGTCTCCAGAGCTTTCGTGAGTTCTTCCAACTTCGCTTGGAATGACTCTCTCTTCGCTTTCTCTGCTTCAATCTCCTTCAGTCTCTGCTCCATCTTTTTCGTCAGTTCTATCCTCTCTTTCTCAGCCATGTTCGACTGCTTGGCGATCTCCGCTCTCTCCTCCTCCAGTTTCGCTTCCATCATGGCAATGACGTCGTCTGATGCTCCCATCTGTGCGGACAACTGGTCTTTCTGCTGAATCTGCGATTCGAGAGCGGCCAATTCCTCTTTGAGCTGAAGGAGAAGGGCATCCTTTGGGTCCATGTTCACTTTCGGCTTGTTCTCGATCTTCTTGGCTCTTTCCGCGTATCTGAGCGTTGACATTGTCTCGGAAAAGTTGTAGTCTGCTGGTCCGAGGGCGGCTATCATCATTGTGCGGGCATTTCCGCCGAGAGAATCCTTCAGAAGCATAGTAAGTTTCGAATCTCTGTAGGGAATGTGACTGCCTTTGGATGTAAGCGCAGCAATGCAGTTGCCTAAGATCATGAGCTCGTAGTTGATGTTGACACCTTCTGTAAAACCTACACCTTCTGCTCCCGTTTTCGCTGCACGTTCAGATCCGGCTAAATCGACCATATTCAGACGAGCTGAACGGACGTGATCTTGGCCATCGATCTTTGTAAGCGTTTCGATAACTAGAGAAAGGATAGAATGTGATCTGGAGCTCTCAGAGTTCATATTTGTTTTTCGGACTACGCGATTTTTCTTGCCGTATGCGAGTAGCGCATGGAGTTCATCTACACTCTTGACTTTGTGGGTGCAAACTCCTTTGATGTAAACATTTTTCTGTGCATCTTCTCTGATCTTCAATGGCTGCTCATGATTCTCTGCCAATAGATCACGTAACTCATTGTTATAGATTTCCACGTAGGTGACAGTAACTAAAAATTCATGAGAATCTTGATTTGCTTGAATATATTCAAAAATATGGTCAAATGCACGTGGCATGATTCCTCGATGCTCACCATGCGTTTTTCCATCCATAGAGTATGTTTTTCCAGTGCCTGTTTGGCCGTATGCAAATATTGTTCCATTAAATCCTTCCAAGACACCGGAAACTATTGGTGCTGCAGTGGCTTCGTATACTTCTTCTTGTGTACAATCTTCAGGGAATCCATAGTCGAAGGTAAATGTAATAGTTTGATTTTGAGGATTTTGTATTTTGACTGTTGCTGTTTTCTTGTCAATTTCGACTATTTTCTTAAAACCCGCATTGATTTCCTTCTCTGACATCGGACGAAGGCGAACTGAAACCTTCACAGCCTCCCTTTCGTTGGCTTTTGGAGGCATTGTCCTCTTCTCGATATTTTTTTGAATTTTTTCTTACATTAATGGGCGCAAAATTTTGTTCTCTGAATGAAAAAAGAGAATCATTGCATGTAATGTAATAACTTTAATTTTCCCGACTCTTCACAAATAACAGAATTCGTTTTCTTGGATCAATAAGAAAGAATTCAGGAAATAGACCATGAGGAATTTTTAAAGTGTCCATATGACGAACTGAATTCTAAAGTTGGGCACTAATAATTCTATGAATTCTTAAATCCATTATCGTGATATCCCTTTTTTTTGTATATTTTCTTGGTCAAATAAACATCATATCTTCTTCTTATAAGCATTACCTATTCCAAGCAACAGATTGGCTAATACAATTTTCATATTTCCTGGAACAACGTGCAGAAGGAGTTTGAAGTTAAGAGCAGCACAACGATCAATCCTTAATTTCAAAGACAAATGATTGTGACAATATCAAAGATATGAAAGAAAAAATCTGTAATTTACGTCTCAGCTACAAAATCTTCAAACAAGAAAACATACACATACTATTATTATAGGATATCAGATCCAAAACATCATTGTATTATAATCATTCCGTATAATGTATTCAATCTAAAGAAAATTTAATAACATTGTGGAAATTTATAAAAAAAATCAATAAATTTGATAAAATAAGTCAAAATTTCTTAAAAAGCTTTATGGTGAGACACGAGTTGGGTCACGTGGGAAGAGGGAACCACGGCGGACGTTGTGGAGTCCGAGGAAGAGGAATGTGATACGGTCGAGACCGCAGCCGAGGCCAGCGTGTGGAGGAGCACCGTAGCGGAATGATTCGACGTATGGCATGATTGGGGAGAGATCGACACCCTTCTTAGCAGCGCACTGGAGAAGGAGTTCTGAGTTGTGGATACGCTGAGCGCCGGAGACGATTTCTTCGCCACGGAGGAACATATCGTAAGAGTTGGAGTACATTGGGTCATCTGGATCTGGCATTGTGTAGAATGGGCGGACGGCGGCTGGGAACTTATCGAGGATGAAGAAGTCTGTGCCGTACTTCTCTCTGACGAGTCTGCCGAGGCACTTCTCGAGTTCTGTGTCGAGGTCCTGGTCTGGCTTCATCTCTGGGTGGCCGTTCTCGTTGAGGAGTTTGACGGCATCCTTGAAGTTGATGATGCATGGCTTGATGACGAGTTCCTTGACGTGCTCGCCGAACTGGGAAGCGACGGCCTCAATCTCTGGCTGGCACTCCTTCTGAAGGCGTGTGAAAACGGTGCAGAGGAGTTCCTGGAAGAGGAGGAGAGCCTCGTGGTAGTTTGTATCGAAGGCCATTTCGGCATCGAGACCTGTGAATTCTGTAAGGTGGCGGTGTGTGAATGACTTCTCAGCACGGAAGACTGGGCCGATTTCGAAGACACGTGGCATGCCGGAAACAACAGCCATCTGCTTGTAAAGTTGTGGAGACTGAGCAAGATATGCCTTGGAGTCGAAGTACTTAACTTCGAAGACGTTGGAGCCACCCTCGGAAGCTGTTGGGATGAGCTTTGGTGTATGGATCTCCTGGAAGTCGCGGGCAAGTAAGAATTCGCGGAAGAATTGGCAAACCTTGGACTGGAGGCGGAAGATAGCCTGGTTAGCGACTGTTCTGAGATCTAAGACACGGTTGTCGAGGCGGAGCTTCTGTGTAACTGTTGGGCCCTTAGCAGCGGCAGCCTTGGCCTTCTTGGCTTCCTTAGCCTTGGCCTTCTCCTGCTTCTTGAGCCAGTTCTTCTTGCGCTTCTCGACCTGTTCTGGTGTAAGCTTGTTGCCTTGTTCGTCAATTGGATTGCCCTCAGCATCTGTTGGGAGCTCGAACTTTGGACCCTCTTCTTTGGCACCTTCGTGGTTGAAGGCAGCCTCTTCAGCCTCTTCTTCGCGGTCTTCATCGGCTTCAGTGATTCTGGAGCAGTCTTCGACCTGAATTGGGAGTGGTTGCTGAGACTTTGAGACAACACGGATTCTCTGGGCCTGAATCTCTAAGTTCTGCTTTGTGCAGCCTGTGATTGGCTTTTCTGGGACTGTAACGGTACCCTTGATTTCGACGTAGGACTCGACTGGGATGTTAGCCTTAACAGAGGAGTAAACCTGGATTGTAGCGATTTGGTCACGGATAACAAGGAATTTGCTACGGTTCTTGGCGAGGAATCCGCGGAATTCGATAACCTTACCGACATGTTCCTCTGAAATCTGTGGAACACGAAGGAGTGTTCTGTCTGTAGTTTCCTTAGACTGGATGAGAGGAAGTTCTTCGATGACACACTCTGGTTCTGTCATTGATATAAAATGCGGCCAATAGTTTACAATTTACAATTTCATCGTCAGAACTCAATTCATTTTTTTATATTTGTCGTTTATGATGTTAGAGTTCCAAAAACGTTTTCAAGACGTCAAAATTAGTGATCGGTTCCTGGAGAATTTGTCAAAAAAATTTATTCACTTCTCAAAAATTTGAGAGGAATCTATGCCCAAGATTCAAATTTAGACAGCTAATTGAGTGGCAGACTTTTTGGTTCAAAATACTGCTGTATCACCCAATGGTTGGTTAAATTTTTGATCAAGCACCATAAAAATTCTCCAACCTGCGAATAAAAATTTAATATTCGTTGAGTCATCAAAGTTTAATCCAGAAAGCTAATAGTTATTGATTGCTGATTTGCTTGAAAGATATTTGTTTTCACATTATCGGATGTTAAATTGGGAATTGCAAATCTGTTGTACTTTGCAAGATTTCAATTTCTTAGTTTCCTCTAAATGCATTGTTGTGTTGATTGGCAGTCTGTATGGCGACTGATAACTAATGACCAATCAATAAAAAAATTAGATATTCATTTACAGAAGAACTTGTTCGTTATGATATTGATTGTCTAATCCTAATTTAATCGATGTTTCAATCAAACTTAGTTACATCTACTAATAAGCCACTTTCAGTAATAATTTCAGATATATGGACTCAGCATATGTACTAATAGTTTACACTGATGGAAAATTAGCAGATGAGATGTTAAAAAACATTATTTTCAATAAAATGAAAAATTAAAATTTAATTTTGCTTAGAAGAAGTAGCATCATTAAAATAAAATCGATATATAAAAGGAATTCATGATAAACGAACTCTAATTATCCTTTTTCGAATTAATAAGCTTAATGATTTTTTGCATGCCTGATTCTTTGGCTGCTTCAATTGGAGTAACACCATCTAAGCCTGCAATATTGACATTAGCACCAGATTCAATTAATTTCATAACTAATCTTTGATTTCTTGCTTTGCATGCAAGAACTAAAGGAAGAGTTTCAACGTTGGTGTCATTTAGATTTGCCCCATTTTGAAGTAGGAAGTCAATAGATTTTGAATATTTTGATATCAACGCATAGCATAAAGGTGAGAGTCGTCCGACATCAAGTAAATTGACATCAGCGCCTTTACTTACTAGAAATTCTAGAAGTTTCATGTTTTCATTGAAGCAGGTAAATGATAAAGGTGTGAATCGTTCCTCAAATATTATGTTCACATCGGCTCCATTTGAGAGGTAATAATTAACAGCATCCTCTGTTCCAACTTTCAATGCATTGAACAATCCTAGCTTAAGATCATCCTTCTTGAAATTTGTGTTCCTGTAGCCTGTTTGAGTCAAATAGTTGATTGTATTAAGTTCTGCTTCACGAAAAGCCCTTAAGAATACTTCATTCTTGAATTCATCATCAACATTTTTGATATCTTCAAACAAAATTTGGATAAATTCTACTGATTTGCTGTCAATAGCTTGGAAAATATTTTCTTTTGTGATTTTGGCACCTTTAGAAACTATGTATTTGCAAATATCAGTGGACTTGTTTTCTAAACATAATTTAATAAAGTCATCCTGCTTTATGTCAGCTCCTAACTCCACAACTTCTTTAACCATTGTTAATGAGTTTGTTTTTATTGCTGCAGTCAATGGATAAACTCCGAATTTGTCTGGTAAGTTAATATTTGCACCATTTTTAACCAAATATCTTGCAACATCAGGGAATTTATGCGAGCAGCAGCCAATTAATGGCAAAGCATTTAATGGTTGGTTGACATTAGCTCCTTTTGAAACTAAAACTTTGACAACTTCAAGGAAACCTTTTTCACTGGCGATGCTTAATACTGTTTCATCATTATCAACAGTTGTGTTAATGTCGGCACCGTTATCAATGAGATATTCAGCAATTTGAGGGAACTTTCCGCGACATGCCATTGAAAGAGCAGTTTTGTTAAGTTTCTTTCCGTTCTTATCAATATAATATCAATATATTTGCTCCGTGTTCAACAAGTAATTTGACAATATCGTAGTATCCATGCATGCAAGTGATCCAAAGAGGCGTCTTAAAGAACCTTACGCTTGATCCTGCAAACATTGTTCTCATTCCTTGTGTATCGATAGTGATAGAATTAACGTCTGCATGCCTTTCGATAAAATATTTCGCCATTTCATAATTATTTGTATTGCAAGCGTAGGCAATTGCATTATACTGGATATACTTCATTTCTCCTGCAACAAAGTTCACATCTGCCCCTAAATCGAGTAAGAACTGGATCAGCTCATAGTTGTTCTTCCTGCAAGCTCTGATGAGTGGTGATTCTCCTGGTTCTCTGCCCAGATTGATGTCGATAACAGCACCTTTACTTCTGAAATATTTTGCTAAAGCTAAGTTTTCGCACTTTGCTGCTTCTGTGAAGCATGTTTCATTTAATGCAGTTGATTTGAATTGAATATCACATCCATTTTGATATGAAAAGAGTGCGGCTAATGTATTCCTGTAATGTACGCAATCAGGAATTTGAACGACTGCGCATTGATAATGGGTCAAAAGCCAATCAGCAATGTTGTTCTTGTGGCTTTGAATTGCAATTCTGTAGCAATCAAAATCAAATGCTAAATTCTGTTGCTCACAGAAATGAATGATAGAAAATGATCCGCCTTCAATTGCATATTTTGTGAGTGTGGCATTGAAGGATGCCCCATTTGCTATAAGGAAGTTAAAACATTCGTTTGCTCCATATTTTGCACTTATTTCCAGTAATGTCAGCGGAAATTCATTGATTTCGAATGTCATATCAACATGAAAATCAAGTTCAAGTGTTTTCTGTCGAAGGGCATCTATTTGGTCCCATGCAATGATGTAGGGAATGGATCCTTCAGTGAATATATTAAGGACTTTATCGGCTTCAACTTCATATTTCTCCTTTTATTCAATGTATCCATATGAACGGAGGACATTGGATAGAGCTTTTGATATATCGCGTGGTTCAACTGGGATTTGAACTGCGGTTGCAATCTGATTATACAATTTGGATATTTGTGCCATTAATAAGGGATTGTAGCACGCAAATGCATCAATTAACTGATATACATAATATGCGCGCACTTTTCCTCCCAAAATCAGTGGGATCACGAAACCACTTATTTCATCTTGATTATTACCATTAAAGGACCAAATAGATGTCTCCACATTAATGACATCGGATAGATCTTCTGGGATGTCGATATCCTCCAGGCAGAGTACCCTGCGGTCGTCAGTATAGAAGTCCGACATAACAACTAAAATTTTGACAAATTACGTTTAAAATTAATGCTTCTCAATTAATTGTCCGGAAGAAATAGTAAATTCAATTAATCCTCAAAACTGATATTGAATGATATGTGATTCACACCTATTCCAATATATTTTTGATGAAATATCCAAAAATTTTTCAAATCTGAACAATAATTTGAATATATTAAATATCTTGATAGTATATTTAAAGTTTTGAAGCATGCTGATAAATATTTGCTGCTTATTTCATATATTTAATGATAAATTAAAATGGAAGAAATTGTAAAATCGTTCTATAACTACAAATTATGTCAAAGTATAAGAATTACGTGTTACGGTAGCTATTTAATCCATATATCAATTAAAATTCTGGAAGATTTTTTGAATAGCAAAAATAAACTGAATTACAAAAGTGACAATTATTTTTTAAAAAGCATTCATTGTTATTCTACAGAATGTAGGTGAATTAAATTTATTGTCAATTGTAAACTTCACAAAGTGAAAATGGGTTAATTTCGTAAATAGAATTTTATTTGACTAAATTTCAATATTAATTTTATATGACTCACTTATTTATTTTAACAGATTTATTATCTTTGAAATTCAATTTGAGCTGAATTTAAAAACTTCGTAAATTGGAATATCCCGATCTTCTACAATAACATTTCCACTTTTTTTAATACTGAAATTGGATAAAAGCTTTTGAACCGCGATAGGAAATGTAGTCAATAATATTATCAATATTATGCTTTAATATAACTTATTGTATTCGTATTTTTCAAAAATAATCGGTTATTCATTTGTAATTTTCAATAGTTTATTTTTAATAATATTGAATAGTTCACAATTTTGTTAAGATTAGATTGTCTTTGTTTCTTCTTTAATTGATTTAATACAGTAAAATTTTTCAAATTATTTTTCTTTCCTAACAAAAGAATAAATTCTAAAGACACGCAATATTATATATACCATGTCGGAAATGTGCGTAATGCTTGGTGATGTTCCTGTCGTGTTCAATAAGGAATTTGGGCACTACACATATATTGATACTATTGGAAAAGGTGCAACATCAATTGTAATAAAAGCAATGAATAATAAAACTGGAAAAATGGTGGCTTGCAAAGTTGTTTCTCGCTTAGTTTTAATGAAATTATCGCAACTCGAAATGTTTGAGCAAGAACTACGCATTTTAGAAAAGGTTAAACATAAAAATATTTGCAAACTTTATGAAATACTTTACTACGAAGAGGTTATTATGGTAGTCATAAAATATTGTTCAAATGGTGACCTTTTCGATTATATAACTTCACTTGGAACAGTCGGAGAAGTTCAATGTTATCGTATTATCTTGCAATTAGCAAAAGCTCTTAGCTACTTGCATAGCCGAAAAATATGCCATCGCGATATCAAACCAGAAAATATTGTTTTTGATGAAAACATGATACCAAAATTAATCGATTTTGGAATTTCTACTGAAGTTTTAAACAATGCAAGAAAGAACCATTGCTCAGGTACATTTCTGTACTGTCCTCCAGAATGTTTCAATAGTGTTCAGTTCGATCCAATGGCCGCTGACATTTGGTCATTAGGAATGACCTTATATACAATGCTTTTTGGATGCTTCCCTTGGAAGGAGCAGTCCGAAGATGAGATTGTTAACTTTATTTCCACAACACAAATTACAGTTCCACCAACATGCTCTCAAAGAATGAGAATGATTTTAAGACGCATGCTTGAATTCGATCCAAACTTAAGGCCTAGTGCTGATGATCTTGTAAATTTAATTGAAAAGGATAACCCACATTCTATGCCGATTATTCCAAAAATCACTTTACCAACTTCAACAAAGCCAAAGAAATCGGGAAAATGTACTCTGCGTGAATCAGCTTGCTCAGTTATTGGATTTCGTCCTAAAGCAGCAACGATGAAACCAGTTTATATCCTCCGATAATTTAATCATATGTTTGAAATATTTTCTTTATGCGGTTATATATTGTTAGTTTAAACAAATTATTTTGGTATGAAATGAAATGCATTTAATGTTTGTAATTGAAACTTAACATCTCTTTATACTATTATATAGATCATTCGTTGCTGATAGAAGATCTAACCAAATAATTTTGGCAAGGACTCAAACAGAGGCGTCAACAATGTTTTTACCAACAAGAACAAGTTATATTTTATTAAAATTAGGTTACTATAGATCTCGAAAGAAAATTCGTTTTCGCTAATTAGCATTTACAGCATTTTTTTCAGATGGATTCTAAAAAAGTTAAAATTAAATGAAATATATTCCCAATATGAGTTAAATGAAGATATATAGCTGAATTTCAGGTTTAATTCTTTAACTAATAATAACTTTTAGTTAAAAATCAAGTCTAGCAATTAATTCGCTTGACAGTAAATTTCAAAAAGCAAGAATTATTAAGTAATCAACTCATAGATTATATTCTATAAAAATCTAAGGCATTTGACCATCACAATAAGTCACAATTATGAGTTTGAGGAGTGAAAAATACAAATTGTTTTGTGCAAAAAATTGAATGGAAAAGCTTGTCGAAAACGACAAAACACCGAATTGTTCGATTATTTACAATCTCAATCATGTCACTAGTATAATAAACAAGGTATTATGTTTCTGAATTACAGATGAGACGATACGCTTTACAAAAGTGTAAAATTTACAATTTCATAAGCTTATGTGAAATCCGTGACTAAGAAATTTTGCTATTAGATCAATGATTTTGGATCGCAATCGCGAACTCTTGTTCGGCCATATTCTATTTTGTTTACAACCGTCATTATTTTGAATTGAGTACGATAATTGGTTAAATTTTTTTCAAGTAAAAATATTTATCAAAAATGCATAACCCCAACCAAAATCCACCAATTGCCCAGCCAAGAGCAAGAGCAGCTTTTAGGGGTCCACGTCCACAATCCGAATCATTTCAGAGAACTCCTGCATCTGGTCGAAGGCCAAGATCACAAGTAATCACACCTTCTACTAATGTATTTATCAATTATATTCCTCCTCGCTTTACAGAGCAGGATTTAAGGAATTTGTGTTCTCAATACGGAGAAATCATAAGTAGTAAAATTATGATTAATCTCGAAACTGGCCAGTCCAAGTGTTTTGGATTCGTAAAATTTAGGGAGCTTTCACAAGCTCATGCTGCTATTCAAGCTATTGATGGAATGTCAATAGGCAACAAAAGACTTCTTGCCAAATATGCTGAAAGCCAAGAAAAGCACGAAAAACTTTCCACGATGTTATACATTAAGCACTTGCCTTTATCCATTGACGTTAACGGTGTTTACCAAATTTTTTCAAGATTCGGTGAAATTACTCAAGTTTCACCACACTCTGTTGATTCGACTGATCCTCAATACTGGCGCTGCTTCGTTAGGTATCAAACTCAGGAAGCTGCAACTGAGGCCATGTCAATGAATAATCAAATCATCGTGGAAGGTTCTCGCCCAATTCACGTCAAATATGCTGATGAAGCTAGACTAAGTGGATCTTTTGTCCTCCCGCCTACTGGTTCTACACCAAGTGCACCTACCGAAGATGAACAAAGAAAACTCTTACCGAGCTTTTTCTTCAACTAAGAAACTGTTTCTGTATCATGTAAATTGAATAAATCATATATATCGTGTCTACATTATGAAAAATCATTACAAATATTTCTTTCTTTTTATCTACTCATCATAATTTTGGGCTTCGAAGTTAATTTTGGTATTTGGAAAATATAAGAATGATTATTTTGATGATAAAATCAATTATCTGAGATCCGTAGAAAATTGTTCGATTCCTTTCTTAATTTATGGTCCACTAATAGAAGTAAATTCATATTAAGAACAGTGTAAATTTTCTTGTGGTTTAATCCAAGAAGAAATTAATTGACAATAAATTGAAATAAATTTTCAAAAATCATTGTATTGGTGCTTTACATGTACACTCTAAGAATTCATTATGTGTATGTATGATCTAGAATGTTTATAATGGTTAAATATATATTTGATATATGTGTATATGCTATTTACCTAAAGCAGGTAAAAGCATGATATGGACTTCATAGCACATGAACCGGACTATTATTGTGAATGTTTAGTTAAAGTAAAAATAAAGGGATTTTGAGTATAGATTATTTTAACGTTTTTAATCAAATATAAGTCTGTAAATTTATTGAATGCGAACATCTAAAACAGTCTTAACTAAAAGGTCTACAACTTGTTGCTTATGGTTGCGGATTTTATCAGCAGCTTCCTTAGATTGTTTCTTACGTTCTTCCTCAAGAGATTTCTTAAGTTCTTCGATTTCTTTTGCAGCTTGAGCCTTCTTTGATTCGACTTCCTGAGCATATTTTTGTTTTAATTCTTCGACCTTTTTAGTAGCTTCCTTAGACTTTTGTTCTCTTTTCTCTTTTCCTTCGCGTTCTGCATCCTCAACAATCTTTTTGCACTCGTCTTCTGCTGTTAAGAGCTGGACCCAGTAGTCAGTCATTGACGATTCTGAAGTTTACGATTTTTTAATCGTCATCTTTCTTCGATCTTGATCGTCTTGGTAAACACAAATAGATATTTCTGCAGTAATGAAATGCCTATTGAATATACTCTTAGTATTCAGTATATTGGAATTATTAAAACTGAACACCATCAAAGATTTCATGCAAATTTCAAAATTTACAGATATCCGATATTATTTCTATGTGCTTTTTGCTCTACAAGGTGCATATGTTGAAATATGCAAAGGTGAGGCTTTATTCACATCTTGGTTCGATTTGAAATCTCAAATCATATATACGCAATGCGTTCAAATATGTATTATTTATAATTGTCTTCTGTATAAGTGAATTCATGACAAATCATACCTTCATTCAAAAATTTCAATTCAGAATCAAAAATCATTTAGGAATTGATGATCTTATAGGATCAAATGTGCCAGATTAGACATTCTAATGATTCTATAGTGTAAAAATGCTAGAATCGTCTGTGCAATTATCAGAATAACGCAGTGTAATCGTTTTTTGTCACTTTTATTCCAAAAAAATTTTCGATCAAAAATCTCCAAAAAAAAATATGAGAACAGAAGGAACTGTTGTTGAAACTCCAGCTCCAACAGAAAAGCCAACAACTAATGTCCAAGCTGAGGGTAGTGAAGAGCAAGAACTTACTCCAGAACAAATGGATTTCATTCGCGAAAAAATTCGCCCAATCAAAATAATGGAAGTTGTTTTCTTTTTCTCAATAATTGGTGTTTTCTTATTCATCTATATGCGTGTTTATAATCAACCATTCCCACCTTTCTTGAAATTCATTCTTGGAATAGATGATGTTGTCTATCCTCGCGATGCTCAACCAAAAGTTGGGTCAAACAATGCATAATATTGTTTTACATTAAATGAATTTGTTATTTTCTTAAATCTCTATATTATTATCAACAAAATTGATTATTCTATTCGAAATTTCCTACGCGCTTCATCTCTGAGATAAATTACTTTAAAATACGTTAATGTTCAACTCAAAATTTCATTTCAAATATATATTTGTTATAATCAAGTATCAATAAGTCATAACAATGTCCTAAGTGTAACTAGGCTACTCTTACATACCAATACTCTATATTTTGAAAGACTTTCTAAAAAATATTATTCTAAAAGGTTTTTATCTAATCTAATAGTATTAACATTGATTCTATTCCTATGTAAATAATTTACGTTATTGTATGAGGATGAAATCGCGAAAAGTGAATTTCATATTTCGGAAATCAATTTGAATAAAAAAAAATATGATTTCTGAACAATGAGAACTTTACTGTGGATAAAAATGAGAGAATGAAATTAACTGGTAATCATCTCTTTTAAAAAAAGAAGCTAAAATTTACTTGCGCTTTGCAACAACGTTTGCAACAGCCTGGGCAACGAAGTCAACATTAGAGTTGTTAAGAGTTGGGACAGAGATACGGCCGTTTGCTGGGATGAAGACGCCTTCCTCCTCACCGAGGATCTTGACCTCGTCTGGTGTAAGGCCTGTGAGAGCGAACATACCCTTCTGCTGAGCGATGAAATCGAAGGACTTTCCGGACTTCTCTTCGAGGAGCTGGACGAACTTGGCACGGATGTCGATAACTCTCTTGGAGATGACCTTGAGCTCTTCAAGCCACATCTTGTGGAGCTCTGGGTCGTTGATGACTTCTGTAGCGATGTATGAACCGTTCTGTGGGCAGACGGAGTATGTGAATCTGCCGATTGTGGCGAACTGAGAGCCAACGCATTTAGCTTCCTGAGCATTAGCGCAGACACCATGAACGCAGCCAACACGCTCACCGTAGAGACCCATGCACTTTGAGAAGGAGAAGCAGACGAAGAAGAAGTTGCCTTCCTTAGCAAAGTTACGAATAACAGAAGCATCTGTGTCTGGATCGCCAGATGCCCAACCCATGTAGGCGAAGTCGAAGCATGGGATGTGCTTCTTAGCCTTGACAGCATCGAGGATTCTCTTCCACTGTTCTGGTGTTGGATCAATGCCTGTTGGGTTGTGAGCGCATGCCTGAAGAAGGACAACGCAGCCCTCTGGAGCATCTTCGAGGGACTTGATGCAAGCGTCGATGTCGAGGCGGCAGTCCTTAGCCCAGGCGTATGTGCCGAGTTCGAGACCCTGTTCGCTGAAGATGGCCTTGTGGTTAGCCCATGTTGGGTTGGAGAGGAGGATCTTTGGAACCTTGAGGTGGTCCTTGACGTATCTGGCAACTAAGTAGAGAGCACCAGTACCAGCGCATGACTGAATTGATGCTGTTCTGTCAGCAATCTCTGGGAGAACTGGGCCCCAAAGGAATTCACGAGCAGCCTTAACAAAGGCAGCATCGCCTGTCATTGGGAGATAGTCCTTGCTGTGCTTGCCGAGCATCTTCTTCTCAGCTTCGCGAACGCAGTTGAAAACGTATGGCTTGCCATCTTCTGTACGGTAAACACCGACAGAAAGAAGAGCCTTCTTCTCGAGCTTGGAGGCATTGTACTTTGTGGCGACGCCGAAAATGGCATCCGGAGGAGCTTCTGGGGTGTTAGCAAATACTGACATTGCTGTAAATGAAGTGAATTCTTTTATCGTTTCTAGCGGCTTCAGAAAACGATGGTTTACAAATTTCATCGTTTTCAAAGTGTTCGGAATTCATTATTTTCTGAACCTTTGGAGTAATCTGATATTAATGAGGAATTAAATTTGAACACAAAAATTAATTTGAAAGGTCTGAAATTGAATAAAAACGATTTTCAAGATTGATTATTAAAATAATATAAATCAGGATCTAAGTAAAATGACAAAAATTGTATGAAATCGAACAAACATTTTAAAATACCTTGATTTATTCATATTTTGCTTTAGCATTACAACTATAATTCAAATCCTATATAGATTGTTCATGTTAACGCTAAGAATAAATTTCAAAAAAAAATTCAAAAAATCAAAAATGAAATTACAAAACTCGAAAATCTCAATTAAAATCATATTTTCAAAAAAATTTTGGAAAGTAAATATATTATAAAATTAATATTTTCCCTGATTTACTGATTATTTTCCTGTTAATCCAGTTATTTCTTAATAATTTTTTTTAATTATCGTTAGTTCTGTAGTTTGAAGCTTTGTTGGCCTTGATTTTCATAATGGCATTCTATTTAATCTCGACTTTTAGACGTCCATTAGTTCGATATTATTAATTTTTAACATTTTTATATTTAGTTTTTCCAAGTAAAAAATACCATTGCAGATAATATAAAACATACAAACATTTAATATTTAGTATTGCCATTCCTCATCTGCTCAATCATTTCTTTGAGCTCATTTTGATAAATCAGCAAAGATCTAGTTCTCTCTGGTGAAAACTTTCCTGCTGAAATGAGTTCACAGAGAGTGTTATTCATATCCGCTACACTTTGAATAACATTATTTGATTCAACTTCTTTTTCATTTCGGAGTACAAGTAAAGAAGCAGATATAGATGCAAGAGCTTCAAGCTGCTTAGTTCCTGGAATGAACACCATTTCTTCATTCTTCAGCTGAATTGTAATTGAATCGATAATTTGATGGAGCTTCGCAAGTTGCTCTTTCATAATTCTTGCATCTTGGACATCATCATGCAACCTTTGAATCACAGCGGTTCTATTTGTTATATATTTCTCAGTATTGATTAAATCACCAAAGATGTCTCTAATATTTTCTGATTTGATCTCCGTGAATCTTTTCAAAGATGTTTCGAACATAGACTTCAAATCTAAGTTCTGATCAGCTTTAAGTTTTTCGCCTGTTATTAAGCTGAATAATTGCAAGAAATACTTATAACAGAGAGCAGGTAGCTTAAACAATCCTTTATCAGGCTGATTGTTAAGAATTTTGATTGAGGTATCATGGTCATTTTCGATCTTCTTAATGATTGCAGCCATTGAATTATTTAGTTCTTCTCTAGTCGGGTCTGTAATTGAAACACTGAGTGATAAAGCATCAACAACCTTCTTGATGAAGACATATATATTTTGTTGGAAAATAACTTCATTTGATAACTTAATTTGAAGTTGATTTTCAAGTTTTGAAAAATCAGATTCAACTTCTTCAACATTAAATCCAGTACATTCAATATTGAGCATTTTAGCAATCTTGTCCCTAGATATCTTATAAACTTCTAAGACTTGAGCGGAATTATCTCTTGCACGCTTGATTTCATTGGTATTTCGGTTGATTTCTTGCTGAATGGTAATAAAAAGTTCTTTTAGACTCTGATCGCTGATATCTGCCTCATCAATAACAAATGCAGAACAAATGAAATTCATTAAATCGCTTCTTAGTTTCTGCTGTTCATATTGAATCAATTTCAACTGCTCCTTGGCATTTTTCTCATTGTTCATTGCTTGTGCAAACGAGTTCTTTAACATTTTATCCAACGGGAGATTTTCATCAATTGGGCCTATTTTCTTTAAAAATTCTTTAGAATTCTCTATTTCAACTTGATACTTTGCAGCATTTTCATTGTTTTTGCTTATTGTATTTCTTAACTCATTAGTAATATATTGTATCTGACGTACATAGCTAATATTGGTATCAATTTTGGCATCTGATATCATACTCTTAATGGAGTAAATGATACTTCTACAAAAACTATCTGTTTCATTATTAACTTTTTGTTCCAATTCTTTTTTGAATTCTCTAATATCAGTTAGTTGCTTTTTATATAAGTCTTTTGGAACGCCTTCAGGTCTTTCCATTTCATTTTGCAGCCTTGTAATTGTAGATTTCAATTCATTAACAGTCTTTCGCGCTGCTGTCTGTATTTCATCTAAAATATCAGAAACTTTTTGATCTTCATTAATTGTAGTATTGAAATAAGCAGCCAATGCTCTTAGAGCGGGATGAAAATCATCTTTATCTTCATCATTGTTCTCAGATTCGTTTTGAATTATTTCAACCCTTGTCTCTTTTTTAAGAATACGTTCATCACCAACTTCTTTTCGTACTACAGACATATCCTTTTTCAATACATCTAAGTCTTTCAATACTTGAGAATAAAGTTCGACAAACGTTGGTGCTCCTGTGATTAAAGGAATGAGTTGGACATAACTCTTGTGAAACTTTTGAATTGCATCTGGTAATTGTTCGTTAGTTGGGATGCACTGACGAAGGGCTGGGTATAAATCTCTTTCGAAAAATCTTCCAAAAGTTTTGGCGGTTTCTGCAATGCGATCAATTTCTTCAGATGTAAAAGCAGTAAAAGTTGTATCTTCAAGATAGTCCACTAGTGTTTGATCAACATTTTTCATCGAATCGTCACAGTATTTACGATATTGTAGTAAGAGAGATCTTGCAGCCGGGTCTCTATTACATGCATCAAATATAGTACTAACAGACGTATCCATTGCTTGAAAAAGCGCGATAATTTCATGTGTATAAATATTATGGATTTGATCTCCAAAAGCATTCATTCTCTGAACAAATATATCAAATTGCTCAGAATAGTCTTTGTAGAAGTTGAATGATATTTGACTTACTTCAGCATTTAATTTCTTTTGTTTTGCAATTTTCTTGCAGTGGCTTTTAAAAATTGGCATTGAATCCTTAATTTCTGCAACAGCATCAAACATTTTCTCGCAGTCCTTAGGCGAGGATATTTGATGTAGCTTTTGAGCATCGTTATCTAAAATGATGAAGTCATTTTGAAATTGTTGAATTGATGAAAGCTTTGAAAGATTTTCTGCTGCCTGTGGTGGAGGCTGTAATTTCAATTCTACTCTCTCTATACGCTTTGGTTGAGATGATGTTGAATAATTTCGACTTGGAGGCTTTAAATTCCCTAAAAGCCTCTTCTCTGTAATAGGATCCATTGTTGATTGAATTGTTGGTATTGGATTTCTTGCTGTTTTTGCCTTTTTCATGAGAAGATTTTACTGTACGTTTATTTTCAATATATTTGCTTATTTGTAATTTATCTTTTTTGCCGCATGATTTGTACAATTCATTAATGTTGGTATTTTAAAAGGTACATTCACTATTTTTGACAAAATTTTAAATTTTCATGGGGTTGTAAATCTTATAATAACTAGATGAATAAGGAATGAATCCCAGTATAATGTGCATCATTATATTAAACACTATATGTAAGGCTAATGATTCTATTAACACTTATGAAGATCTATAGTATTTGAGCAGATAAATTTGATAATTTCCAAAACTCTTATATTTCAAAATTAAAGTGTGCGAATGCATTTAAATGAGAGCAAAAAGAGATTGATGCTGTTAAAACTAGGTGTTAATTTGCAATTATTTCGCATCACAAGAACTACCCAGTAAATTCGGCTATCTTTCTTTGCAATTATTCTCCATTATACATATAATATAATGGTTAGGGTTTGAAGAAAAGTTACTAGAGAATTATTGACTTTTGAAATAATGCAGAATTTTACTTGAAGAAATCATTAATTTATGAGTTCCAAATTGCTAAGCATGACGAAGGATCATTAAATTTGCTACAATTAAATACATTTATTGCAGAATTAAGATTTTTGAAATTAAAAGTTTGAAATATTGCCTTTTTGAATAAAAATTTAAATTTTATTATATAATCATGATAATATCTTATAGAAATTAAAAGAAAATTTTAAACCATTCAAATATTTTGAATGTCTTATCAATTTAAAATATTAAAAGATAGCTTGATTTTATCATCATTAGTTGTTATCAAAGTTTTCTTCTTTTGATGAACAACAGTAAATGATTTGTTAATAGCTTGTCTTCCTTTTTCGCACCAAAATCAAAATTCTCACCCGATCAGTAATCGAAAATTTTGTAGCATACGATTATTTTCCATTGAAAAATTATCACTAAAAAACTTTAAAAAATTAACTTTTATTCTTAATTTCATGTATGAAGGAGGTAGGAAATGACTTTAAGATTGACATCCTATTCATGGCTAAAGTTTTAGGAACTTTGAAGCCTAATTTGATATTGAAATTTTGGAAGATCAATGAATATGGGGATAAAAGTTGCATATCCTTGGACATTAAGAGGACATGTTATGAGAGTGGATAGCGTTCGACGATTCACTGAAAAAGTTACTCCTCGAAAAGACTATCTAAAGCCATCAAGTTTTTTGAATATTTTCTATCGTCTTTTTATTTTTAGTAAATTAGGATGCTCATTAAACAGTATGATTAAATATACAAAAATTTTTAATTTATTTTTCAAGGGAAAATAATCGTACGCTACAAAATTCTTTCGATTCATCATTCAATTGAGAATGATAATTTTGTAGCATTTTTCTAAAAAACGCTACAAAATTATTAAGTTATGATGATAATCTTGCACTCAATTTTGAAACTCTCTGATTTACAAATAAGCATTCCTTTGGAAAAGCAGTCCTATTATGATTCAAGATATTTTAAAGCCCCCATTTCATACAATGCGCAGATATATTCGAAATTGCAAGAACTCTCAAGAAAAATGCAGCAGCAAAGAAGATTCCATAGTTTCTAGCATCAAAAATTTACAACCTTAATACAACAGTTAAAGAGAAGCTCGAAAAGAAAATAATTAACCATAAAGCTGGAAACCATTCGATATATACTATTAGATCTAATAAAAAGTTAATTATAACATATTTTACATGCTATTTGTTGACTCTGTTCCATTATATTACCATATATATCTTTTTGAAATCTAAAATATTTTTACGATTTTAACCATGTGTTGTTGAAACCATATATCAATCTTAGCTAAAGTATAGTTTATGAGTTTGTCACCATCTAACGTATGAATTTTCAAAAATGTCAAATATGTTCATTTTTTCTGTATATTCAGCCATAATTTCACGTATTTATACTATTCAACTATTATTTAATATTTTTATCGATTTAAATATATGATGAGATGCATAGTTCTCCCGGAAATCGATTTTTAATCGCAATTTTAACTTTCCAAAAAAAATTCAAAAATAAAAATCCCTCTCAATTTTCTAAGTTTTCTAACTCGCCAAATCTCTAGCCAAATTTTTTTGGCCCGTATAAATATTGTTAGGCACTATATAGGGATGCTATTTATCCTATTTTCATCCCATTTTACTGTTATCGCCTAGTGAATGTACCTTTGTATTTTATGAAGTTTACAAACGGTTTAGCCCAATTATAAATCACATGCCTGAACTGTTGGTGGAATGTTCCATTCGACATCATGAAACATGTTACATAAAAAACGGCAAAACGGCATCTATTCTTTAATACTTGTCACCTGGCCTGTTTAAACAATTCATTTTTTTTTGCGCAAACAAAATTTCATTTAGGTAAAACCTATTTACATGTAGATATCTTTTTAGTATTATCTTCATTTTTACTACTTGAACTTAATCAAGTTCCTATGTGAAAATTCAATTCGTTTGATATTCGTTAAAATATGTTTGTCTTTTTTCCCCACAGCTATTTAAATTGTTGCATGTTCCAATATCAGCTGTTGGATGCTTACTTTTGCTAACTTTTTAATTCTGTTACCAAAATATGTAGGTATCCTTTTCCATCTATCATTTCACATCGTTTTTTTGGAGTTTTATCATAATTCAAATGCTCGTTCTTTACTATTTATTAAAATTTTATGTGATTCAATTCTTCACAAAAAATAGCATGTATTTCATAATTTTAACAATTGATTAACCTATACAAGAAACTGATATGGCTTCGCCATCATTAAATATCAAAATAAACTACATTTTGATCTTTTCTAAGAATTTATCGAGTGTTTTCAGGGTATAACTACCAAATGATTGAATAAATAGGATAAAAATAAGTAACAGCAATGTTTGTTGTAAAAAGAATGACTATATTACGTAAAAATAAATGATTTACGCAATTCTTGATAACATAAATCAAAAATAATTTTAATATACATGCGTACATTCATATTTTATGAATTTTAAGGGTGCACCCGCATGTACGTTTATTTGAGAGGAGGAGGATTACCCTCTCAATTTTGAACGCTTCGTTAGCGCAATATCTCGATGAATATTGTATTAAAATTGAATTTGCCCATACCAATATATCTGATACAATATCCTTAAGTTTTACTAAAAAGAAATTTTTAAAATCCCTGCAGATTCGAGGATTTTTAAATTTTTTGATTTTTTCGCAAATTTTGCGAAAAAAAAATATTTTCAGAAGAGCCTTAACGGCTAAGTTTTATGTTTAATGTTGAGTATCAAAAAGAATGGGCGTCTGATATAGCCATCATATATCCCAGAAGCAAATAAAAATTCCGACTTTTTAAGCATAAAAAAATGAAATTTTATTTTTTGCAAAAAACAGGCCACCCGGATGTACGTTTATTTGAGAGGAGGAGAATTAAATTTTTGAAAGCAGTAAAATTTGTAAATATTCTAGTTATATAATAATATGTATTATTTTAAAAAATAAAAAATTAAAGCACGTTAAAATTTTTTTTGATGAATTTTTACAAAAGCTACTTAGGATTATGCAAAATATAGTAATTAAACATAAATTTCAAATCAGATTTTACTTATGATAAATATTTTAAATTTCCGAAAATTAAGTTCAGATCGACTCGATACGTTGTAATTACTAAATAAGGTGCCAAAAACCTATTAAACAGTATCAAAACTATCAAGATTGTAATGTTTTTGAAGAAAAATTTATAGAATTATGAACTTCAAACAGATATTATGTAAATAAAAATAATATAATGGATTTGTTTATTCGTATAATAGCAGCAATAAGTCGATTATTCACTTCTACTTCTGAGATTTGAATTTAATTTCGACAGAAAAAGAGATTCAAGAGGAAAATACTAGGGAATACAAACTGCCACCATGACAGGATTATTATGGAGCCAAGTTGTACTTTTTGATATTTTTAGAGTTTTACTACCTATTTAGGTACCAAGTAATTGCTTAAAAATTAAGGTTCTAAATTCTGAAGTTTACATGATCCCCCGGGCGCACCCTTAATAATTGGTTTCAAAATTATGAGATGAATGGTCAAAATCATTTGAAATTTGAACAATTGATATTATATATGAAATTTAATAATTCTGATTATACAACAAGATTAGTAAAAATAGATGATGAAATATTTTAAATGATATTCAATTTTTGAGAGTTGTAAAAAACGCTAGTATCCAAAAATTTTTATGGTTCCATATGTAATAAGAATAATTATTTAAAATATTTATTTTTGTCGTTTTTAATTTCAGAACCAAACCCTCAAAAATTTCGAACTCCTCAACACATTTTCACTTTTTGAAAAGGTTTTTAAGGCAATATTGAATTATTTTTATCTGTAATTTTATAGTGCATGATATATCTAATCGAATTTTCAAGAATTATTTTTGAATAATGTATCAAATTTTTATGGCAATAGTATGTCATATCAAAGAAATTGGCTCCTTCAATTTATAAACAATGAATAAAACAAACATTTAGATCTATAAATGAAGAAATTTCAAACAAACAAATGAAATATAAAATTTCTTTCTTATAAAAGAAGCAATAAAACAGTTCCCCATGTGACAAATGAGGAAAGAGTAACATTACGAATACGCTCTGCTACCTTCGGATTCTTCTTGTAAGTAAATAAATACATTATCAAACCAGATATTGGTAAGGCAGCACATGCGGCATACATTACGACTTCTTTCATCGAAGAACAATCTCTTCCGTATTCGATTTGCGGGATGGATTGAACTGATGGCTCTTCAGAGCTAATCATATCAATAGGGAAACCGTCTGGCAAAGGATGATCCAACTCGAGCACTTGACCATTCTTTAGTGTATATGTGTATTTCTGATTTGATTCTGATACTGGTGAAGGTACATTAAAGCCTAAAACTTGAGAAAAGAAATCTGGAGTTGGAATAGTGTAATCGCATTCGATATCTGAATGATAGCAGAAATCAGCGTAGGGGTTCTCTAAATCATAAAGCTCTGTATCTACTTCGTTATCAATTTCTGGACACATTCGAGTATATGCTTTCAAGTTTATTGAATAGTTCTCAATATTTTGATTGCATTCAAATATTGAGAACAGATAGCGGTTTGATATTAACCGAAATATCTGATTAATATTGCAGTTTATAATATATTATACCTTGTTATGGTTTCCTCTCTGAATTAACCCCTCTCAATCCTATTTCACTTTTTCATTCAAAATGGAAGAGCGAAAATCATAAAGTTCATCAATCTTATTGAAATATATAATATCATATTTTCAAATTCCTTTAAAGATAATTTGAGAGAATTGATAAAATTTAGGGTATTTTTTCTTATATTAAAATACTTGAACTAATTTATGTCCATGCCATTTTTGAAAATCATCCATTTCATTGTCAGTTTTTTACTTACAAACAATCGCAATTTTGAATGCATAACAAGCCCGAACATCGCTTCAATCTTCGATTCAACTGTCTATCTGTTATTAAGATTTTAATTACCATTTAACATATGAAATCAAATAAGAGAGTGAAACTTCAAATATTTTTCTCGCGTTTATTCAAAATATATTATTCTGTAAGCTATTTATAATACAATTTTTATATAAAGCTAATTACATTAGCATTTACATCAGTTTAGAAAACATTTTATTCCTAATGCGTAGTTCAATTGGCGCTTAGGAATATCGAAGCCAACATTTCCAATAACAATAGCTTGTGTTCCAATCTGATACCTTACATTTGCGATAAGGTTTTTGCTTACCGTATATAATTTTGTTTGCAACCTCCCTTGCATGAATTTAGTAGATCCTCCTGCTGCTATAGAGTTCTGAGTCCCTATACAAAAGAAGAATTTAGTATTGGCTATAGACTTGCTTAATCTAAAGAAGTTATAAAATGTATTTGGCTTATCAATCGTTGAAAAGCCAACCGAAGCATTTCCTGCAGGTGTCCTAAGTTTTAATACAATATATGATGGATTAATAAAAGTTAAAAATTTTGGTAATGTTAAACAAGTTTGAAATTTCACTAATTTTTGTTCAATACCGAAAAACAGAGAGTTGCATAGAGGAGAATAATGATATCCAAATTGAATACGTGGATTTTTGCGCGTAATGACTGATTTAACATATCGATTTTTGCCTAATCCGATATCCCATGAGGTTATTAGGTGTCCATAATCTTTATCAAATAGTAATCGCGCGCTAGAATATCCAAGACCGAGGCTGAGTTTCAAATCGTTTTCATTATAGTTTAAATAGCAGGAATTTTTGGAAGAAGTGTTATAATCAAGATACTTTGAAGTCAATGAAGCACTTTGATCATTAATATTTAGTTTGAGATTATCGCCTGTGTAAATTATCGAATAATGATTTAAAGTATCTCCGTAGAATTCGAAATTATTCTTGTTAAAACCAAAAAATATCCTATTGACCTTTAATGGACTAATTCCAGATGGTATAGGTTTAGAATTTGGGAAATCTGGCTCAGGATGCATTTAGTCAATTATTTTTCTTTTACAAAAAATTGAAATAAAAAAAATTATTTTTGAGCAATTACAAAAAAACGAAAGGGAAAGGCAAATTTTACTGCTTATCAGAAAGGGCGAGAAGGCCTGGCATTGGGCGGCCTTCAAGGAGTTCAAGGGAAGCACCACCACCTGTTGAGATGTGGGAGATCTTCTCTGTGTAGCCCCACTTCATGGCGCAGGCAGCGCAGTCACCACCACCGATAACTGTGAGAGCGCCATTAGCTGTAGCCTGAGCAACAGCATCAAGGATGCCGCGTGTACCAGCCTGGAAAGCCTCGAACTCATAAACACCAGCTGGGCCGTTCCAAACGAGTGTCTTAGCGCGGAGAACTGTTTCCTGGAATTCCTTGATTGTCTTTGGACCGATATCGAGACCCATCCAGCCCTCTGGGATGCCCTCTTCGAGTGTAACGATCTTTGTGTTAGCATCAGCCTTGAAAGCATCAGCGATCTTGAAATCGGATGGAAGGTGGATCTTAACGTTCTTAGCCTTAGCCTTCTCGAGGAGTTGGTTGACAATCTTAGCGCCTTCCTCATCGAAGATGGACTTGCCGATCTGGACGTTCTGGGAGACCTTAAGGAATGTGAAGGCCATACCACCTGTGATGATCATCTCATCGACCTTGTCGAGAAGGTTTTCGATAAGTTTGATCTTATCTGTAACCTTGCCACCACCGAGGATGGAGAGGAGTGGGCGGACTGGCTTCTCAAGAACTGGAACGAAAGCATCGAGTTCCTTCTTGATGAGGTTACCAGCAGCACGGATTGGAAGGTTGACGTGAGCCATGGAAGCGTGGCCACGGTGAGCTGTGCCGAAAGCATCGTTGATGTAGATATCACCAAGGGATGTAAGTTCGGCGTAGAACTTGTCGAGTTCCTCCTTTGTTGGCTTTGTCTTGGAGCCATCTTCGTTGACGCGAGCGCCTTCTTCTTCGTAGTGGAATCTGACGTTTTCAAGAAGGATGAGAGCGCCCTTAGCTGGGCGATCGCAAACTGCATGGACTTCTGGGCCAACACAGTCCTTGACGAAGGTAACCTTCATGCCGATGAGTTCCTCAAGGCGTTGAGCAACTGGGGCGAGTGTTTCCTTTGTAACATGACCATTTGGACGGCCAAGGTGGGAAAGGAGTGTGATGGAGTTAGCACCCTTGGCGAAAACTTCCTTGATTGTTGGAATTGTAGCTTCAATTCTTTGGTTGTTAGCAATCTTGCCATCCTTGCCGAATGGTACGTTGAAGTCAACACGCATAACAATGCGCTTGCCGGCGAGATCTTTCTCTGTAAGGTCGTGAAGTGTAAGCTTGTTGCCTAACATTTCTGCAAAGTGAATCGAACAAATATCTCATCAATTCGAATTCACTATCAAGTAGCCTCTTAGTTTTCAATTTTCAATGTATCTTCAAAATTTCGACGCATCGTTGACCTATCGGCATTACTTCACCTCATATATGGAAAATTTCGAAAATTTTTTCATGCAATATCTTATATATCCAAAAATGTATAATTAGTTGTGGTGTTAGAAAAATAAACTAACAATTCATCAAATTTTGTCACTTTTGATATCGATTGTGCGAATTCGACTATCATAGATCGAACAAGAATCGTACATCAGCTGATTCAAATTGCCCAGTTTAGTGATTCATATAGAACTCCAAATTAACAGCTATCGATGCTTTATTAAATTCCAATATATATGATCGAACGTTTTATTGTAATTTGAACTTGAGTCTACAAACAGAAAACACATGAATTGCAATTGCACGAATATTTATTCTCTTTTGTACTCAGAGAGGGAACGTTTAATAATTATGCCGTATTACCACAATGTTTGATAATATTTGTGTGGATAAAAGTCTTATATAATAAATCTATAAATCTTTTTTCTTTTGTTCTTCTTCCTATAAATACTACCCATATTCAATCAAAACTTAGTCTCATTAGTATCATTTCTTGTACAATAATAATGAGAATATTGAAACTTTCAACATTGAGGTAGAAGTTATATGAACTACTTTGCTCTGCGATCTGAAAACAATTTTTTCTATAATACTTTGCTGATCATATTTTATGACAGACAGGAGAGAATTGAACCAGAAAAGACTGCAAAAGTCTATAAAATTCAAATGTGATGGTTCATTCAATACTCTAACAGCAATGATATCAGATTCAGGAAAAGTTCCGATCGAAAATGAAAATTGGGATGATTTTTATATAATTTTAAAAGAAAAGAGCGACAATGAAAAAGACGTTTTAGTGGCAACCATAGGGCTGAATGGAATTGTCAAGAATGTTATACTACATGCTATATTAAAAGCTAAAATTGGAGAAGTTAATCGGGAAATTACGCGTGACTTAATATTTTCAAAGAGCTTATCAGAATACCATTTAGAATTCCCTTCAGTTTATACAGATATTTCATCGAATATCGAAAAAAAATCATTCGAATTTAAATATAATTTTAGTTATGATCCATTGTTCAAACCAGATTTTATTTCATATGCAGTAGTTCCGTCTGTTGTTCAAGCTGCACCAATTTCTCAGGTTGGCATTTTCAAATTAAAAGGAATTGCTAATTACAATGTTAGCAACTCCATGTATTGCTGTTTTGTTGAAATGATTAATAGGTCGCCAATTTTACGCGGTTACTTTAAAAAACAAAAACAAACTCCTTTCTTATATCATCTTAGTAACGTTCTATATAGTATTGCCGATGGCGATTGCAGCATCAACGATTTTGTATCTTATTGTCAATTAACATGTGAAAAATCAATTCATACCTTTTCTGATTTATTGATTCTTGTGGGTAAGCAGATCAAAGAGTTTTCGGACAAGTATTTCGGAGTCAAAGTTAACAATGAATCCGTTCCTTTTTTAGATATTCTTGTAACAAGTAAAGCATCAATTCAACAGCACATTATTAACAACTTGCCTGATAATGAATCACTATCCCCATTCTTATTTGTTACAATTACTTACGGTGAAGAGCAATCCGGCCTAGTTAAATTTTCCCAAAATATTAAACTTACTTGTGGCAGGCAAACCCAAAATTATATTTTACAGTCTATTTTAGTATATAACAAAGATAAAAAATCCTACTATTTAGCTGCATATGATGAAAATTGTAATCAAATATGGCAAATTATTCAAGGATGCACAATAGAAAAGAAACAATTCCATGAGATACTTAATTATCTTACAGATGGAATAACAAATGATGTCCCTCAGGCATTTTTATATAAACATAGTGAATTTCTTTCATTTGATGAACCTCATTTCCCCTTTCCAACATTAGAGAAAACCATTGGTTTATTGTGCTAATGAATAACTATTTCAATTTTTTTTTTCATTTATAAAGCATCTTTATTTTAAATTCAGTGAATTGTATTTATATTGGCTAAAATTATGAACATTTTTGAATTGTAAAATGCTAATTTGACTCATTTTTCTTAATTTCGAAAATATATTTCACTTTTATCTATGAAAAACTTTCAATATGAACAATAAGATAAGAAAACATTAGTTAGCTCATCAATTCAATGCTTCACGATCCAATTTAGTTCATTCCTATATTTCAAATTTGATTCATTTTCAGATAATTTTCAAGATTATTTCGCAAAAAGCTGTTTTAAGAGTTAGACTATTTGATTGAGTTTTAATCCAATAGACTTGCGAGAAAATGAAATTTGACAGTCAAATGCCAAGCAGTTAAGAATTGGTCTATTGCGGAATTAAATACACATCTATCTAATTAGTTCCAAAAAGAGGATGTGTTCGATAACAATCATTTCAAATTTATTTTTTTGAGACAAAACGATGAAATTAAAAAGATCTTGTCTTCAAAAATAATAAAATATTAAGATATTTTTCGGATATCACATATCACAAAAAACCGTCATCTAAACTATTCAAATTTCTAAGACCAAACTGGTTTTGACGGTGTCAAAGCGGTTAATCCAAAATAATGCTTTCTCTTCTCTTATCTGCATCAATTTGCAAAGCAGATATTCAGTACGATGGAGCCACAGGCACAGTCACAGTAACAGCTAATGAAGAATGGACAGCCGATGAATGGTACAGCATCTTCTCAGATATCAAGAATTTTACCAAAGCCGTTCTTAAAGGAACATACACTGCTATCCCAAGAGAAGCTTTCTCTGGTGCCATTAACATGACAGAAATTGATATCCAAGCCCCAATCGTTAACATCAGCGCTTACGCCTTTGCCCAGTGCAACTCCCTCAAGACATTTACTCTTCCAGATTCAGTCCAAATTGTTGGCTACGCCGCATTCTCTTCCTGCGAGAACCTCGAGTCATTCTATTGGAAGAACACTAACAGATACTTCGGCGAATACTGCTTCTATAACTGCCCTAAGCTTGCCACATTCGACCATGCCGAAGGCGATCAGACACAACCAATTGAAGGCAAAAAGTTTGTCTATTCAAACTTCACCTTCCAAAGCTGCATTGCCTTGAAGACATGCAACCTTCATCCAAGTGTTAGATTCATTGCTCCACACCTCTTTGACGGCTGCTCTTCCTTGGCCACATTCACACTCCCAGAAAACGTCACCATCATCAATGATTTCTCCTTCTCAGCATGCGGCCTTACAACTTTTGATGCTTCCCAGATTGCCACAATCAATCAGTTCGGTTTCGCTGGTTGCTTGAAGCTCCATACAATCAAGCTCTCCGACAAGTTGCGTTACATCGGCCCACACGCCTTCGAAACATGCATAGAGCTCCAGACTGTTGAGGGTATTACAAACAACAACGACTTCACCATCGATGACTCTGTATTTGAAGGCGCTCTTTCCCTTGTCTCTTTCCACGTTCCAGAATGCATGACAAAGATCCCAGACTACGTTTTCCACAACGCCCAGAAGCTTGCCTCCGTCAACATCCCAATTGGTGTCACATACATCGGTAAGTACGCCTTCTTGAACACAAGTATCACAGAAATCTACCTTCAGGGCAATGTTACAACAATCAGAGAAGGTGCTTTCGGTGCTCTCAGAAACCTCAAGAAGATCACAGTCACCGAGACAAACTTTAACTTCAAGTCTGTTAACAACCTCCTCATGACAAAGGACGGAAAGATCATCGTGGCTTATCCACAGGATCTCCACGAGACAAAGATCACAATCCCAGACGGTGCTGAGTACATTGGCCAGTACTGCTACTCCTACGCATCCTCTGCTACAGAAGTCGTATTTCCAAAATCCGTCATTGACATCGGTCTCCACGCTTTCGCTGGCTGCAAGTCCATCCAGTCCATCACACTCCCAGAGCATGTTGAAACAATTTCTGACTACGCTTTCCAGGGATGCACAGGCCTCATTGAGATCAACATCCAAGCCAAATCCATCTGCCTCGGCGCTTTCGAAAACTGCAAGTCCCTCAAGAGAGTTACATTCCCAGCTCAGCTCGAGCTCATCGGTAACGAAGCTTTCCGTAACTGCGCTTCCCTTAATGAAGTCAACCTCCAGAATTGCGTCAATCTTACATATTTAGGCAACGCTACATTCATTTTCTGCTCAGGCCTCAAGAAGGTTACACTCCCAGATAAGATCAGAGTTATCCCTAACCAGTGCTTCTTCTACTGCAGCAACCTTCAGTCATTCACATTCCCACCAAATGTTAGAAGAATCAGAGATCATGCTTTCAGCTATTGCAAGAATCTCAAGTCAATCACATTACCAGAAGGATTGACAAACCTCGGAACAAAGGCATTCCACAACACAGCTCTTACACACATCACAGTTCCAGCCAACGTTTCATTCATACCAAACGGAGTCTTCTCCGACATCCCAACTCTCGAAACAGCTGAGTTCAAGGGAGTTCTCAGATCATTCAGCGCTAACGTTTTCGCTAACGATGCCCGCTTGACAAAGATCCAGTTCTGGGATGATGTCAAGAATTTCGACAAATTGGCTCTTGAGGGAACAAGAATTCTTAACAGCATCTTGTATTGCGGTCAGGTAGCAGTTGAGGGTACATTCGTCGAAGATCACACTCGAATTGGCTCCAGAATCACCGTCCAAGTTGGCTCAGACTACCCAATTGAGACATTTGGTGGTGTCAAGGTTGAGAAGACAGTAGGTATCTGCATCCCACACAGAACACCACAGCCAACACCATTAGCATCTGCAACACCAAAGCCAGATAACAGCAAGAACAAGAAGCTTTACATCGCTATCGGCGTCTCTGCTGGTGTCATCATCCTTGCTGTTGTTGCCGCTGCATTTATCGTTAAGTGCTGCATGGTCAAGAGAGGTTGGGTTAAGAAGGAAACACTTACTGAGTCCCTTCTTACACAGACAGTATAAATTAATTAAATTTTTTAAGTTTAAATTTTTTAATGTATTTTTACAACACAAATCTATCTTGATTTTTTTTTGCAAGAATATTCTATGGAATTTCATAGGTGAAAATGCGATCTTATTATAGTATAATGCATTTGTTGCATAACATCATCAAATCTTTTATGGCCTTGAAATTTCCAAAAATTAATGGAGAAACTTTCGCTTGAGCTACTCCTTGAAAATGAGGAGAAATGGCCAGATTTAACAGAAGTTTTGCAATGTTTTGACTTTTATAGTTGTCTTAATAAAGCAAATCCTAATCTTCTGGCTTTCATTGTTAAGAACTTTGATCGGATTTTGTCAATGGTATTTGAAGAAAAGATAAAAGATTCAAAAACCATGACTGCCGTAGTATCAATACTTTGCTCATCGAATCTCACTGTCAAAAATGTCTTATTTAAAGAAACAAAATTCGTAAACTACATAATCGAGTATCCAAAGACTATAAAAATCTATCATCCGCCTTCAATTCCTCAATATTTCCACTCTTTGCCATCAATTATTTCAGATAACAGTAATGAAATTTCATCTCAATTTGCTAACAAAGATTACATAGAGTCTATCATCCAAATCTGCGATCTAATCGAAGCATTTACATTTATGAAGAACTTGTTGAACTCTAGAAGTCCATATGTCATGGTTTTCCTATCTCAGATTAATATTGCTCAGATGTTGACTAATATTATAACAGATAATAACGTACTCTCGCTTCATGGAATTCTTTTGTTCGAGAGCATTATAGATAGATATGCGAGACAATGTGCTGCTGCAATAGTTAACAATAATATGATAACTCGGATGATAAACTTATCTATACAAAAAGATGCCAACAATATGGCCAATTTCACTAACTTTTTATATCAAGAATCTTACAGATATCCAAATGAATCGATTTGGCAAACAATTCAGTTCCTTGTTGATGATAGAATTCCTGAAATATGCGAGTCTATACTATCTCGACCGAGATTTATGCCAATTTCTCGTTCGTTATGCGAAATAGTTTTAACTTACCTAGAATTTCAAGGCCAATTCTTCCCAAAGGCAGTTCACGTCACAGAAAAGCTTATTAACGATATGTTTACGCATCCAACAAACTCTTTCTTGCATAATACTTCACTCAAATTTATTGATTTTCTTTCTAATTACCCTGTTCAATTCACAGAGATCTGCTCGAGGACAGAATTATGTAAGAAAATAATTGAGTATGATAGAAGTAATCAAAAGCAAGCAAATTCTTGTGTTTGGGGTGTTTTATGGCAAATTTCCCTTCTCATTCGAAATCCGATCGGAGTTCCAAAGAAGGAATGGGACCTTGTTATAGCAAGAAATAAGAAGATGCACTCTGTTATATCAACACCTCTTCCTAAAGCTGTTATGAACAAATATTCCAAGGTTGTAAGCAAACTTGGACCATCTTCGCTATCACCGAAGTTTTCTCTTATCAATATATTTGCTGTTGTTATTGGATTGATTGCCGGAATTTTGGTTTATGCTAATAATAAATAGTTATTTGTTTTTATTTTGTTAAAAATCTCTTATATTTCATATCAGATACAGATATTACAAAGATTGCATCTATCATGTAAACAGTTTTTTTGAGATAATTGTAAAAATTATGTTAATTTCGAATCATAATAGGCCAAAGCTATAGTGAACCAATGATGTTATGCATAAAAATCATGACTTAGGAAGCGCTTGTAATTCGATAGAAATAATAAAAACATTTTATAATAAATATAAACAAAAACAATAACTAACATACTCTAACACTAAAAAATTACTGAAAGAAAGCTTGGAAAACATAAGCGAAAGGATTTTTCGTTTGAGTGTTATCCTTTTCGTAACATTTTGCAGCATATTCTAAAAGGGGCTTTATCTGGTTTCTTACCTCAAATTTCTGAAGTGTTTCGATCGTCACAGTGTAATCGGACTCACTTAAGAGCCCATCAACAGCTTTTAAGTGGCCGAGGGCAATATACATGGCGTATTCCATTAACTTCTTACCATGGCTCAAAAGAGAGTCCCAGATACCAAGTAAGAAAGGCAATTCGTGCTCTTGAGAAAATAATAAAGAAAACCATCGAATACAGTAAAAAATAGGATGTATATTATGCTTCTCAATAATTCTAGCTACTCTTGGCAAGTGGATTTTCTGTAACTCGACGAATTCATTGAGATGAGACATAATAATTGATTGATCGGAAGTTGTGTAATAATCGTATATCTTTGTATTGGTCAACAGCCACTGAAGCAAGTTAAATGCAAGACATTCGCAAATCTCAACAGAATTATCAACCCAATTGAAACCTTTTGTCAAAACATAGTAAAAAGGGAAGACAAGCTCGTTAAATCCTTGCATGTAACTTATTCCTGTATTGAGTGTTGCAAATGTATATAAAATTCTCTCTAATCTTCGCATATGTTGTTCCCAGTTTGATAAAACATCATCTTGCTCATCCATGTACTGCTGTCCTTGGGAAGAGAATTCAGTGCGCTCTGCTTTATTAGAATTTTCTAGAGGAAGGGGATCTAAAAAAAATATTAATCTGCCAGTTCTTACAATATCACCATGAATTATGGACATAAGATCATTATTTTGAAGTCCAAATTTCTGTGATGGGAAGTGCGATGGGTATTGTCGCGTATGAAAATCCTTTGTCAAATTAAAATCGCAATAATCGTGATATTGAGATAAAAGAGTTTCCAAATCATCTTTGAATTTATCAAGACCTTTAGGAATGAAGCCAGTCATAGCTAACCACGCATAACTTCTGTCGGTCATTGAGAAATTATCGAGACTTTTGTTAGCTAAATCTTGAATTTGTTTTAGATCGAGGGGTTTGGTGGGTGATGCATCCATTATTATATCAATTATCTTACTTTTACTGGTGGATTTGCAATATTCATTATTTTTTGACAAAAATTTGACAAAATTGATGCTAACTTGACAGATCTGACGTGAACTTCTTCATTCTGAAAAAAAAACATAAAGATTTTTTATCATATAAGAAAGGTCTCTTTGAGTTAATTTTTCAATTCGATGATTCAAAATCTTGAAAATAAACTATGAGTTATATGAGGAATATCAAGAACCAATGCTTTGTAGATAATTTATTGCATTAGTTTGCTTAAAATTTTAGTGCTCTTTGGTAAAAAAATTATTTTTCGAGGAATTCCTCGAACGATAAAAAAATATTGTAAAAACAATTAATGAAAAGCCATTATAAGAATAAGTCACACAAACACAAATCAGGAGTATCAACGAATGCTGTTCGCATAAGTGGAGGTCATTTATTAACTAAAACAAATGTTGATTATGATTCAACAGACGAAATGGACGAACTAATGATTCCTCCATTCTTTCAACATGCCTTAATCAATGGAATACCTCCTCCTAAGATCACAGAACTCAGGCCATGGCAGAAAGGCCTCTTAGCCACAGATGATTGGAAACAAAATAAAAGTTGCATTGTTGTTTCACCGACATCAGGCGGAAAGACACTTATAGCAGAGATAGCAATAGCACAACTCATAGATGATGATCCAAACGCAAGAGTGATCTACGCACTACCATTCGTTGCATTGGCAATGGAGAAATACATCGAATTCAAACAAAGATTTTCAATGTTTGATGTCAGACCGTTTTTTCAAAATCTTGGTGGCGATTTCAAGTCAGGATCAATTGCTATATGCACATATGAGAAAGCACATTCATTATTCAATCAAGCTGTTAAATTTGGATATTTCGACCAAATTAAATTAATAATCATTGATGAGATTCACATGATTGGTGATGACAACAGAGGAATTGTAGTAGAATCACTACTCATGAAACTGAGAATGCTTCCAAAGAAACCAAGAATCATCTGTTTGTCTGCAACAGTCAATAAAATCGATGCAATCAAAATTTCCATGGTAATTGACGGATATTTCACAATTTGCGAACAGAGAACACAAGAATTGCGTTATTACATCAGTTTTGAAGGAAAATTATTCAGAATAAAAGATTCAGAAGCTTCAAAAATAATAACAAACAATTCAATTAAAAGTGACAATGACAAAATTTTACCATTGATAAAACCATTGATTGCGCGCAAGAATGGACAGAGTTGTTTGATATTTGTCAACACGAGAAATGAAAGCAACAGGATCGCTTTGTTTATTTCTCAAAACATAGATAAGGAAATTCCTGGATGCGAAGAAATTTCAAAGGACAATGAAAAGATAATTGAAGGAAGAGAAAAACTGATTTCAGAATTGGCAAAATGTTCTACAGGACTGGATAAATGCCTTGGCGGCTGCATCATGAAAGGAATAGGATACCACCATGCTGGATTATTATTAGAAGAAAGGAAAATAGTTGAAAAAGGTATCAAAAGTGGTTTGATAAACATAATTGTCGCAACAACAACATTGAGTGCAGGTATAAATATTTCGTCTGTGTCAAGAGTTATTGTTTACAATCCTTATCGTAAAAGTGACAATAAAAAGACGATTATTTCTCCATCACTTTTACAACAAATGGCCGGACGAAGTGGACGAACAGACACCACTTCTGGCGATGTCATTGTTATTGCGAGGAGTAGTTATGAGTTCAATGAAATTATCAAATTATACAACACTCCAATTCCATGCATTACTTCAAATATTGTAAAAGGAGGAGATATGAACTCTTATTTGCTACAGACATTGGCATTGAGATTGTCAAATGGTCCTTTCACTATGAATGAGTTTTTGAAGAATTCATTTGCATTCCAAATCGTTTCAACTAATGAATACAATCTTTCAAAGATATTAAATCAAAAAGATTCAAAAAAGAAAAATCCAAAAAGTGACAAAATTGATGTTTTGAATGAAAATAATAGTGATGAAGAAAAGAACAATGTTGAGAGATCAAAAGCAATTGTTAATGATTGTTTGAAGTATTTAGTTGACAATAATTTGGTTGAAGATAAAACATATGAAGCAACAAAACTTGGAAAAGCAATTACTTCCTCAAATTTGTCAATTTCTGAAGGATTGAGATTGAATGAAGCAGTGAAAAAGATAATGAAAATGCTTTGTTTGAGTGATAGTTTGCATTTGTTATATCTTTGCATTCCCAACCAAACAGGAATTTATTTGCCGCCATTCACAGACAATACTTGGGAAACAATTTTCCTGAAACATTCTCATGTAATTAATTTGATTACAGACAAAACTCAGGAAGATCTGAGAAGAATGATTATTCAATCATTCAACGGAAAAAAACTTTCTCAAAGCGAAATGTCTCTGTTTGAAAGAATTTATGCTGGATGTGTTTTGGAGAAATTGATTGATGAACATTCAATTGTTGAGATTGAAAGTATGTTCAAAATCGACAGAGGAACAATTCAGATTCTCCAAACAAGCAGTGGAAGTTATGCTGGTCAAGCAACAAAATTTTGCGAGGAGATGGATTATTCGATTTTGGCTGCTGCTTTGGTAAGATTCAGAAAGAGGTTGGAATTCGGAGTCAAAGATGAATTGATTGAGTTGATGGAGATTCCTTCTATAACAAGAGAAATTGCAAGAGATCTCTATAACAACGATATCAAAACTACAATTGATATCTGTGAGATGTCAAGAAGAGATTTGTACCATATTGTGAAGAAAGCAAAAGGAGGATTTGGATCGGGATTGAATGACAATGATATCAAATCTATTTCTAGGTCAATAAAGAGTGAAGCGAAGAAACTATCAAAACATAAAAATTTATTAGATGATTATGCTGAAAAGGCAACATTGAATGCAATGGGCAAATGAAATTGCTATTTTTTGTTATTTTAAATAGAGATTGATTTTTGTTAAAGATAGTATTATTTCAATATTTACATGAATATATAAAAATAAAATATAAAAATTAAAGGAAGCTGAAGAATCCTGAGCGTCTTGTTGCAGAGTAATGTTTCTGGGCAGCATCAATTTGCTCTCTTGTGCAGCCAACCAAATCCAAAATCATTGGAATCAGTGGCTCTCTTTTATCTTCATCCTGTAAGAAGAATTGCAACAAAGACCTTCTAAGATATCTGTCCATCACATTCGACTGATCATTTCTATTTGTCTGCGATGGAGTAACAATTTCTTCGATTTCTGTTTCATTTGTGGAAACAATCTTCAGCTGTACTCTTGTTGGCTTCTTTGGACTGCTGCCTGAATCAGATTTAGCCTTGTAAGACTTCAATGTCTTTATCAACTGTTGATTCTCTTCCATCAACTGACCGTATAAAGTGTTCGACTTCTGAACCATCTTCTTCAATGATTCGTTCTTTTGTATCAAATCATCACTTGCTTCGTTGTTTTCTATCTTCTGCTTGAGTTCTTTGATCTGCTCTTCCAATTGAGCTTCGTAGGAAGAGTTATGAACTGAAACTCCGAATGACTTGATTTTCTCTTCCAAGTCTTCGATTGTTTTCACTCTCTTCTTGTCCAATCTCAGAGCTCTCTGCAGCAAGATTCTAAGTTTAGCAATGATTGCATCTTTATCTGATCCGTAGTCAATGGAAACATCGATATCTCCTCCGAGTTCAGCGATCTTTTGTTGTAAAATCGCGTTTTCATTGACATAACTATTTAATTTAGTTTCCAAATCAGAAATCTTCTTCTTCAATTGTTCATTTTCTTCTTTGAGTTTCTGGAAATCATCTTTTTCTCCTTCGTCAAGATTGATATCTCTGTTTACGACTTCAATACCTTCGTCTTCTTCTTCATTCTTCGTTTGAGAATTGATTTGTTCTTCATACTTTTGTTTTTGTGCTGAAATTTGGCTCTGGAGATCTTTGATTTGGTTCTGGAGTAGATTTATTTGGGAATTGTTCTGGTAATCTTTCATTTGTTGCTGCAACTCAGCATTTCTGAGTTTGAGTTCTGTGATTTTGTCTTCTCTCTGGTCGTTTGTTTCTGCATTTGTTTGCAAATCTTTGACTTGTTTCTCAAACTTCAATTTCTCTTCTTCAATGTTTTTGTTTTCGTTTCTAAGTTTCTCAATTACAGATTCAAGGTTTGCAATTTGCGATTTCTCTTCTGTTTGGGAAATTAATTTGTTTTCCAATTCAGAAACTTTAGATTGCAAATCATTGATTTGTTTTTCGTAATTTGATTTCATTTCTTCGGTACTTGACTGATCATTTTGTTGCTCCATTTGTTTGAGAACTTCTTCTAGAGCAGATTTATCTTCTTGCAATTGAGATTTATCATTATTTAGCAACTGAATTTCTTCATTAATTTTCTCATTTTGTTTCTTAACTTCATTTAGTTCTTCTTGTAATTGAGATTTCTCATTCGAAATCTGATGAATTTGTTCTTGCAAATGTGTTCTTTCATTTAAGAATTCATTGATTTGTTCTCGAAGTTTAGATTTCTCTTCTTCTTTATTGGATTGATCGTTATTAATTTCCTCATTTGGTTTCTTGATTTGATTGATTTCTTCAGCCAATTTAGATTTTGCATTGCTAAATTGTTCTTCTAATTGGACTTTTTCGTTATTAATTTCTTCATTCTGTTGTTTCAGTTGTTTAATTTCTTCTTCCAAATTGGATTTCTCTGTCAAAAGTTTGGTCTTTTCTTCTTCTGTTTCTCTGTCAATTTGAGTCAATTTCTCATTAAACTTAGAAAGTTGATTTGCAAATTGTTTGTTTTCTTCTTCTAGTTGAGGAATTCTCTGGTTCTCTTTAATCAACTGAGATTTCTCTTCTTCGAGTTTAGAATTCTCTTCTTTCATCTGAGAAATGAAATTCTTCAATTGAGAATCATTTGAAGAAATCGCGTTTTCGTAATTAACAACTTTCTCTTTCAAAGAGTTGTTTTCTGTTTCGAGTTGACTGATTTTAGCTTTGTTTTCGTTGAATGCAACTCTTGCTTTGGAAATAAAGTTTTCGTACTGAGAATTCTTTGTTTCTATCTCAGAATAGTGTTTCTGCAAATTCTCTAATTTCGATTCTAAATCAGAAACTTTTTGCTCTAAAATTTCAATTTGTGACTTATCTTCGTCAATTGTAGATTGGAGAGATTCAAGTTTTCCTATGCGTTCTTCTTCATTTTGTGAAATTTGTGAATTGAGTCCATCAATTTTAGTTTGTTTTTCGTTGATTGTTGCCTGCAAATGAGAAATTTCTTTCTTCGTATCTTCTTTAACTAGGTCTATTTGATTCATTAGTTCAGAATTAGAATTCATCAGTTTTTCGTTTTCTTCTTCTTTTTCAGAAATTTGTAATTTCAATGACTGGTTTTCATTTTGCAATTCACTTAATTTAGACTGAGAAATTTGTTCTTTGGATGAAAGAATCTCCTGGTTTTCGATCTGCAATTCAGAAATCTTCGAGTTATATGAATTAGTCAATTCAGAAATCTTTTCATGCAAAGATTGATTTTCTGTCTTTAAGTCATTTAATTCAGATTGAAGTTGAGATATTTCTTGGATTTGGTTCTGTAATTCAGAAATCCTTGAATTGAGAGAATTAATGGTTTCTTGGGATTGAGATTTGATTGTTTCGTTTTCGGTTTGAAGAGAATGAATTTGTGTTTCAAGTGTTTTGATTGATGTGTTTTCGTTCTGTAATTCATTCAATTTAGTTTGACTTTCTTTCAGTTGATTGTTTAATGAATTAAGAATGGAATTAGCTTTGTTCTTGATAGTAGTGTTATCGTTCTGTAATTCATTCAACTTCTGTTGAAGTGATGAAATCTCGGAATTCTTTGTTTCATTTTCTTTCTCTAATTCATTCAGTTTAGTCTGAAGTGAATTGTTGCTGTTCTGTAGTTCATTCAACTGAGACTGATTGTTCTTCAGATTTATATTTTCTGTCTGAAGTTCATTGATCTTTTGTTGCATTGAAGAAAGCATCGAATTGGCTTTGCTCTTAATGTTCGAGTTCTCATTTTGTAAATCATTTACTTTAGATTGAAGAGAATTAATTTCACTCAAATTGTTGCGAGATGAAGCTAATTCATTCTGCAAACTTATGTAATTTTGTTTCAACTGTTCGTTCTGAGACAAAATTTCAGTTCTGTCTTGCATCACTTTGACCTTATACTCATTAAACATAGCTTTCATTTTCTCTATTTCTTCTTCCTTCGACTTCTTCAAATTAGCGCAAATCTGCTCCAATTTACTGTTTTCTCCTTCAAGAAGCGACAAACTCTGTTCAGAACTTTCATTCGCCAACTTCATGTTCTGAATCAAATCTTCTTGTTGCTTCATCTTGTTTTCGATTGCTATCTTTTCATTCTGCAAAGCACTGATTTGGCTCTGAGCATTTTGAATAACTGTATTTAGTTGAGATTTGATCTGATTAAGTTCATTTTCTTTCTGAGACAATTTTTCTTCATTTTCTTTCTGGAGATTTTGCAAGTTGGAATTTTCGTTTAATTTCTCATTCAAAAGTTTGTTTGCTCTTGTCTTTATCTGGTTTATCATCTCATCCTTCTCTTGTATTGTCTTGTTCATTGCATCTGCTTGCAAATTAAATTGCTGTCTCATTTGCTCGTTTTCTGACAATTTTTGTGAAATCAAACCATTTAATCTTTGGATTTCTTGATCATCGAATGACTTCTGTTGTTGCATCTGATACACAGCTTGTTGTTTGATGTCATTTAACTGTGATCTAGTGGTTTGAAGTTCTTTTGTAAGATTTTCAATTAAACCGTTTTTATCATTCATCATCGTCATCATACCTTGGGATTTCTTATTCATTTCTATTTCAGCAGAATCAAGGAGGATTCTGAGCTGTTGATTTTGGTAGATAAGAGATTGTTTTTCTTGAGATTTCTTTGCGTTTTCCTTCTTCAGTTCTTCGATGTTTGCCTGCATTTCATCGATTGTTTCACTCAAGTATTCAACAGTGCTTCTGATGTCATTTGTTTCATTTCCTTCGTCTTCATCAACTAATTCGATGACTTCTCTTGATTTGACAACTTCTGATGGTTTGGATTTGATTGGAGAGTAATCCAACTGACTGATGTTTGTTTCTTCGTCCGGAACTTCTCTTTCTTTGGAGAAAACTCTTCCTTCTTTGATTGATTCTTGCGTTTGATTGGAAAGTTTCTGCTTGATGTCGGAAAGAATGTTACTTATTGAGTTGACTTCTGATTTGTCATCATCTGCTTTCTGCTTGATTGAAGAGATTTCTTCATCTCTTTCTTTGATTGTTTCATTAAGCTTCTCCATTTCTTCCTTGTTTGCAGATAATTCGTTCTTCAGAGAATTGATTTCTGACTGTAATTCAGAAATTTCTTTCTCTTTTTGTTGTCTGATTTCGCTTATCTTATCATTATTTTCGTTATCTCCTTCTTTTTGTTTAAGCAATTCAACACTTTCATTAAGTTTGCTGTTGAGAACATTGATTTCTTCTTCTTTCTGTTTCAACAACTCCAATTTTTCATTTGAAAGGGTTTGGATTTCTTCCTCTTTCTTCTTTTGGATCTCATCTCTTTCTTTGATTTCCGACTGAAGTTTAGAAATTTGCTCTTGAAGTGATGAAGTAATTCCTGATTTCTCTTCTTCGAGAACTTTCTTCAAATTCGAAATTTCTTCATCTTTTTGTGCTAAAGAGTTGTTGAAATTCTCTTTCAACAAAGAAATTTCTTTCTCTTTTTCTTGAATTGAACCATTCAGATTTGAAATTTCTTCTTCTTTCATCTTCAATTCATTTTCTTTATTGATTTCATCACTATTAACTTTCTCTTGTAATGAAACAATTACTTGTTCATTTTCATTTACTAATGATTGTAATTTAGAAAGTTCTTCAAATTTCTCTTTAATTTCTGATTTGAGGTTGTTGATTTCTTCGTCTTTTTGCTTTAACTGATCATTAAGAGATGAAATTTCAGTTTCTTTAGTATTGACATCATTGTTTTCTATATTGACTTTCTCTTGCAATGAAGAAATTTCTTTGTCTTTATCATTTATTGATGATTGAAGCTCAGATATTTCTTTTTCTTTCTCAGCAATTGTAGAATTAAGTTTTTCTTGTAATGATGAAATTTCTTCCTCTTTCTTCTTTTGGATTTCATTCAAAGAGACTATTTCTGCTTCTTTGGCATTGACTTCATTGTTTTCATCATTTACTTTGCCTTGTAATGATGCAATTACTTTCTCTTTCTCTTGAATTACTGAGTTAAGATTGCTGATTTCTTCTTCTTTTTGCTTGATTAATTCGTCCTTTTCTTGGAGGGATGAAGTAATTTCAGATTTCTCTTCTTCGAGAACTTTCTTCAAATTAGAAAGTTCTTCATCTTTAGCACTGATTTCTTCTTGTTTCTGCTTTAGATCTTCATCAAATTGATGTTGAAGTTCCTGGACATGCTTGGATGAGTCGTCAATTGCTTGTGAATTCTGAGATATTTCGTTGTCTTTTTCATTGAGAGAAGATTTGAGATTTTCAATTTCTTTCTTCAGATTTGAAATCTCATTTTCTTTCTCATCGACTTGTTGTTTGTTTTCTTCATCTTTCTTTGTAAGCTCTTCAACTTCTTTGTTGTGATTTGAAACTTCTTCATCATATTTACTTAAAATACTTGCAAAATCATTTTCCTTCTCAGAAAGAGATGATTTAAGAGCTTCGATTTCTTGCTTAAGCTTGTTGTTGTCGCTGCAAACAGTTTCATATTCACTGTCACGTGATGACAACATGTTCTGAAGCTCGCTAATGTTTCCAAACAACTGAGAGTTCTCTGTTTCTTTAGTTTCAAGTTCAGCCTTGATTTCATTGATTTTGGCATCTTTTTCTTGCTCAATTGATTTAATCTTTTCATCTTTAGATTTGATGTCTTCATCATATTGTTTGATGAATTCCTTCAAATCATTGATAATCCTTGAATTTTCTTCATTTTGTACACTCTTTTCTTTGATTTCTTCTTGAAGATCATTGACTGTTTTGTCTTTATCAGAGATTTGAGAAGAAAGAACGGTGATTTGTTGGTTCAATTCTTGCAATTGGGATGTTTTATCTGATAATTGAAAAGCCATTTCATCAATCTTTTGGCTGAGTGATGTATTAGTTTGCTTCATGTCTTCATTGGATAAAGTCTCTTGTTTGAGCTGCTCTTCGAGTTTGAGAAGTTTTTCTGAGAGTTCATTTATTTGCGATTCTCTTTCTGTATTTAATTTGTTGATGTTTTCATTCAACAAACTTTCTTTCTCTGCTTTTTCTTCTTCCTTCTTCGAAATAATATCATTTAGTTCGTTAATCTTCAATTCTTTCTCTTTAATTTCTGTTTCCTTTGTTTGAAGTGCATTGTTTCTTTCAGAAATTTCTTCATTGAGTTGTTTAATTTCTGTTTCTTTAGATTGAAGTTGTTGATGAAGTAAGTCAATTTCGTTGTTTTTGTTGTTAAGTTGCGTGTTAAGTGTAGAAATTGCTGTTTCTTCGTTTGTTGTAATTGATGAAATTTGTTCTTTCATTTCGTCAATCTGCGAATTCTTTGTTTTGTTTTCTTCTTCAAGTTTGTTGACTCTTTCAGTAATTTCTTCAATTGATTTATCTTTATCTGAAATTTCCTGATTCATTTCGTCAACCTTTGATTGTTTATCTTTGATTTCTGTTTCTTTTGTTTGAATTGTTTCTTGAAGTTTGTTGTTTTCTTCTTCTTTTTCTGAAACAAGTTTAGTAAGTTCCTCAATCTGAGTTTCTTGTTCGGAGTTCTTTGTTTCAAGACTGTGAACTTTATCTGTGAGTTCTTGCAATGAATTTTCTTTGTTTGAAATTTGTTGATTTAATTCGTCAATCTTTGAATTATTTGATGAAATTTCTTCATTCTTCTGTTGAATTTCTGAATCTTTCTGTGAAATGATTTCGTTGAGTTCATTGATTTTAGTTTCTCTTTCTGAAAGTTCTTCATTCTTTTGGTTGATTTCTGTTTCTTTGTTTTGAACTGTTTCTTCAAGTTCATTAATTGATTTTTCTTTCTCTGTGAGTTGAGATTCAATTTCAGAAATCTTTGTTTCCATCACTTTCTCTGCTTCTTTAAGGCCATTGATTTCATTTTCTTTCTGAGTGATTTGCTCATTGAGCTCTGCAATCTTTGTTTCTTTTTCATTGATTGTTAATTCTTTCTTAGAAATTTCTTCAATTAACTCATTTATCTTTGATTCAAATTGAGAAATCGTTTCATCTTTAGTAGAGATTTCTTTACGCAATTCATCAATTGATTTATTGAGATTAGAGATTTCTTCATCTCTTTGTGAAATCAATTTAGAATTCTCTTCTTTTTCCGCTGTATTTGCTTCATTCTTTGAATTAATTTCTTTTTCTTTCTCAGCCAATTTTTCTTGCAATGAAGAAATTCCATTTTTAGATTTAGAAATTTCTTCATCTTTCTCTGAAATTGCTTGGCTCATTAATTCCTCAAACTCCTTGTTTTCTTTATCTTTCTTTGCAAGTTCTGATTGAACAGCTTCAATTTCACTGCATTTTTCATCGTATTTAACAAGAAGATCTGAAATGTCGTTTTCTTTCTCTGCAGGTTTTGATTGAAGAGAACTTTTTTCTTCATCTAAACTTTTGATCTTCAAATCTTTTTCTGCAATCTTGTTGTTTAACTCTAAAATGCTTGCATCTTTAGTTGCAATTTCATTGTTTAATTCTTCAATCTTCGAAGAAATATCTGCAATTTCTTCTTGAAGTTGATTGATTTCTGAATCTTTCTTCGAAACCAAATCATTAAATTCTCCAATCTTTGAATCTTTTTCTTTGATTTCTTCATTCTTTTGGTTTAATTCTGTGCCAAGGGACTGAAGTTTATTATCTCTGTCAACAATTTCCTGATTCTTGCTTGAAATTTGTTCATTGAGTTCAGTGATATTTGTGTTCTTGTTTGCAATTTCTTCATATAATTTGTTGAGCTTGTCATTCAATTCATTAATTGCTTTTTCGTTTTCTGTTTCTTTAGATTGAAGTTGTTGATGAAGTAAGTCAATTTCGTTGTTCTTGTTGTTAAGTTGCGTGTTAAGTGTAGAAATTGCTGTTTCTTCGTTTGTTGTAATTGATGAAATTTGTTCTTTCATTTCGTCAATCTGCGAATTCTTTGTTTTGTTTTCTTCTTCAAGTTTGTTGACTCTTTCTGTGATTTCCTCAATTGATTTATCTTTATCTGAAATTTCCTGATTCATTTCGTCAACCTTTGATTGTTTATCTTTGATTTCTGTTTCTTTTGTTTGAATTGTTTCTTGAAGTTTGTTGTTTTCTTCTTCTTTTTCTGAAACAAGTTTAGTAAGTTCATCAATCTGAGTTTCTTGTTCGGAGTTCTTTGTTTCAAGACTGTGAACTTTATCTGTGAGTTCTTGCAATGAATTTTCTTTGTTTGAAATTTGTTGATTTAATTCGTCAATCTTTGAATTATTTGATGAAATTTCTTCATTCTTCTGTTGAATTTCTGAATCTTTCTGTGAAATGATTTCGTTGAGTTCATTGATTTTAGTTTCTCTTTCTGAAAGTTCTTCATTCTTTTGGTTGATTTCTGTTTCTTTGTTTTGAACTGTTTCTTCAAGAGTGTGAACTTTATCTGTAATTTCTTGCAATGAATTTTCTTTATCTGAAATCTGTGCGTTGAGTTCGTTGATTTGTGATTCTTTATTATTAAGCTGTTCATTCAATTCTTTGATTTGTAAATCTTTTTCTTCTAATTTATGAATAAATTCGTTGATTGAGTTATCTTTCTCTGAAAGTTCAGTTTCTTTCTGAGAAACAAGTACTTGAAGTTCGGAAATGTTTGAATCTTTTTGTTTAAGATTTATATCTTGTGTTTGTATTTGTTCTGTGAGTTCTTGAATCAGTTTGTCTTTCTCTCCGTGCTGTTCTGTCAATTTTGAAATTTCTTCTTTCAGATGTGAAATTTCTGTTTCTTTCTCTGAAATAAGTTCTTGATTCTTTGAATCTTTTTCTGTGGACTCCGTTGTAGATTTAGAAAGATTATCTGTTAATTCTTTGATTTGTTCATTAAGTTCATCAATCATAGAATTTTGATCACTCAATTGTTTTTGAAGTTCATTCTTTTCTTCTGAAATATCATTAACCATTTTATCTTTCTCAGAAACTTGTGAAGAAAGTTCATTGATATTTGATTCTTTCTGACTGATTTCTGATTCTAATTTAGAAACATTCTCTTCCAATTCTCCAATTTTAGAATCTTTTTCTTTGATTTGTTCATTTAGTTGTGAAAGAATTGTTTCTTTTCCTGTTTGTTGCTGCATCATAAGTTCATTTAATTCATTGATCTTTGATTCTTTCTGTGAAAGTTCTTCATATAAATTGTTGATTCTATTTTCATCATCATTTCGCAATGACTCAAGTTGTTGTTGCAATTCCTCAATTCTAGAATTCTTTTGTTTGTTTTCTTCTTCGAGATTATTTATTTTCTCTGTCATTTCTTTCAATGAATTATCTTTTTCTGATATTTGTTGATTTAATTCTTCAATCTTTGATGATTTTTCATTAATTGTTTTCTCTTTCTCTGAAATTTCTTCTCTAAGTTTTGATAAATTATCATTAATTTCATTTATATTTGATTCTTTCTGAGATAATGTTTCAGTTAATTCGGTGTTTTGTTTGTTAGTTTGTTCAAGTTCAGATCGAATTTGGGAAAGAGTTGAATTAAGTTCGTTGATTTCGTTATCTTTAGATTCAAGTTTGAGTTTGATTTCTGAAATTGTTTCTTCATGTTCTTGCTTTGCTTTTTCAAGTTGTTCTTGTAGTTCAGTGAATGATTTTTCTCGTTCTGAAACATTTTCTGTCAATTTGGAAATTTCTGTTTCTTTAGATTGAAGTTGTTGATGAAGTAAGTCAATTTCGTTGTTTTTGTTGTTAAGTTGCGTGTTAAGTGTAGAAATTGCTGTTTCTTCGTTTGTTGTAATTGATGAAATTTGTTCTTTCATTTCGTCAATCTGTGAATTCTTTGTTTTGTTTTCTTCTTCAAGTTTGTTGACTCTTTCTGTGATTTCTTCAATTGATTTATCTTTATCTGAAATTTCCTGATTCATTTCGTCAATCTTTGATTGTTTATCTTTGATTTCTTCTTCTTTTTCTGAAACAAGTTTAGTAAGTTCGGAGTTCTTTGTTTCAAGACTGTGAACTTTATCTGTGAGTTCTTGCAATGAATTTTCTTTGTTTGAAATTTGTTGATTTAATTCTTCAATCTTTGAATTATTTGATGAAATTTCTTCATTCTTCTGTTGAATTTCTGAATCTTTCTGTGAAATGATTTCGTTGAGTTCATTGATTTTAGTTTCTCTTTCTGAAAGTTCTTCATTCTTTTGGTTGATTTCTGTTTCTTTGTTTTGAACTGTTTCTTCAAGAGTGTGAACTTTATCTGTAATTTCTTTCAATGAATTTTCTTTATCTGAAATCTGTGCGTTGAGTTCATTGATTTGTTGATTCAGCTCATCAATCTTTGTATTATTTGATGAAATTAATTCATTCTTTTGATTAATTTCTGTTTCTTTTGTTTGAACTGATTCTTGCAGTTCTTTGATTAATTCATCTTTCTTTGTTATTTCATTATCTTTTTCTAACAAAGATTCATTCAGATTTGCAATTGTTTTGTCTTTTTCTGATGATGAATTATTAATTCTTTCTATTTCCTTATTTAATTCATTTATTCTATTTTCTTTCTCTCGATTTTCTTTGTTTAATTCTCCAAATTTTGTTTCATTTTGTTGAACAGTATTATTTAATTCATTTAATTCATCAATTTTATTTTGTTTCTCTTGATTTTGATTATTTAACTCATTTATTTTCTCATCTTTCTCTTTGATCTGATTGTTTAATTCATTAATTGCAGTGTTTGTATTGTTTATTTCGTTGATTTTCTCATTAATTGATTCATTCAATTCACTGATTTTAGAAGAGAATCTGTTGATTTCTTCTTCTTTCTCTTTAATCACGTTGTTTAATTCTTCAATTTTTCTGTTTAATTCATTGATCTTTTCCTCTTTTTCTGTTATTTCTTTCGTCATTTCGCTGATTGCGTTGTTTAGCTCAGCTATTTTGTTGTTTAAGTCACTGTTGTCTTTAGTTACTGCGTTTATCACTTCCTCTTTGTCCAAAATTGTTTCTGTGAGCTGATTCACTTCATCTACCTTTTCCTGGATCTTTGTATTGAGCTGAGTGATTTCGTCGCCCAGTTGTGATATCAGTAGCTCTGTTTCTTCCTTTTCTTTGTATAGTTTTTGGATATCCGCGTTATTATTGTTCTCATTTGAGAGACTTTGGACTAATTCTTCAATCTGTCTGTCTTTCTCTTGGTTTTGCTTGACGTATTCGCTATTTTGAGCCTTCAAATCATCATTTTCTTTTGTAATCATCTGAATAATTTCGAATTGTTTCTCTTTCTCTTCTTCTGAATGGTTTTGAGCAGCTTCTTCTAGCTGTTTGATTTTATCTTGGCTATCTTTAATTGCTTGATCTTGTTTGGCAAGCTTTTCATCTTGTTCTGAAATCAAATTTTGCAAATTTGTTTCTTTTTGCTTCAAAACATCGATTTCTGTTTGCAACGATTTAATTGTTGCTTGAGATTGGACATCTTGCGCTTCATATTGATTTAATTTCTGCTGTTGTGAAGAAATTTGAGAATTTAAGTCAGATAAAGAAGAATTTGAATTATTTTGCATCTCTTTGATGGAATTATTCAATCTTTGTATTTCATCACTTAATTTAACCTCGTTTTCTGATTTAATTTTAATTATATCTTCTTGATCTTTTAATTTTTGCTCTAATTCGGATCTCTGACTGTCGATTACTTGTATTACGAGATCTTTGGCTTTGATTGACTCTTTTGCCTGAAGTTTTTCGTTTTCCAATTGTTCATTTAGTAATTTTAGTTGTTTCTTGAGATTTTCTTTTTCTTCATTCAGTTGTTTCTGAGTTTCATCAAAAAGTTTTGAGAGTTTATCTTTGTCTTCAGAAATTGCTTGTAATAAACTTGTTTGCTCTTCATCTTTGTTCTTTAGCTCTTTTTGGAGCTTGTCGTTATCAACAAGAAGCTTATTTACCTTCTCCTCGTATTCTAGTTTCTCTTTATGGAATGTGTTTATCAATGTTTCTGTGTCGTTATTCGCTAATTGTGCTTTTAAGTCTTGAATTTGAGCTTCAAGAGATGTTTTTTCCTCTTGAAAAGCAAGGAGTAGCGAATCTATTTCAGAATTGTTGCTGTTTGATTGAAGTTTTTTGATTTGTTCTTCAAGTTCTTTCTTTTCTATGTCGAAGGCTTCAATTAAGTAATTCTGCTCTTTGTTTTGCTGTTTGATAGTACGCTGAAGTTCGAGAATTTGATCTTGAGCTGGATTTGACGGAGCTAAATTTATAATTTGCATCAAATCATTTACTTTTTGCTCGTAACTCGAATTTTCCAGTTTTAATGTAGATATTTCATTATTAAGCTGCTTGATTTTTTCATTGTTATCAGTCATTATTTGTTTTTGCTCATTAAGTTTTGTTTCAAAATTCATTTTCTCCTTCATCATTTCATCTATAAAAGCATTTAAGGAACTTTCCTTTTGTTGTGATGCTTGTAATTCCATTTTATACGCTTGAATTTGACTTTCAAATGCTGAAGAAGACAGTTTTGCTATAGTTAATTGCTCATTTATTTCATCCCTTTGCTGTATAAGTTTTAACGCAGTCTTTTTAAGCTCATCTGCAGATCGGATCTTACTGACCGATTCTGCAGAAATTTGCGCCATAATAAAATATTCTCAACAACTAAAAATTATAACTAAAATGTTTAGTATTTTAAGAACTCTAGAAAATAAAATCTCAAATATATTGGGATATCGTTATTGAAATTTTAATTTTAGTCTCTTTTTCAAATTGGTATTGAATGATATTACAAACAACCAACAAATTTGTATCGCCAATCAATGATAACAATTTAAGGCTATTATTAAGATAATTATTCATATTTTTTATTAGTGAACATGAAATATATATTAAAACTGAACAATTATCATGAATTCCATGGATAGTAATAGTAAAAAAGGACATCGACTCTGTGATGTAATGCAATTTCATGAATTTAATAATTGATATTTTTAATTTCCATTTTCCTTTTCGTTTGTAATAGAAGAGTTAAGTGCAATGGCATCAATACTACAATAACAGCTATATCATATCTTTTTTTTTCTCAGGTTTTTCATAAGGTAGTCACAAAATCTAAGTAGTGAGGCTCTCAAAAATTGAACCGTACTCCATACAAAATTTGTGTACCCTCACTACTTAGATTTTGTGGCCTTCAATTGAGAGGTTAGTTTTGATAGAGCACGTTATAAAATTAAAAGGGAAAAATAAATAAAATTTAAACATTTAATTATATATAATGTAAGGAGTGTAATTCCAAATTTTCTAAAAACTATTCAAATTTGAGCATTTTTTTGGAAATAGTAAATCTAATATGTACATCTAATAACAACATGATTCATCACCTTTTCAAGCTCTGCAGTCAATTTTTTGACATTTGATTGAAATAAATGTAGCAAAAATTACATTTCATTAGGAATATATGAGTTTCTCTGGAAAGGCTGATAAATTTTAAATTTTGTCCAATCAACATGAATGCATTGAGAAATTTGGATTGATTTTCTGGTAGAATCTGGAACAATTCAACCATGTATAAATGGATCATGTAATCATCATGAAATGTTAGTGTTAGAGTTCAAAAGAAACAGAATGAGTGGAAATCAAACACAATCTGAATAATTTTAAACGTATACAATCTTTAAGTTTGTATTTTGAATTCTACATATATGATTGTGTAATTCGTTCTTTCAAATTTTCGGATTCAGGCATGTTTTGATAAAATTCATTCCCAAAAACGTCAATTAACAATTAAATTTAGTGTATTTTAAATATGTATACGTATTATATTTTATAAATTATATTAAATTCGCAAAATTTTAAGTTTTAAACAAAAATAAAAAATGTTCAAAATATGAAATTATGCATAGGATATTAAAATTTACATGTTAGCAATTTTTTTGAATTGCTTTCAATTTTCATATTGAAATTTTTAAGATTTTTTTCTGAAATAATAAGCAAGAATATCAACCTAAATAATATTAAATTCCATGCGTTAATTTCCCCTCAAAAGTCATTGACCGCCTCTCAATCTAGATTTTGTGAGTACTTTAGTTTGATAAAATTATTTGGGCGACAGAAAATTTTTAGAATTGAATGGTTCATCTCAAAAAATTGAATTGATAAGAAAATATACTAACCTCCTCAGCGAAAAATGATAATATACATGATACTGAACTTTTAACTAAATTAAAAAACAAAAAGGTGACAATATGAATTCACACATCCAATTGTTGAAAATTCATTTTTTGAGCTACCACAGAAATTTCATTTTCAAGTATGAGAGCTTGCCTCAGTAATCACGCCAACTTTAAATTCACAGAGTCAGATGACAACAAGCTTAGAAGAGTAATTGCCAAGATTGGAACGAATAATTGGAAAGAAGTTACCAAGTATTTTCCAAATAGAACCCAAAGGCAAGTTAAAGATAGATGGGAGAAATTTTTGTCTCCTGACCTCAATTTCGGTCCTTTTTCAATTGAAGAAGACATTCAAATTTTGAAATTATATAAAGAATATGGACCAAAATGGATGCAAATTTCCAGGATGATGCAAAATAGATCTGATGTTATAATTAAATCTAGATTCCAGAAACTACAACGACACAATGAAAGTTTGGATAATTTAATAGAAATTTCAAATAAAAATCAACAAAGCCAGACTGAAGTAGCACCATTAAAGGAAATAGATGATTTAATATCATTTGATGAATGTATGAACTTAGAGTATGACATTTTAGATAATGTTTTTAATAATTTTATTCCAGAATTTTAGACTTTGGTAAAAGTTTACTTTCGGATAATTATTATCTTTTTAAAGTTTGTTTGGATTTAAAAAAGAAAAAAATTAAAAATAAAAAATATTATTACAAACAATTTATTTCAAAAGTTGAATATTGATTTGCCTTGCTTTGATGATTTCTTGTGAGAGACGCTGTTTGTCTTCTGCATTTCTCTAATTCTGAAATCTTCAGGTTGATCAAATGGAATTCCCGGAACAACTAACAAATTCTCTTCTTTCTTGGTTTGATTAAACATCTGTTTGAGTGTTTTGACTCTTTTTCCTTCAATTATTTTTTGAGAATCTAAATTAATTAAAGGAATCTCAGCACCTTCCAATATTTGATTGATTCTTGGATCATTACTATCATATGGAGGTAACTCATAGATGCATTCATTCTCATATCCTTCAGAATATTCAGTAATTGTTCCAAGAATAGTTACTTTTTGCAATTTATTATACAAAAACGTGACACCGAAAGAATTTCTTTGTTTTTCTTCTTCGTTGAGAGAATCATTCACATTTCTCAAGCATTTCTTAAGTTTATGCGCGTCAATGAAAGGAATCAACACATGTCCTTTCCAAGCCGTAGTTCCTCCTTCGAGGTCGACTTTGAATTTTTTCGGGTAAAAATCCAAAATTGGGGAATCATCAGAATTCATCAAATCGCACATCATTTTCGGAAGACACCAACTCGACTGTGGTGGCAAAACAGCCATAAGCTGCTGCAGAGGAGTAAAAGGATGTCCCAAAACAAACTCATTCTTCACATCACAATCCAACAAAACAAAATCACTGACTAAAGGTGCAGAATGATATGGATAAAACCATGACCAACTTGCAACACCTTTCGTGTAGTACTTCAATACCCATTCCATGCCTTTGCAGTACTCATGTACAACATTTTTAATATTCTCTTCGTCTTCAAAGCCAAATTTACTCTGATAATAAAATTTCTTGTCACGTTTCGTATCGTAAATTTCTAAATTATTTTGATTTTTTTGAAATTTGGCGGTTACAAGTTTTTTGTCATTTTCGGGCTTATATTCTGTCTTAACATCATTGCATAAGTTATTAACATACTCCGATACCGAAATTGATCTTTCAGAAGGACTCACAATATTATGAACACTTTCTGGCTCGAGATAGTCAAATCCAAGCATGAAAGGAAGCAGGTTTTTCATCTCGACATCGCCCGTGTTGGTAATGTATGATGACAGTTGGGGTAATAATTTTTTATATCTTTCAAATAATTGGTCGACAAAGCCTCTTGGAATTTCGAAGCCAGGAATCTGTGGTAAGAAGTCATTTCCTGCTGCAAAACATAGAAATACTATATCATCTATGACTCGCTCAAGATCCCAACCAAATTTAACATCAATTTGAAGTTCTCTATCAAGATACTGCCTGAGAACAAAGATATTAGCAAAAATAAATGATGAGGGGCCAATTGGCTTGTCATTTTCTTTTTTGTCAAAAATGTTTTCGCGTAATATTGAAAAATATACTTCATGAGAGGCCAATGCTAAGAATATAAGATCTGCATCTAATCCATACATAACATGACGGGTGTTTGGATTGTAACCATCTGTTAATCTTTGAATTCTAATAAATTCCATTATTTTATGCTCTCCTTCGCCAGGAACTGATGCATCAGAAAGTATAATTGCGATGTTTGACCATGCTGGTGAAGTATTCTGCATTTCTGAAATGAAAGACCTCAAAATTTGGGACAAATCACACATAAATTTTGTACCTGGAGTAATAATATTACTGTCATGATCTTGAATGTATTGTTCTTTCATGATTTTTTCTGCTTCTTTTTGTTTGCCTAGTGTAATTAATTCTTGAAAATTCTTGTTTCGGTTGTATTCTGAATCTTTTGCTGCTCTGAATCTTCTAGATCGCTGTTGGTTCATTTTGGCACGTGGGGCAACACCATCAATTGCGAGATATAATAATTTTCTTGGCCGAACAATATTGAAAATGCGTTTAAGATATAATTTAATATTTTCATAAACTTCTTCGATGTTTTTGGGCTGTTCTCTGTCAGCTGGATGAAAGCATGAATGGATTAGGCCGTTCATATCAATATATAAATTATCAAATTCTTGGGAACCAATTGTATTTGGATTAGACTCCAAAGGATCAACATCTACATCACTTTCAAGAACTCTAGATACTACTAATGGATACTTCCTTTGTAGCCATCGAAAAAAAGAGGGAACACCCATTCAAATAAGGACGATAAGAAATTTTAATTGATAAGATTATCTTCACTATGTTCTTATCATGCCCCACAAAATAGGATTCAAAGGTGAAACTTCCAGGAAATGTTTCATAGTCACTTTAGTGTAAAAATAGTCTGCAATCAATAGGAAGCCATCTGTGAAATATATATAATTGAATCATAAATGTCATTAGTTATGATATAACAATATAAAAAAATTATTTATTGTATCCATTAACAATGGTTGTTAATTTGCCTGTGTCTGGATTGATAACAAGACCATGAATTGGGATATTCTTGGTAATTAAAGGATTTTCACGTAGTTTTTGAACAGTCTTCTTTACATTATCAACAGGATCTTTGAATTCATCAACCCAATGACTAAGATCACCTTTAACTTTCTCAATATCTTGTACCTTTACTCCTGCTTTGATCATCGCAAGGCTAAGAGAATCACTTGTAGCATGAGTCATACCACATGCTTCATGTCCGATAACAAAAATCTCCTTCGCTCCAAGTTCATAGATGGAAACAAGTAGGCTGACAACAGTATCGCTCAATCCAGTAGTCCAAACTCCATTTCCAGCAGCTTTAATAACTGTAGCTTCGCCGCGTTTAACTCCGATAGCATCCTCAACAAATGAAACCAATCTTGTATCCATGCATGTAACAATTGCAATCTTACGCTGCAGGCATTTGTTTAGCTTTGGAAGATCTGGATGCTCTTTGAGGAATTTTTGGTTATCTGAGTGCAGCTTCTCAAGCTGGTACATGTTTAAAATTGTTTACAACTCTTTCAAAAAATTTTCAATATATGCTACTAATTTGATAATTCTGTATGATTGTTGAGCAGCCAAATTAATGCATTTTTTAATGGTGAAGATAATACTATCAATTTTTTCACTGAGTTATTTCAAATCTTTAAGATTGCTCCTTCAATTCGAAAATTGGTCAAATCAACATATTTTAGGCATATTAAAATAATATATCTCTAAACAAAAAAATCAGATGCATTCAAATTAAAAAAAATTACAGGTGAAAAATGATTATATTTCGACAATTCATTTATTGTTTTTACCTCTCCATTTTGAATGTACTCATAATTTTATACCGGCATTATTTAATCACTTTCTTATGTATATAATACTAAAAATAGTCGTTTTATTATTTCCAGTAATAAAATTAAAGAGTTAAGCAAATTTCAAAAATATGCATAACGAAATTTTAAAAAAGTAAGGTACTAATAATTCATTCATCGTTGACATCTTGTTAGTTCAATTTGTGAATCAGTTAATAAGCATTAATGTTGATATTTTGTTAAAAAAATTGGATGATTCAACTAAAATTTATGAAGTTGAATAGAATATCATTGCCTATCTTGCCTAAAATCCAGAATAAATAGCAAGACAACTCACAAATTATCATCCAAATGGTTTCTAATTTCAATTTCAAATTCTCGCTATCAAATGATGTTTTGGGAATATAAATATATACTTAATGTGTATTAGCATTCAAATACAAATGATGAATTATTAAAAATTATCTCCTTCTTCTGACAGAGAAACATAATTAATATTTTTTCCGATATTTGCGAAAAATGCATTGAAAATTTAAATTAAATACGGAAAGAAAATTAATCTCGAATTCAGAAATGTAAACATTCGACCATTTCCAAATGATTTTATTTATCATACAATTTAATATATTTCTTGATTAAAAAAAGTTGATGGTAGATAAAAACCGAAAAATTTTCCAAAATCATTTCACAAATGATGATTTCTCAGCATCCTGATGAGCTTTTAAAAGCTCTTCAGAATGATGACATCAGTGATCTTGAAAATTTAAGCAACCGTGAAGCTTTAACAGATATTTTCATTCAGTCAAATAAAGCAATTCGAATAGAAATGATGACAAAGGATGCACCCGCATTGGCAATCGCAGCATTTGAAGGAAGCGTCAAATCATTCCAGTATTTGTGGGAAAACGGCTCATCTTTATTAACAAATGATTTAGATTCTCGTAGTATTGAGCATTTTGCATGTGCCGGCGGTCACATGGATATGATACAGTATCTTGATCAAATTGGTGCTAACTTTGAGAAACTTGATAGAGCTTTAAGAAGTCCATGCCATTATGCTTGCCTCTATGGCCAATACGACGTCGTCACATGGCTATCAATCAGAGGAATAGATATCAATACAACAGATCTTACTGGTCAATCTACATTACACGCTGCTGCCTTGTCTGGAAACATTGAATTAGTGCAGTATCTTTTGGATAACAATGCTGATATTGGAACATTTGCACAAGAACACGTTTCTGTTCTTTGCTTTGGAATTAAATCCAAAAATTACGAACTTTTCAAATTTTTATTAGAAAAAGGAGCTCCAATTGATCCACCAACGACGCATTCAAACCTACTTGCATATGCATGTGAATTTGGTTGCAAGCAGATTGTTGATCATCTGATTCAGCAAGGATATAATATCAATTCAAAAGAAACAACCGGATGGACGCCATTAAATTTTGCGTTGAAAGGTAAGAATACAGAAATAGCAGCCTCTCTCATCAAACGCGACATAATCATTGACAATAAAGATATGTATGGAATGTTGCCAATTCACTGGGCAGCAAAATTTGACTTACTCGAACCTGTTATTTTATTAATTAGCCGCGGATGCAACTTCGATGTTAAGAACAAGAAAGGGTACACACCATTCTTCCTTGCCGCCGGATATGGCGGAAGAGAGACAGCTCAGTACCTCGCAGATAAAGGAGCGAATATAAACACTGTTGATCACCTTGGATTCACTGCTTTCATGTTTGCCGCTATTAATGGAAACCTCGACATTGTTAAATTCCTTCACGAGAAAGGCGCAAATATGAACGCATCTGATATGCAAGGAAATACTGCAGCTCATTATGCTGCATCAAACGGAAAGAAAGATATAGTAATGTACCTTGTTGACCATGGTGCAAATGTTTCAATGCGTAATAAACAAGGAAGAACTCCTTTTGAAGAAGCAAAACTAGCAAATCAAATAGAGTGTGTGGCCCTTCTTCCGCCTCCTGACAACCAAACATGCAGAATTTGTTAACATACTTTTTATTCTTTTAACTATATTTTTTTAATAAATTTTGTTTATTTTTGATTATCAAAAAATGCTGGTATAACCAAAAATAGTAGAAAACAAAAAATTATAATGATGCAGCAAATGCATCTATCATTTCCTGTTCTTGCGCCTCTATATTCAAGCTTATTAATAACTTCAGTCAAATCCTGTTTGTAGGCATAATCAATTGCTGTATTACCAAATTTGTCAGATGCATTGATGTCAATGTCTTTATTTATAAGAATGTCTACGATATCTTGCGATTGTTTGGTTGTGGCAGCAATGTGAAGAGCAGTCATACCGCTGTTGTTCGTTGCATTTACATTAATATCATGCGAAACTAGGAATTTGACTTTATAATAGTTGTTTTCACGAACAGCATTATGTAAAGCAGTGTTTCCATCTACATCTTTCGAATTAATATCTGCCCCATGAGCAAGGAGAAGCTCTGTTATATCTAGCATATCATTCTCAACGGAATAGTGCAATGCAGTTTTACCGAGTAAATCAACTTCATTAATGTTGAAATTATGATTGATTAGTATTTTTGCAATTTCATTCATTTCCTTTTGAATCGCGAAGTGAAGCACATTTCCATTGTATGGGAAATTTCCTTCAAGTTTGATACAATTTGAGATAAGAAATTCGATCATTTCGCACATGTTGTTTTCTATTGCAAATCTGACACAGTTATTTTTATTTGGAAGAGGAGTTTTGAGCACAGCTCCATTTGAAATTAGAATTTCAACAATTTCTTTGTTGTTGTTTGTTATTGCTTTGCAAAGAGGAGATTCCCCGTTGTCATCTGTTTCATTAATATTTGTTCCGATTGAGATAAGGAATTTAACCATTTCAACATCATTTTTACTAACTGCATCATGAAGAGAAAATTTATCAAGTGAATTGTCCAAAGATACTTTGTTCGAATTCTGAGAAATAATAGACTTGATGATTTCTTGACATTTGTTTTTAACTGCATACTGAAAGATTTCCTTTATCTCTTCTTCAGAAATTTTCGTACTATGTTTGATGAGTAACACAACTATTTCTATGTTTTGATTTTCAAAAGCTCGCTGAAGAGGACTCTGCCCTAAAATGCTAGTCATGTTGACATCAGCACCATGTTCTATGAGGTATTTTGCTATATCATTGCGATTATTGCTAATAGAGCTTATTAGAGGGGTGATTCCTAGGCTGTTTTTAGCATTCATATCGGCACCATGTTCAACAAGAATTTCTACAATGTCTTTGTAATTGTTATCAGCAGCAATAAAGAGAGGAGTGTTCTTGTAATTATTTATAATTTCAATATTTGCATCATTCGAGAGAAGAATTTCGACTATATCTTTGCTTCTCTTGCGAACTGCGTAGTGAAGAGCAGCCAAGCCAAATCCATCTTTAGAATTCGGATCTTCGCCATGCTTGACAAGAAATTCGACTTCATCTTTGTTGTTCTTAGCAACCGCTGATATGAGTTTGGTTGTTTCAAATATGCTAGTTCCTTTAGAATTATCTGAAGAATTAGATGAATATGTTGATGGTAGTGATGTTTCGCGCGTGTTGAGTTGTTTGTTGGAATCTGTGAACATGTTCATTGTCGATTGGAGATCTGCACCTAAAGAGATGAAGTATTGGACGAGTGGTTGGAGACAGAATCCGAATGAGTAGTAGCAGCATGATTGGATGTCGCCTGTGATCTCATAGTGTGCGGCAAGTGCTTCGATGTTCTTGTACTTAGAGCAGTTGCTCAAGTCGATCATGATGCCGTATTCGTCAAACAGACTTGTGACGTATTCGATGTTGTGAGAGATGATCGCATAGCGCATTGTCTCTGAGTTAGGTGTCTGGTGGCGCAAGCACTCGTCGATGATGAACTGGTTGCCACTAAGAAATGAGAAACTGAGACATGTGTTTGTGACACGCATGTTGTACTTAGTCTTGAGGAGGTTGAAAAAGAGGAGAGATCCGTAGTAGCAAGAAAGTTCGATGAGAGAGATTCCGTTGAATGTGTACGGATAAAGAGAACTTCTAAGTTTGATTTTAGTCTCAAAGCCTTGGTTGTCCATATAAGTTTTCAGAGATTGTAAGTCATCGTCCATGATGGAACGGAAGACACTTCCTTTTTCATGAACTTCAAAACTAACTTTCTCTTCTTCGAACTGCGTGAATTCTTTCTCACAGTGTGTGCTGATGAGGTTGTTGCTGTCCTTGGAGAGAAGGTATACGAAAATAGCAGGAATCTCTTCTCGAGGTTTGTACTCATCGTAAAGAACCTTGAAAAGAGAAAAGTATGACTTAAGATATCGATTCCTGAACTGGATGATGATACTGATCTCGTTTATAATCTGTGATGCTGTGAATATATTAGTTTCAATGAGTTTTGTTTTGATCTTTTCGAAAAGTTTCTGAATTTCTTCTTCATCATCTGTTTTCAGCATATATAACTCATTTATAGTACTACTATAATCTTCAAATCGACTCATTAAATCATCATAACGCTTATGGATTATTTTTTCATCAGTCATAACATAAATATTTAATTTTTGATTTACAAAGTCAAATTTTCAATTCAAAATTTTGTGAACAAAAATTACACTAAATAATAAAAAGTAGCTTTTGCCACTGGTAATTATGAGATTACACCGGGGGATGTATTCAGAAAGAATATGAAATGTTATTCTTGTGAGATAGTAAAACAACTAATAGATTTATCCATGAATATTTTAAAATATTGAAATAGAATTTTAGAGCAATGATCAAATAATGTTTCATTAAAACAGAGCAAGTTAATATATAATATTTATATTTTTATTTAATAATAAATTACAAAAATAATAAAATAATAAAAATTATTCCTTGAAGTATGAGAGATATTCCTTAGAAATATCATTTTCATCTGCAAATCTTTCAAAAGATTCCACAATTTTCCCGAAAAATGATGTCTGCTTCAGTACTTTAATGACTTCTGTTGTGTTCTTTCTTCTGTTATTTACATCGACAGAAATAACTCCGCTCATTCCTGCGTTCTCGACTCTCTTCGATATGTCCTTCAGCAGCCTGTTTATGACCTGAACAATCACGTCATCCTGCGCAGTTCTTCCGAGAGCAATCAAGCAGGCGTGAAGTAGATCAGCACCGTGGTTCTTTATGTCGAAGAGATTTCCCTCCAAGAGAAGAAGTGCTGCTGACGGCGCCGACTGCAATCTGTCCATCAATCGCTTCACGATGTGGGAGGAAACAAAGCTTTTGTTTTCCATCGCGATTAGATACAAAAGCTCTTTGTTGTTTTCGTCAAACATCGGCAGGAGAACTTCGAAAACAGCCGGTCCATATTCCTGCTTTGACATGATCTCCTTCCAGACTTTGTTCTTTATGAAGAGCATCGATTCCTCGTCTTCGCAGTGGAGCTCAATCAAAAATCTTCTTCCGAGATATCCGCACTGTGAGGAAAGTAAGAATTCGGTGATTCCTGGCAGTAATTTCACGACAGGAAGTGGATTCTTGAGTACGGAAAAGATTTTTTCGAACTCAATAATAACATGACCGACATCTTCTGGTCTTTTGTTGCAGGCAATTCTGAGTATGTCTGTTGCCTTCTGCCTGCACTCTTCGACTGTTTCTGGTATATCGATTGACAGCTGGTACTCGTTGTTTACTGACTTCAGGAGGTTGAAGGAGTTCTCCCACAGGAAGTGGCAGTCGGCTTCCATCAGTCCAGTCAAACTGATCAGAAGAAGAAGCCAGCACGTTGATGATTTATCATTCGAATCAGTGCAAATTTGCGGGTACTTGAGAGATTTGGAGTTTGCTCTCGCGAAGGCAGATTTGATCAAATAATACAGTCCGCTGGCAGGGAATGTCGTGAAGACGAGAATTTCGTTGTTCACGTAGACTGTGAACTCCAAATTCTCGTCTGGAGCTGTGATGTCCGAAATGGAGTGGATGTGGTTCAGCATGTAGCAGTTGTTGACAGAGATCGCGCCAATTTTGATCAGAGTGTGGAGGGAGAACCTCGAAACTCTGATTGTTGTCTCCCTCTTGTTTATGATAGTTGTCTGAGGGAATCCTTCGTTATTCAGCGCTTCTTTGCACTCCATCGGAATTTTGTCTGATAGACTGTTCAGTGGATAGATGTCCTTTTCGGATGTGGCGAAAACGAAGGTGTCGGAGTAATGTGTGAACTGTCTGTTCTGCACGAAATACTCTCCGAACTCGTAGCTGCTCCTCAGGACAATGAAATGTTTGATTGACTTGAAACACATGTCGAAAACAGGCATGAATTTCTTGATTTGGACTTGTCCTTTTGGAAGTTTCTCAACATCAACGTGGCTCATGTCCAAAACAAATATAATGTCGTTGTTGATCGACAACAAAAGATTGAATAAATAACTCATAATTGTTTTCTCTGAAATTGAAGAGTTTTGTAAACTACTCACATAGTAAACAACTTCGAAATCAGAATTGAAAGGAGTGTCTATGAAAATGAACTGTTCCAACTGGTACAGTTCTTCGTCTGTTGGCTTTATCATCATGAACTCCTTCATCTCTCTCGGGAGCTGGTCGAAATCACTCTGTTTCTTGCAGGAAATGAAATTCCTCGTTTTGATTTTGTCGTACTTCAAAACGAAGTTGTACAGCTTCTCTGCCTCTTTGTCGTTCTTCCTGCTCGTGTAGAACAGATCCAAGTCCTTCCGCAGAGAGCAAAGTGTCTCTGACAAGTTCTGGCAGACTATGTTTTCGTCTGTCTCCAGGTACTTGAACGCGGCGCCTTTGATGTCAGTCTTGATGATGTCGTCAACTGTCGCAGTGAACCTGTCCAAGGCCAGGCTCGCGACGTCGTTGAAGTAGAGGTAGTCCTCGCCTTTGTCCGTCAGATCTCCTCTCAAACTTGCCGCCATCAGCGCTATACAGACAGAAACTAAAACTTGCCTTTCTTCCTCGGAAATATCGAATTTGTCCTCTTCCTCTTCATTAGGAGGGGCTGTGAGGTTGGGAATTATCAATCTCAGGAAGATAATGCCGTTAACAATCATAATACCATGATTGTCTTGGAATTTTTCTGCCACTTTTTTGTAAACAATTTGAACCATTCTTATAATTTGAGTTGGCAGACGAGGAATTGAGTTTGTTATTATGTCTATTGATTTGATGAACAATTGTCTGAATGTCTTCCTGTTCTCCTCTATGTTCTCATTACTCGGCACGTACTTTGTCTTTATGTTTATGCTCTTTCCTGATTTGACAATTTCTTTCGCCAAATTTGACATTGGACTGTAAATTGTTTTCAGCCACTCCCTTCCGAATATTTTGGAGAATGAGATGATCGAACGGGATGGAACTGCATTTCCTCTCAGTATCGTGTTCTTGTTGACCTCCGACGTCTTCTCCAGTTCCAAGTCAGTCATGAAGTTGATGAAATCGAACTCGACGTGTCTGGAAACTGCTGCTTTCACGAGGTAAATGGAAAACTGCTCTGACTGCTTCACTGGAACAAAACTAACGATTTCCTTCAGAAGTCTGAAGTTGTCGATGAACAAATAGTCAATAAGGTTGTCCTCCTTCTTCGGAGGAAGAATTCGACTGTTGACAAGAGCTTCGTGGGCGGCATTGACATATCCGGCCCTGCTCAAGTCAGTTCCAATGAGTGTCTTCGCGAGTTCTGACCTGGAAAACAGCCAAAAGTTGGATTTGAAGAGGCAGGCAATCGCGTTGGAGATACTTTTGACCAAAGACTGCTGCTTGAGGAGCCTTGTGTTGAGATTTGTTGTGAGAAACACTAAGTCATCATAGTTGTCCAGAGAAAATGACAAATCTTCGACAACTTTTGCTAGTGCGTTGCAAATTGTTTGTCCGGCCTTTTCTGTCGATGGTCCGCAGTCAATCCTAGCCAGCCATGACGCGAGAATTACGGATAACTCCATTTTGTTCGCTTTTGAAATGGAGTTTCTCGATTTCGTCAGGGCTGTGATCAGAAACTGGCTGCACTGGTACAATCTCTGCGCAGAAACAAGGAGGTTCATGTAGGAAACAAATACCATGGATATGTGCTCGATCAGGAAGCTCTCAACTGTTCCAACTTCCCACTCATATTTCTGAATCAAGTTTTGGACCATTTTCATGCTGTTTGCAGTGTACTGTGTGTGAACATCGGTGAACTCATATCCAATTTCCTGCATTTTGATCAGTACACTTTGCAAAATTGGAGTAATAATTTGAGGTCTAACAATTCTTGCAAAAATTACACTTCCATCATTACCAATGTAGCTAGGTGACTTCATGCACTCGTTAATTACTGTCAGATAGTTGTTTGGTGACGTCTTAATCAGCATTGTTTCTAATAACAGAGCTGTCTTGGTAAATTCGTCCCTTAATGTTGATGGAGACATTGCGTTTGGTGTCTTTTTCAGCGATTCATCGACAACTGTTGGGTCTAATGCGTAAGCCAAATTTCCTAAGTGTTTAATATAGGCGTAAGTGATTGATTTGTTTTCCTTCTTTAGTTTTAAGAGTGGTGCGAATGTTGCGTTGTCATCAACATCGAATTTTCCTTTCGATTTGCAAATATCAATGAATTCTTGGTAGATATTAATCGGCAGCTGTAATTGTGTATCCAATTCATACTTTAAGTCGATATTTATTACTTCCTGCAAAATGGTCAGACAAATCGAAGAAATCGGAGTTGGTAAGAAAACGAGAGAAACGACTTCCATTTGCATTACAGTGACCATCATTTGAGGAATCTGTACGAATTTACGGCACTCTTCCTTTTCTAAGAAATATTTGACTAAATCTAAAATAAATAAAAAGATTCTTCCCAAATCTGAGATAATTTCTGGCTTCAGAGCCATGAAAAAGTCCAAATTGTTCAGTATTGAAGAAATTGTGCAGTCAATTACTATCCAATCGTTCAATTTGTACTCATCCTTTTTAAATGCCGAAATAAACGCGTTACAGAGTGATCGGATGCCATTAGTTGGGCATGGCCTCCACAAAAACATCGTCAAACCGTGGTTTATCTTCAATATCTCGTCCAAAATATCCGGATTTACCTCAAAAGCGTGGAAAAGGAGGGGAAAAGCTACAAGTACGTCATTTCCAGATGACAGAGACTCCAACATATTGATGAGCGCAGACTGTAGCAGATTTTTCTGTTCGGAATTCATCTTCACAGACATGCACTTGTCGATCGTTCTGCACGTCAGCTGCCTCGGCATGAGCGTGTTTTCGTTCACGAAGTACTTCATCACGTCGACGAAGTAGCCGTAGCTAGTGAAGTACAATGCGACAGGCAAATCGACGCAGATGAAGTACCTGAGGTGGTAGTAGTACTCAAAGAGGACTTGCTGCTGCGAATGGAGCTTTTCTACCAGAGATGGAGCAAAAATTTTGAAGATTCCAATGTATGACTGAAATCCGTTTGTTTCTGCAACGGCAAGAGCGGAGTAAAGGGCGGCTTGGAGCGCGCTGTAGTGGGATTGGTCGAATCCAGACACTTTCTTCGAGAGCTCGTTCGAAATTTTCGATGTAATTGACTCGAGAGATCCGTTGTTGATTTGCGCGTGAAGAAGGAACGAAAGGGAGATCAGAGCTTCGTATTTGGATGAATCTGAGATACTTTTGTCCTTTTTGAGAAGCTCGAAGATCTGTAATGCGTCGTTATTGTTTATTATTCTGTTCATGAACTCAGATGGATTGTTTCTGAATGATGTCATGATAATCGTGGAAATGGTGTTGCAGTATTCGTTAAGATACAGCTTGAAATCTTGATAAACTTCGAGTAAAATTCGTAATCCGTATTTTAATGCATGATAGCTTGCAATAAAGCGAGTAAATGGAAGTAGTTGGAAGCGTAGATCTTTCATTTTCGGTAATTTAGAAAGTAAATCTTTAATTTTGGCTTCAAAAATCGTAAATACTTGAGTACTGATAGATCCGATGGTTTGAGTAAACTTCGTATAGCTAGATCGTAGTAAATCTGGATTGTCATGATTCATTACCTTCTCTACTAACGAAATAACTTTTTCTAAAAATTCAATTTTGAAAAAATCGCCATGTTCGTTTTGGGATACCTTTTCTATGCACTTAACTAAAGCTTGTAAATAAACTGTAGCAAAGCGACTGTTGTTTAGCGTCACAGTTGCCGTTGAATCAATGATTGAACTTATTTTTTCAAGTAAAATCGTAGATATTGAATGGAATTGTTCTTTACCGTTTATGAGTGGATATAAATTAACTAAATTTTGGTTGGTGACTACAAAATTTGCAACGAAACTTTCTTCTTCTTGAGTAATAATTGGATCTGTTACTAAGCTTTCAGTTATCTGTATTACTAATGCATCAATCAACTGCTTGATATTATCATATTTCGGATCCATGCAGTATGAAATGCAAAAAAGAAAATCAAAGAAAGAAAGTAAAAAAAAGTTAGCACTTTTTCTTACCCGAATTAAATTTAAAAATAATGTACTCATTTCTGATATATCAAGATTAGGTTTTGGCTGAAGCTTTGAATTTTCTAGTCAATTTGTCAGACTCTAACTAATATATTGTGGATAAGATAAATAGATCAAATAATATTAGAAAAATGTGTATTATTTGAATTCGCATAATGTCAATTGTAATTGTGATGTTTACAATAATCAAATTTTCTCAAAATTGAATAAGATGCGGATAATATAAAAAATCAAAGGATACTAAATTAATTTTTGTTCGTTTTAATACTTATAATCAATAATAGCAATTTTTGTTGTTGTCACTTTTAGTACTCTTCGTGAAGGTTTTGATGATTATTTTTCTCATTTTATCAGTATCTTCGAGTTCATTTTTACTCGAACGATACTATCAAATATCTTCACAGCCAATATTGTCGGATTTTAATCAATTTCATTCAGATTATTTCTTGTTTTTTGATAAAAAAATTAGATTAAATTCTCAACAATTGAAAGATTTCATTTATGATATTAAACAATGCATGTTTCGAAATTGCACAACTCCTAACGCTGGAGGTGCAATTTTTGTTTATGAACGGCAAGCAAAAATTAGTATTGATGATTGCTTTTTTATTCAATGTACTGCAGCGATAAATGGCGGCGCTGTATCCATAACGTCCGATCATTTATCCATGAATAATTCTTTTTATACAAAATGTGTTTGCCCTGGAATCATTTATGGCGGACAATCATTTTATGCTGATGCTTACTCTATGTGTTACACCTTGGATTCGATGGATAAATGCCCAGAAAATTTAAAAGAAAATGGCTTCGAATTATTAATAGCTAGACAAGGAATTCAAACGTTTTCTATGATCAACTCTACAAACAATATTGCAACTCATTATGCAAGCGGGCTTTTATCTGGAGAATCAAAAAGATTTAAGCTGATTTACGGCAATTTTGTCAACAACAGCTCTCCAAATCATATATTAGCTTTGACGCATATAAGGCCTGATGATACCCTCAAATACGTAAATTTGATTCAAAACAACGTTACAGAAGATTCTTTGATTTTCCTGTCCGGCTCATGCGCTGTTTTCCGTAACTTTATAGTATTTGGTAACACTGGTACATTTGTCTGCCATCAACCTCTCTACGGCTACGTTTATTTTGTTCTCAAAGATTCAAAAACAGATTTAGGAAGAACAGAGCTTGGTTCAGTTCAAGGTCTGATGAAAGAATACGGCGTTGTATTTAATGCAAATGATATGAAACCAATTTCTTTTCCAAAAGTTCTGAACTTGAATTCTTCCAATCTGCAAGTAACTGGACAGTTTAAACTTGGTGAAGTAGCTGAATAGAAATCTAAATCTGAATTGTTTCTATCAAATCTTTAAGATTTAGATTTGAGAAATTATCATTTTAATTTTATAGTCTAATAATTAACTATTTCATATAGTTATTGTTTGTTTTTAATGTTTGTACTCTTTTTAACCATGAATAAAAGATTATAGAGATATTTTTGCTAATTTGCAAAATAATGATATAACTACCTCATATCTGTTAATTGTATTAACTTTGCGCTATAACATCTAATGAACACAATTCTATAAAACAAAATAATTGAAATTTTATTTTAGACAAGTAATGTTAAAATAATAACATTGAACGAGAATGATGAAATAAACATAGTTTTAATAATAAACAAGAACAAAAATTAAACAAATTATTTGTAATGTCTGCGCAAAAGTCTTTTCATAAGATCCGAAATCTCAAGAATGCTCTTTTTGTTGTCTACAAGTTGCTTGTATGACTCATCAATGATTGACTTCTTCGGAGCGAAAGATTCCTGAAGATCTTTAATCATTTGCGGAGAAAGACCAGTTCTGGCAAGTTTAGCATGCGAAGACGACAGTTTTGAAAGTATCTCTTCAGCACTCGAAATTCTCGCGATGGAATTATCGAGAAGGAAGACTGATTCATCCTCCAACGAGTCAATTGTGTCTTCTACATCAGCCATGTGCTTCTTAAGTTGGGCAAAAATGTCTGCGTACTCTGCCAAAATGTATCTGTTTCTTTTTGCCATTTTTTGGACATTTTTGTCCTCTGGAACTATTTCTTCTTGGCCGAAATCCAGCATTTCGCTCTCGTCATCAGCTAATCCTGCTGTGTATTCGTTAATTTGGTCAATGCAGTAGTCGATGAAGAGATTTCGCTGAACGCTGTCGGTTTTGTTCTTTCTGAGGAGCTCACTGGTATGTGGGAAGAACTCGTGCCACTTTCTCATGTCATCTGAGATTTGCGGGGCCAAAATCAAACGATCTTGCTGCTCAAACATCGACATCTGCTGTTTTAGTAATGGTTTGCGTATTTCAGATAATCTGTTTTCGAAATTAATGAGGAGAGGAACGTAATCTGCAAATTTACGGAATTGCTCTCTGATTTGGTTAAGCAATGGTGTGATTTCTTGTTTTGTGCTCTCTTCTGACTCCTGAAGATATGTAATTAAGTTTTGATTCGATGATTGAATCAAATCAAATTGTTGAATGAGGCTTTTAAGCTCTGTAAGCAATGGAGATGATGATGCTTGTATAATATTGCTATCACTGTATTGATTAATCTGATTTATCAAGTTATTATCATAATCTTGGATATTGCTAATATGTTTTACGTCTGCACCAGCTAAAACTAGCAAAACAGTAGCTGTAGATGATTTATTGCGTAATGCGATATCGAGTGGATAGATATTTTGATTATTTTTTGCTTGTTGTGTGCAGTTTGGATCTGCACCATTAAATAATAGAATAGCAACGGCTTCCATATTCTGCGCTTTCAAAGCTGATATCAGTGGTGATGTTGTGATCTGCCTTGATGACATTGGAGCACCGTATTTAACAAGTAACTTAAAAATCGGTAATTGTTCCGTTTTCGATGCATAGGACAAAATAGTTTGCCCTCTGTAATGAATGGAAGGATCTGCACCATTCTCAAGAAGTACAGTAACAAAATCAATTAAATTTGCATTTACAGCAACGAACAACGCTGGAGAAAATTGGTCATTTGATTCGTTAATATCGAATTTCTTTCCAATTAAATACTGTAATATTTGCATTTGCTGGTATTTAACTGATAAACGTATTAAAAAGTTTGTTTCACAGCCATTTTCTATAAGATAATCCAATGAATCTAGATTTCCGTTCTCGATGCAAAGTTTAACAATGGATTTCATAAAAAGATGAAGAATCTATTTTCAACATTTGTTTTAATATTGCTGGGATCTGGAGATTCTATCTCCTGATTAACGTCAAAGCCATTGGCAACATATTTCTTTACAGATTCTAAATCGGTTGGAAAGGCAATATTGGCGTTATCTCCCATAAACAGAATTTTTGATTTTTTTTATTTTCTTTTACAACTGCATATTTAGGAAGAATTGTCAACTGTTTTGGTATCATGTTATAGAGTTTCTGTCTAAAGGCATCTTATGCTATCAATACAACTAGTAATGATAAGTTAAGTGCCTCTATTTCATATGATATTTAAAATGAGGTACGATTGACATCTTATAAATCTTTTGATGATGTATGTTTGAACATGCAGGATCATAAACTGATACTTCCATTTAATTACTGAATTATATGCAATGTCAATTTAAATTCTACCATCGATTTACATCACTGTAGTTATGAAACAATTATTTTAGCTTACACCTATGTATTGTATCTTAGTTAACACATATAAAAAATAAATAATGTTAATATATCATATAATAACTCTTTATTATGTATTACATTATATAATATCTTCTGAACTAGTTTTTATTGTATCAAGTGGGCTGCAATTTCTTGTTGAGGTCTTCGATAATTTTCTTTTGTTCATCAATGATTTGTTTACAAGATACGAGTTCTGTTGTCAACTTAACAACCTCGGCATTTAGACTCATAATTTCATTTGTTAGTTTTGATTTTGCAGCTTGATCAAAGGAATCATCTCGTGATGGTCTTGGAATAGAAGGTTTGGCTGGATGGAAGCTGACTTGTGAAGAAGACTTTGTCAATTCTGGCTTACCTCCTTTCAATAACGAGTCATTTTGGGGAGGATTTTCCATAGCACGCTTAAGTTCGTTTAGAGTGATTCGCTGATCTTCCATATTTGTTTCTTGGGTATTTTCATCGGATGATGATTTATCCAAAGCAAACAAATCAACTGAGGAATTAAAGTATCTTTTGAGAGAATTAAGTTCCATATCTTTGTTCTCGAGTATGCTCTTCATATTTTGCTCTTTGCTTTTCATTGTTTCTACTTCTGACTGAAGGTCCAATATCATCGTAATGTGAGCTTCCTGAATTTGACTGTATGCCTCGATCTGAGATGCATCAATAGCTGATTTCTTTGATAATGCAGCCACTTTTGTATTCACATCTTCGAGTTCTTTCGTAATTTTCTTATTTTTGTTGCGAACTCTCTTTGCTTCCTTGATAGAGTCCTCGTAAAATTCCATTATCTTTTTCATGAAGTAACAGATATACTCATTTATAAACTTGCATTGTAAAAGATCAGAGAGAAGTAAAGAAATTTTAGCTGCCTTATTAGCATCCCATCCAAAATTAATATGCCAGTGGTGTATAAGCTCGAAAACTTCCATGGGTTTCAGTTTTCCTTTAGCTTGCTCTAATAATTTTACAGCTTGGTCAATATTAACTCGCATGTAATCCATAATCTTGCATGCTTCATCTTTATTGAACCTGGTATAGAATGACTTGTCAGCTAGGTATTGGTCAATATTGTTTGCATGTAATTGATAACTTGTATTTTTCATTTGAGATAAAAATGATGAAAATATTTTTTATCTTTTCCCAGAAAAATATATTTTGCATAAAATTGGAAATAGATAATAGTTTTTTATTGACCGTATTCATATCTGTCGATTTTTTATGAGAGTCATCGGAATATTTTGAATGTGATTGATTTCCAAATTATTTGTTTGTTTTTATAAGGAGAATATTATTAACAGAAAATTATTTTATGTTAGTTTTCAATTTTGAAAAGAAGATTTTTGAACAATAGGCATTGTTTAAAATTCAATTATCGTGACACTCATTTGTATGTCAGTTGTGTTCTACTTGATTTTGTCAAAAAAATATTGAAAATTGACCTTGAATTTTGATTGAAAGTTAGTAAGGTTATAAAGTGGCGTTGATAAGCATAGTCTCATAACAGTCACATGATAGCAATCATGATTAATTGTGTTGCTTATCATTTTACGGATAAAATCATAAAAATTGAGATCAAATTATTTAATACATGCATAATAATGTAATTATTTAATTAAAACACAATACTAAATGCAGTATGAAAAACAATTCTTTGAAATGCGCGGCATAGTACTTATATCTTTAACTCAATCAAATAACTAATGCAACTCTTCTTCATTTGGAGAATTATTGATGATGCTTTCATATTGTTTGTTAATGGGAATGAAAGCTAATTCTCTGGAACTGGTAATTTTGTGAATTTTATATATTTTTACTTTTAGCCAAATAGACAATGCTTAACTCAATATACACCTTCTTTGCAGCAGTATCCATAATGAAAGTATCCCAATACGACAATGATATCAATTGAAATAAAATGTTTTGGTCTCTGATTGAAAAAGAATTATGAATTGATGATCTTCATTGTTTTTATACAGATCGAATACCAATCATTACTCTTATTAGTTCGACTCATAACATATTTTTGTTAAGGGTTGACCGACCTAAATTGAGAGGACGTAATCCTCCCCTTGGTAAAATACCCTCGAAAACTCAAAAAAACTGACTTGTGTCCATTTAAAAGGGTTCGTCGAGAGGTGTTAAATTATTGATTTTCAGGATCGTAACTCATAATTTTTTTACAATCATATTAAAATTATGCGAGAAAACAAGCAAAAATATTCGTTATTTTAGTATCAAATACTACAAATCCTAGATTGCAATATATTTTAGCACGTAAAATTCCAAAATTTACCGTAATTGAATAAAATTTACAATAAACATCAATCCATTCTAGATTTTGCATATTGTTAATGATTTCCATACTATTTGTTTGCAGACTGTTCTATTGTTAACCGCGATTGTCTAAATCAATTTCATATAATTAAAATTTACAAATCCCATGCGATTATTATTTCTTGTCTGCAAAACACCTGTGCAACCTCTTTAAATGTAGTTGCTTCAAACTATTAAAATACCAAATTTATTTATTTTATTCCCAAGAATGAAATACATTGACTAGAATTCTCGCAGTAAGCGTTATAAATATTGAGAAATATTGTGAAATAAATGTCTTGTTTACTAATTTGTTCGATTATTTTTAATATTTTTTTCCATTATGTTGAAAAGTCAAAAGAATTTTTATTATTTTTAAATTACTAGGAGTATTAATGAAAATTTTAATCTCCTATTTTTATACAAAGAATGGAAACTGGATGGTGAATCATTAAATATCTGAAATTCTCGCGCATCAGCTTCGATATTATAACTCAGTTGTTAAAATCAATGCTAGCAAATATTTAGACACCAACTAAACTTGGTTCATTTCTGATGCATATTTCTTTTTTTACTTTTTTCCAATTGAAATCGAATTTTACAAAACAGTTTTTTGATGATAATTTCTACAAAAATAGAATTAACATTCATTTGCTAAGATAAACAATGTCAAATTTTTAAAAATTAACGAAATCGTTCGTATCTTTTCAGGAAGGTATGTCGGCGAAAAAAATTCGTATACCAAATCAAATAACATCATATGAAGATATTATTAATTGTACGTATTCCGATTTTTGAGCAACTTTAGAAATCGATTTCAAGATTTTGGCAATTTGATCATTTATTAAATTAGTACATATGTAATAAAATGATATTCAATTTTCCAAAATTGTATATAGTGCCAATAAATTGTACTGAAATAAATATAATGGGAATGATATAAAGTTTGTGACAAAATATTCATTTTTATACAAAGAAGCTATTCATTTTTAAACAACTATTTGAATATACCATCTGTATTATTAGATATTGATCAGATTTCAATATCTGAATAATTCAGCTTGAATTACTATTCTATAAAATCTGTTGCACATGGATATATGGTGTTAGGAATCAATATTTTGATTATAAGATTAATACAAAAAAACTTTGGGATATTATTCTCATTTTGCAAAACACTTCAATTTTGGAACGGAATAAATATATATTCAGCAATAATTAATTCTTTTTGCCGTTTGTAATTCTAGCAACATTCCAAAATGGAGGAGTTTTTTAAAAATAAAGAAAATTTTTATAGAAAAAAATCAAAAGAAAAAAATTTATTTTCAAACTATCTTTTTCAAACCTTTAATCATCAAAAACACAATTGTTAATATTCATTCTTTCTATTGTGCTATTCGAATAGTACGATTTATACTTTTTTTGCTAATTTATTAAATATGTCGAATCCGCGGAGGAGCGCTGTTGCAAAATGATCTATGATGTGTAGCGGTGTTTTGATAAAAAGAGGTCGGTCAACGTTTTTGAGTTTTTTCGACCTCATTATTTTTCTGATTTATTTGTTGCATTATATCAAGGGTACAATAATGCATGATATGTCACTGTTTTTATCTAAAAATTCCATAGTATTTCTGTAAAAAATTTATCCATAAAAATTTTTTCCAATCGAAAGAAAAATCGAAAATTTTTGAAATTTTTATAGAACAATATTGTGACCGAAAATTCATTCTCGTTGCATACATCTCATTAAGGTAAAACATTATCTGAAACAACCATGTTTTAAAAAATTATAGATAACGAGATATTTGATACTTAATATCAATAAATTTTGAATGCCCTCTCAAAAATTGAATGGACGTCGGTCAACCCTTAAATGATCGTATAATTCTTAAACTGCCTTGCCATTCCGCGAACTTCATAAAGAACAATCCTATCTAGGAATATTCTTTTATATTCCCCATCAAATTCTGTCCAAAAAGAAACCCAAAAAAAGAAACAAAACTTGACACTTTTCTCTCAATAGAATGTTTTTATCATTCTTCTCTGCACTTTCCTATAGTGAAAGCAAGCCCGGAATACTCAAAAAGGTATTTGATAGTAATATTTTGAAGATTGATGTCAGTGGTTCTTCAAAACAATACATAAATGGCTCCATTCAAATGACAAAACCAGAATATGCAGTTTATCCTTTCGATAAATCTTACGATTGGTGTTCTAATTGTGGAAAGACTTACGATGAGCATCCTTTCATTATATTCTCTCTCAGCTCTAAAAAATTTAAATTCAATAGCTACTTTGTTAGATGCGGTTGCTGCTACAATGGTTGCTGCTGTGAAGAATATGGATACACTGTACACTGCTGCTTATATAGTTGGTCCCTTCAAATTTCCGATGATAACAAGACATGGACAACTGTTCATAATGTAGAAAAAGACAGACAAATGCGGGATTGCAATGAAAAAACATTTGACTTAGACAAATATTATACAGCCAAATACGTCCGTTTAATCCAAGACGAACACTGTCCAGGATATCCGCCATGCATCGCAATTAACAAGTTTGAATTATATGGTGACACAGTTAATAGTGAAACTGATGAATCTGATGAATTTGTTTCATATCATGACGATGATGACGATGTTAGCATCATTGGACATATTTCAAAGAATGGAAATGTTAGAAATTAAGAGTAGAAAATTTTGTGACTAATGTTAATACAAAATTACAAATTTGTTCGGATTTTTTTAATTTTATTTTAATACAAAATTAAAGCTTTTTTTTATCTTTGTAAACAGATTTACACTCTTTGAAATAACGATGTCTTTATTGTATTTTATAGTCTAAGTTAATCATAAGAAAATGGATAAAATAAAATCAAGAAAAACATGCAAATGATAGTGTTAAATCATATTATACATCTAATTGAGTTGATTTATGATAAGGAATGAATGTCATTTTCATAATTCAAGAAAAATCACATTTGAATTAACTCATTTATCAACATTATTATTCTATTTTCAAAGTTAGATAATATTAAATGATTTAAAGATAATCAATGCATACAGACACATTTATTTATCAAGATTTATTTGAGATTTTGATACCATTTGTCAAATTCAACTTTCATTGATTCCAGCATCTTCTTTCTATCATCAGGAGCCAAAGCAACATACTCTGCAAGGAGTTGATCCTTCCTTGTTGGAGGGTCAAGCATCTTTTCGAATGAAACTCTTTCAGGAACTGGGAAAATTGGCTTAAATGCGCCACATCTTGAGATAGAAGACTCATAATTATACAGGGCAATATAATCTGATGCTGGCGTGTTCGGTGGTGCTTGAGCAAGTTTAGATGCAACATCTGGATCTGATGGAATCAAAGCCATGTTGAAGGAGTCTTTGACAACAGGTTCCTTGATGACTTTGTCGAGTTCTGAACTCGTTCCCATTGCTGGACTGACGTTGACTTCTAAGATATAGACATTTTGGTCAGTATCCAACATCACGTCAAAACCGAAAATTTCAAAGGATGTAAAGTGGTTCCTCTGTTTTCTGAGAGATCTTGTTGCAGAAATGACTACTGTTGTAATTGCATCCTCTATTTTGGTGTGAATCTTGTCGGCATCATAGCCATTCTTTGTGAGCCATGGCCAAAATGGTCTGTGCGACCATTTATTTCCTGTTCCATCTTTTGAGACGTCATTTGTCATTACGTATCCGTCATAGTTTTTGTTGATACTGAAATTCGTTAAGTGTGCGCCTAGATTTGAGAGATCGTCGAAGTTTTCCTCATATTTTGATGTGGCCAAGCGAACAAGTCCATTGTCAAAGAGGAAAACGGTAAGGGGATCAAGAGAAGTAACTCCAACATAGAAACGTAAATCGAATTTGAGTCCATTGATGAGCATAGGGTTATCGACGTATTGTTGGACAACAATATCACCGGAAGGTAAGGATTTAATTGAGTCTACAACGTGTATTCCGTTACCTCTTGAACCTCCTGCTGGTTTTTCGATCCAAAGCTTGTGATTTGCGAATGATTTTGACAGTGCGCTTCTGTCTTTAGGCAAATGGTATGTTTCTGGATAAAAAGAAAATGGATGTCCAACTCTCTTTGCTAAAGCAGTGATGACATCATGATAGCCATCTTTAGAACCGAGAGAAAATGTATAAACAAAATGGTTCATTCTCTGATGAGGCTTGACTTTGCCGTAATCTGATGTGGAGATGGAGCTACCAACTATTAAATTTGATTCTGAAAGCTTTTTTGTCTCAGAATAACCAGAATTTGAGAGAGTAGCCCGAATTAATTTTGCAGCGTAGCCTTCTATGTAATATTTCTTATTCGGTGATGGCTTGACAGCAGGTTCTGAAACTCCAAAGAAGTCTACAAACGAGAAACCTTCTGCAAGGGGATGACTCTCCACCCAATCCTTGAGCATTTCTAAACGAACAAATGTCTTACAGTATATTTATATGGCCATGATTTTTAATATAATGTTTTTGTTCAGTAAATTGAATGAAATGTTTCAAAATATTGAGCCATTCTATAAAATGATATTATGTGTTGATTGAACTAAGTGAGTGTGTATTTTGGCATATATTAAATGGTGTAAAGCTCTGATTGCTCATGAAATAAAATATATTATGCACAATTTCGAAATATATGTTATCTATTCAAATAACTCCACAATCAGTCACTATATGTATATTTAATAATAAATGAATATGTCTGCTAAAACATCTAACGATATTATTTTTGTTTGAAGAAATTCGAGTGTTATAATAGACAATATTTCAAAAATTCACTTATGTTCATGTGTGTATTGTGTTTTCTACTCAACCTCTTTATTATCTAGATTGATGATAAATACTCTCAAAAGTGTCAGACAAGCATATCATGTGATTTATTGATCTGCAGTGTGAAGATATATATTTGATCAAATATAATTTGGGACTTCAGGTGGCTTCGCTTGCCCTTCGGGCAAGCACGCCACCTTCGAGAGAGGGTCAAAGTTGCTATTTGTCACATTTCCACAAGAATATAATGGGGAAAAAGTTATCATATAGTTGATCTCATTCACTGAGGTGAGAGATGCATGTTGTGTAATGGGATAAACAGTGGGATTGCTGCTCTAAGTCCTAGTTCGAGACACATTGGCTTAATTTTTCTCTTTTTTATTGACGTAAACTATTCAATTTTTGTGTTCTCCATTCAAATTTCAGAATTTTTTTTGCAGATTTCACGCTACATTCGAAGTTACCTTTTGTAACAACCACCACTGCCTACGAAAGACGAAAGTGTGTCACGATTTCACCCGGAAATCCGACGGTTGTTTAAGAGTAAGCACTTTTGGCACCTACTCCGCCACCTTCGGCCAAATTAAATAATTTTTTGAAAAATTGAATTATTCACTATTTGGTTGGCGCTTTGCGCCAACCAAATAATGAAGAATACTAATATATGTTTACTTAAAATATGATTTATATACCGTCTTAATTCTATCGGCGTGAAGCGCTGATAGAATTAAATGACAAGGCTGTCATGCACCAGTGTGTTATAACAGATCTATTTTATTTGAAATTTCATAAATTAATAATTATAATAAATTTGATATTCAGAGACGGCGCTACGCGCCTTTTAGCATTCTGGGCACTTACGTGCCCAGAATGCAAGCTTGAGAAATTTGAAACGAAGTTTCAAATTTCTGCCATGCTGTTATGCAAAAAGAAAGTCAGTACAAAAAAATTTTTGAAATTGAGAATAAAAATAATCTCGTGATTTTTGTGATATATGGATTTTTTAGAAGATCTTAGAGATTGAATTCTCAATTTATAAAAATTTTTTAAATTGAGAGGAATTTTAATGATATTATTTTATTTGATATTTGGATTTTTTAGATGATTTTAGAGATGTCAGTCTCAATTTAAAAAATTTACAAAAAATGATCGTAAAATAATCGTTTTTGTTCAAATCCTTTTCATTTCGGGAAATTGAAGTTAAATATCAAAGAGATGGTCTATGCATATGTTAAATCAAATCATTAAAAAGTGTTTTGATGACTTTTTCTAACCGCAAATTGTCACTTTTTGATGTTTTAAAATTATTATATATCCTATATGCATATAAGATACAAATTAATATTAAAACTCCAAAATCGATTTTTGAGAGAATCAAATTTATCACATCTCATCGTTGTTCCGAATTAATATTTTATTTGTAATGTACATATTATCACAATTATATTTATCATATTAAAATTCAAAAATAATTTTTGAGTTTCAGATCTCCCTAATTTCCCATATAAATATATGTTTATTTTATTAAAAATAGAATGTCCAATTATTGATAAAAATCGATCCGCTTTTCTACCGGTCAAGCTGTATATATATAGAACCCATCATGTAAACCTCGATGTCACTTTTGCGGCCTCGCTCCGCTCGGCCGCAAAAGTGACATCGAGGTTTACATGATGGAAAAAATCATAACTGTTAGAAATTTTCGTTAATATTTGTTATGGCAGAGGTGGCAATGAATTCAGATTCAAAATTTGTTTTCTTAACGAGATCTAGTAATGCTAATCTTCAAGTAGTAGAAAAATCTCTTTCTCTCGTAGAACAAAAAGAATTATTACTAAAAGATATCGAATACTTACAAAAAAAAAATTTAAATTTAAAAGAAGAATATAAATCGGTAGCCACACAACTTCGAAACCTTCCAACACAATTAGTTCAATCCAAACAAAAAGATTTAGATGATATAACTAAAGAATTGTCCCATTTAAGGCGAACAATGTCAAATCAAATCAAAGATAGTTTAAACTCAGAATACATCAAGAAAAACACAATTTACGATCGAATTAATGAAATTGTTAAATCTTCTGAAGAAGAATTGAAAATAAAATCTTCAAAAGTTGAAGAAATTTTAGCTTCTGACTTATACAATAAAGTCATTAACAATGATAACTCAATACATTCACTTACAACTTATTTATCAGATTTGGAAACGCGCGAAATAGATTATTTGAAGGATATTCAAAAAGGCATTACAGATGAATCATTGTTTGTTGCACACATTGTACAAGAAAAACTAAATCCGCTAAAAAAGAAATTATTAACGCTACAAAAGGCAAAATCAGAAAAACAGATGGTGTTAAATAAGCTTAGAAAGACTTATAATTTACTAAATCCATCAAAAAACGATCAATATTCGACTCCGAGTAACGAAAACAAAGAAGCTAAGAATGTTATGTCTCTTAAAGGGAGAACGCCTTACCCTCAAAGGAATAAGTATAATAATAGTAATCCTAGAAGGAAACAATATCAAAGTAATGGAAATTTCAGTGTAAAATCTCCAATAAGTCAGAGTTTATCTATTTCGCGCTCTCCAAGGAAAAAAATTCATTAATGGGATCATCTTTATGTTTTATGATTATATTTTTGTTTGTTATGAAATGTATAAAAGATAAAATATTAAGGGTATAGTCCACTAAAAATTTTTAAGTTTTGACAATGAAAATAAGCTCTGTGACCATGTAAATATATATCTATGCAAAACGAGAGGTTATGCCATAATTTTTTTTAGTTATCAAATTTTCCTTTTTTTGAGAGAAGTCTCTCAATAATTTGAGAAGAATCTTTGATATAAAGAGATACACATTTGTAGAACGAAGTAAGTGTTTTCCAAACATTTTATATGTTCATCCTGTATAACAATATAAAGCTGCATAGTGCCATCTTGTGCGTTTGCTATTTTATGTACTTTTTATTGAGATAATCCCTCTTCTCGGGTGATTTTAACAGTCAACTCAATTTTAAAATAAAGATTTCATCAAAATGATTTCGAAATTCGGATATTGATTATATAAATAGCACTGTTAACATATTTTGGATGAGTAAAAAATACCTTGTTTTGTATGCATTTAGTACACCTTTATTTTTGATTAAAACTATAAAATTTTTATTCCTTATATAATAAATAGTATATGTTACATAAACATGAAATTCAATAGCATTCAATTTTGGATTTTTTAGATTTGGTAAATTTTAGAAGAAATAAAATCAGCAATCAAAATAAAGAAACTTTTTTGTATCTTCTATGATTACCTTTTGGTACTAAATTTTGCATTAATAAGTAAATTATCTGTATTATTCTGTGAGCACAAGCCCTCAGTTATGCTGGTAGTGAATGATGAATCGTCATTTTGCGAAGAGAACGCGATTATTAAGGTAATTTTGAGAATTGTCTTGAATTATTTAAAATTAAAGTTAATTGAATAGGTAGGATAACTAGCCTTTGCTAAATTTGTATAATTTGACCTTATTCTAGTTGGATCTGAGAATATTTTGCTGAAATAATAAATTATATCGCCGATTTATGAAAATTTCTCTGATGGGACCGACTCGCTGAAACGTATTAGTGTTAATGGTAACTTGTCTGAATTTTCAAATTTTTTTCGAAATCCAAAAAATCACAAACAAAAGCATCAAAATTAGATTTGCATTTAAGGTTTTCATTTTTTTTTGGAAAATAAAAATATTTTTCCCCAATAAAGTTTATTTTTACTTTTGAGAGGAATAGAAACGTTATTTTGGAATTTTGAAACGACAGAAATGTTCCATTTTTAATGTAGATTCTAAAATGGGGTCAAATCTTTGATTGAACCGTTATCCATTGAAAAACCTCGATTTTAAAATGTTATTCCAAAATATTCATCTAATGATATAGTATATATTTATTAATTATTACTTTTTATTCAATTTTCACTTTTGGCGGGATTTCATTTTTTTGTTGTTGTATGGGCCATATTGTTCACCCAAAACGGAAAACAAAGGCAATGCATAACATTTTACTCCACGAACGTCGTCGACTCTCAGCGCGACAGATGCTTGGTGCTTGCATAATGACCGGAATGTCATATACAAAAGGTGCTCGCTTTCTTTCTCTTTGTGGAACTAAGCCCCCTGTGAAGAGTGGTGTCATGAGACAACAGAGATTTTGTGACGATAAGATTAGAAGACTTAAAAGTATTTCCCTAATGCTGTCGAGAAAGTCCTTCAGTGGTTACTTATCCATTGATGCAAGATGGACGCACAGGCGAAACTCGCCAAGTTGTACAGTAACTGCGCTCGATGCTGTCACAAAAAGAGTTCTTGCATGCGTGAACATCAACCATATTGGTGGAAACAGACAGCATGCTCAGTATTCCGGAGCTTCCAACAATATGGAAAGAGTTAGTATCCCTAAGTCGTGTACAGCGGCACTGCGCGCCTCCGTACACCACTTAGCGGTTTTGACACTTTACGAAACCAGTAACGTATATTTTACAACACAAACACAAACACCAACTTAACCTTAAATATTTACAAAACTATCTGACACATAAACGACTTCACTAACGAACTCACTAACGAATTCACTACCGTCCTCACTAAATAAAAA